CCTGTACCCAATTATACAGTGTCCCGTTCACTACCTTTGTGTTGCGCCATCCGTTACCTTAGGTCAGAATGGTTTCCAAGCCCAAGAAACGCTGACTTTCAGCATCGACGATCCCAATCAAGCCAAATACGCTTAGCTCCTTCCCGTCGCAACTCTCATTTTGTAGTAGAAAGTTTTTGATTATCGATGATCCCACGAATCATCCAGACTGTTCATGCTGTTTCACACGTAGCCCCATTCTGGTTGAATCATCTTTCGCATCTGAAAATACTTGTAGTGCAATTTCTCGCGCCTGCGTTCAGATGCGTGACCTTGACGATGTAGGCTCCGTGTCGCGATGATGAGGAAAGAGCGGAAAGTTTGCTGTACAGACAGCATGCCAAGACAGACCGACGACACAAGCTCAGCGGTAATCTACTGAGCAAAAAGGGGTTGTATTTGCTTGAACACCAACGAACGATTCAGCAATTCGACTGGCCAGGCAAAAAAGATTGTGCCCTCGCTAGCTGTAGCTGTTGCGGTGCATCTTCGCCCTGGTAGCAAACGTGATGGAAACTGCAATAAAATTTCGACGAGAAGATGAGCGCCAAAATAAAAAGGATGGCAGTGATCATCCAGCCGTGCGGCTCTCAAGAAACACTGCGTATCTATTCGAGGAAGAGCATGACTGAGACAACATGTTGACCACGCAAAGTTGTCGTGTCCGCGCTGACGATCATCAACGATTTCTTGGCACATGATACGGACAACGATGGTTGCTGGGCTCATGGGTTTGAGCTAAGCTCCTGTGCGCTATGTTTCCGATGTTGCATGCTAGTCAGATGCAATTGCAACGCCAACCATAATTCACCAAAATGATGCTTCCGATATGACCGTACACACTCAGAGGATGTTCAGATTTGTTGAGTCAAGCTAAGAGGGGATGATCAAAGGGGTCGGCACTGGAAGGCCCATCAGTGGACACACTGCAGAGGATCGTCGAATTTTGTTTCGTTAAAGCTGCCTCATTCTCGTCTTCGACAATCAGCGGCTCAACCGTCTCGGTCTCGCGTGGCGTGAAGTACTTCCTATGCACGGTGCGTCTGGCATGACTTTGCTGACAACCGTCGACACCGGCCGAAGAAGTAGCTTGTCATCGAGCAGTGCATGGTGAGGACCACCAAGCTCGTTAGATCGCAACATTGGGTGGCTTGCAGCGAGTCTGTCTGCATATCGTCTGTCTGGCATCCGAAACACACAGAGCCACACTCCATCTCAACGATGCTGCGATGCAGTTCGATGACTAATTCGAATACAGACCTTGCCCGAAGAAGGCCAGCTGATCATCAACGTCTATATTGGCGCACTCCAAGCTCTTGATCATAGCTGGACGACGGCCCGACCGATCGAGACGACTGTTGTGCTCGGAATCGTCGCCAAGCTCCTTTGCTGTCCATCGACTCATCCAGTCGACGCGTATTTGCCGTCAAGACTGATAGCATACCGCTTGCGTACGGACGTGAGCGTTACACTGGGTGCATCACGTGAAGCACTTGACTTGCTGTTCAGTCATGGCTGAGATATTCATCTCCAGGCTCAGACGTCAACGAGCTTCAACCAACTAAATAACGAACAATTTTGTTGTCGCCTTGTGGCAAGCCTCCGCGTCAGCTTCCAGCAATCAAAGACCACTTAAACCCTTTTTTCGTCGCAAAGAACTGGCGCTATCGGTCTATGCTGATGTGAGGAGCGCAAGTGACAGGTCAGCTGGATCACGATCATTGATGATGTCTGTGGGAATCTGTGTGATTCACGGCAATTACGAAGTTACCGGCACATTCGGATTATATGCAAGATCAATGTGTCCTCATACGTACGTGTTTTCATCACACAGTGCCCTAGCAATGGACTTCACGAGCCATGACATTTCTCGTCTTGCGTAGCCGCAGTGTTCCTAAGCAAGATAGACTGTTCTCGTTCACAAGCAATCCTGGACACTGCAGTCACAGGACGACAGCTGGGCTGAGTCGCGTGCTGAGGAGGTACTGGCGAGCCTCTAGTTGCTCCCCTGAATCTTCCGGAAGTGTCGCGCGAAGAGGATTGATTTGTGCACTAGCAAGATCATCGCTTCTTCAGCCTGGTGGGGCCTTGTTTTCAATTGATATTTGTAAGTGATAAGGAGCATGCCTGTCTTTTCTTGGGGAAGTTCTTCTGCGCATTGATCAGCGTTCACGTCAAAGTTAGGTCGCGTCCTTGATGTCGCAATCTGCGGGGAGGTTCGCAATGCCTGCTGTACGTTGTGAAGTTGACAGCGAGTATAAGTGCATTGATCCGTGAATTTGCCGATAGTACGGTGCTACAAAGTGAGAGGAGCGGGTACAAGCCCCGCATCTGTGTGGGAGAAGCATTGGAATAAGGCGATGACCGAAACCAGCTCGATTTGAAACGGCAAAAGCTTGAGCACAACGACTGAGAAGAGACAGTATGCAAGACGTCGCGGTAGTCTTCCATACGAGCATCAGAGATGGCGTGTTCCAGCATGCATGTGGTTGCCAAAACTAATTGTACCGTCGTCATACAAGGTCGGGAAGCATTTTGCTGTTAAAAACTTTCAGGAGCAGCTTTCATACTTCGTCCACTCACTTGCATCACGCACCTCTGTTCAGCACTTCAACCCATCCAGCGCTGTTCAGCAATTTTAGTTCTGGCCCGCCGAGGACCGGCTATGCAGATTCTGTGGTGGGCAGGTACCTCCAGTTGAAACCCGGCTTTTCAGAAAACAGATGCTGATGGTAAGCATTGAGAGTAGGTTAGAAGCGTCTGAAGAATTCAGCGTTGATAACCGTAAACATGCTTGTGCGTGTTGTTCAGTTTGACGTCGCTAGAAGTTCGGACGCACTTTGAAAGACCCGATGCAAGGACCCGGTTCCTAGTCCAACATGTTCGAAATGATTGCGTCCATCCCTGAGCTGAAGGAAAGAAAAGTCTGGAAGGCCCCTTTTGCGACGCCAGACATTTGTACTCTTCAGCACGGCTTCGTCAAAAATGCCCCACCAAGTGTTCAACATGCGATCGCCGACTTCCCATGCATCTGGATCGAAGATGTGGTCCCCATGAACATGGAAAGACGAGAATCTGTCTTCAGGAGAAAGGACAGAAAGCAGTATATCTAAGGCGAATTCTGTTTCACAGATGGGGAAGGAGACTGAATGCAACAGTAGACGGGAGCGGACAGCGGGCCATGGAAGGCAAATGTCGATGAACAGTCGATGAGCACGATTCCATTGTTCGATAGTAGGAAGCATGTTAGCTCCGAGCAAGGTCCAATTGATATCTCCTCTAAGAAATTTATCTCGAGGGAACTCCGAATCCTTGAGAGGCAGAGGGATCAGTTGGAGCCTGTGTAGTAGCGTCTTCAGGTCCTCATCAGAGGAAATGAGACTGGTCAAGACACCGATTTTCGTCAACGTATCGCGAAAGGAAATAGTCGGTACGGAAGCTTCTCCCGATACTCTTCCGTCGCGTGCAAGAGACACACCTGTATTGTTTTTGTAGCGTTCAGCAACGGCATGACTTTGTGGAGTCAAGCTCTGTGCTCTTGTATCGGCACCATGAGTCGTCCGAAGACAGCAGGAATATATCCTATGCTGACAAGGCGAAGTTCCGGCAAGCTCGAAGTACGAAGTTGCCAGAGCCAAGCTGTGTGTCACAGTACAGGTGCCATTCATGGTCCTTGGAATGCAGGAACATTCCTGATGCTGAAGGGAGGGAGGTCCGGCAAGCTCTAAGTATGAGCTCGAAGAGCTTGTAGTGCTGCGTGCAAGCTGCAACCGAATGACAGGGGTTTCAGGTGCTTCGAAAGTATCGGTATGACCCGTCGGCGCTTCCCGACGCCTCTCTTCGTGAGTGGGTGCTTGATTGATGCTGCAAAGAGCGGGGTTGAGCTCTGCGCCCATACTTTGACTGTCGCGTTCGAAAGACAGCCACACTGCAATAGTATCGTGTTGAGCGACGTAAGAGCTTTGCAAAGGCAAATTCTGTGTTACGAGACCGTCATTTTCACCTATCGCGGACGAAATTTGAGACACACGGTGCTGAGCAGACGAGATCTGTGCTAGCTTGCAATCTGAGCTTGGAACGCTGCATGTAAGCTCAGATCGATCGTTCGCAGTCATGCGAGCTCCACTGTCGGTGTTGAAATGCGCTAGCGCTTTCCGGCGCTTCTCTCTATGGCGTCTCTGAGCCATCTTGTTTTGTGTGCGACGTCGATGTTGGCGATCTTGTGGTGTCAGTACTGAGGCGTTTCTCGAATGCATCCTTGTCAAACATGCAGCACTACGCGCATTGGCGGACAGTTGGGCGAGCGTACATGCACGGCAGTGCATGGTTGCACGAAAGTGTCACACGCCGGTGTTTTGAGAGTGCGAGACTTCACTTCGAGCTTAGCTTTCTGGTAAGTCTCGTGATGCCAAGCCACGTGCAAGCGCCGATAACGAGGGTGGCCGCCCATAAATCGGCAGGAATTTGAAATTCATCTAGCCGCGTCTCTTGTCGGAAATACCCGAAAGTTGCCGCGGCTACTTTTTAGAGACCCTCCGAGCCGATAATAGTGAGCGCACAACATGTGCGGTTCATTCTTTGCTCTTGACGACTGTGCATACAACTGCTCCCCGCAACGCTCTTCGCGTGCGGCTGCTGTACGTACAGCCCGTAAAGCAGACAAACAAGTTCCTGGCAGTCGAGCAGTACGGGCAGAGGTGATCTTGCGACCTGAATAGTGCCAGAGTCAAGTCTTATTTCATCTCGCCTTACCTATTTAAAGACCGCTCGCTCTTCCCACAAGGCTGGTCAAGATCCCACCCTTCGCAATTTGCAACACACAGCAACGATGGCCTTGTTCAGCTCTCCTGGATTGACCACCATGTGCATGCCTGCGACATGTATGTATTTAGGCCCCGGCCCTCTATTCACTCGGTTGATGCGGTGACAGCCCACTCATCTTTTCGACTTGATTCGACCTTGATGCATTGACTGACGACAGGCGACAAATGTGGCAAGACAACCTGGAAGGGCTGCGGTCAACATATTGACCAGGTCTTTGTCGGTGTCCCCCAGCACCAGCGGTGCACCTGCCCGCGTCAGTAGAATCCCGTCCTTCGATTTGTGAATATTACGATCCGAATCTCGGCGTACATGCACCTCGATTTGTGCTTATAGCCGGTAGCATTCTCTGCCCTGAGGACACCTATCAGGCAAGTGAAATATACCAACCATGCCGGATCCTATTTCATGTTGCGCTTTGTTTGATTCACTGATCCTACATTCGAAGGCGGACCCTTTTTCGCCGCGTGCTTGAAAGAAGTGATTGCCGGCAAGCAGACTGTAACCTAGGGTTCCGGAATGTTGCGTGAGCAAAGGTCTCGAGTTGTGCCGTTCTCGCACCCGTTTGTCCTTGAACGCAAACATTTCTCAACAGGTTCGATGACAAGATCCAGTCGCCGCCCATTGTCAGAACCAGAACAGTTGCGATTTTAGAGATGCAGATCCGCTGGCAGAAGCCGTCCGGCGCCAATCGGGAGAATCAGATTGTGAAAGCACCCTTCACAGCCCATGCAAGCTAAAGAAACTTCCAATTTTGACTACTACAAGCATTTGAGACCCCGGTGCGCTTGCCCTCGCTAAAAGTGAATGTCAATGAGTTGTTGAGAAAAAGAGAAGGAGAAAAAGGATCTGCCAAAAGGATTTGACAAATGCCGCGGCAGATGCAGTTTATTGAAACAGACGACTGTGAACACTGGGTATTGGATGTCATGCAATCAAGCGCCAAGCGACTCTCAAAAACTCAGGTGGCATAACAGAGTGAGTCGAAGGACCGCTATCCTTATCCCCACATACCAGACTGTCAGTCAAACCGCTCCTTCTCGACGGCGCCCGACTTGCCCCGATGTTCGACAACACTGACGCCTCGAGTCAGCCGCGTGATCAATCTGCGATACGTTCTGCCAGGGCCTGCCTTCCCTGTCGCAGTGCAAAGCAGAAATGTGACGGATACGCGCCCCCCACCATCGCGGCATTGCTGCCTGGCCACCCTCTTCCCGCTGATTCTACGCCTCATGCGGCGCTTGCCGAACAGCCCTGCTCACGCTGCGTTCGAATGCAAACTCATTGCCTGTGGCAGCCTCCTCAAAGGCTGGGAAGGCCCAGCAAGCGTGCAAGGAATGAAGCCGCCTTGGATGCCTCTTCAACAAATCTCGCGACGCAACCCGCTTCGGCGCATCCCGCATCCAACGGAATCTTCTCGGCAGCGGACATGTCTGAGCTCCTGAGTCTCCCAGATTCAGTATTCGACCTGACACTCGATACTGGCCCATCGCAATTGTCTCAGCAGGCAGCACCGTTCGCTGTCAATCGCCCGTCATCTACGATGGCTTCAGAGCCATCGACAAGCTCACGAGCAGATCAACAGCTGGCATCGTTGCGTGCTCGTTTAGCTGGCAGCCGCGGCGGGTCGCGGATGATCAAAGCCACCAGCATCGAGAACAGCCCGATGCGCGAGTGTTCAAGCCTGCTCCAGGTCGGCACCGACGCTTTCTTTGACGGTTTTGCAAAGGCAGTACCTGTGCTTGGTTCGCGCTCCGAATACGAGCTTTATCTTTCTCGCTTCCTGCCAGACCAGAGCCGCGGTCGAAGGCTGCTGATGCTAGCCGTTGCAGCCATCGGCTTCTCGACAAGCTTGCCGCCGGGATCCGAAGCGGTCACCACGATGAATGCTCGACTGCGAGAGGCGTCAAGCGAGGGCCACCAAGACAAGGGAGCAGATCTCAGCTGGAATGTCGCGGAATCCTTGGCAACGTCGCAACTGGAGCTGTTGCTTGCTTACAGGGCTTACGGCTGCAATCAGATCACTCAGGCTTCTTCTCACCTCAAGCAAGCATGCTTCATCGCCTTGCAGTTTGGCCTCAACAAATTTGACCGACCCGACTTTGATCTTTCAAAGCTGCTAGATGGACCGGCTTGGACTGACGGGGAAATTTCCGCATCCGGCAACGGAAGCAGGCCGACCTTGCTGTCCGAAATGTGTCGCAGGACCTGGTGGGAGTTGTGTCTGTTTGACACGATGCTTCACGCGTCAACGACCGGGCAAGTGGCTCGGGTGCTTGATTCTGAAGCGCTCGTGGCGTCCGTACACGCTCCTCGTGATGTTGGACGCCCTGCAGGGTCTCGTCACCTCAATGCTGTGTACGATATCCGGATCAGGACCGCTGCTCTGGTCGAACAATGCGTCAAACCACCCGAGGGTCCGCACAAGCTCGATACTGATCGGCTGCAAGCGCTCGACACCATGTTGAGCAATCTCATTGTCACAGCACAACGCTTGTGGGCCAGCGCTTCCACAGCGTTGCGCGTCAATCAGATGACGACGACAGTCGAGCGACTGGAACGGGCCTCGGCTTGCAGTGGCGACCGAGAAACCCGATGGGCCCGGGAGGTGGAAGTCGAGCTCCTGTTTGCAGCCCTTCTCATGTTGCACGCTGGTCGCATCCATCTACACCGCCAAGCCTGGTTCACCGACCTGACACTGGACTTTTCGTCCTGCACCTTTCGACCCCAATCATCTCTTTGGGATCACGACGAACCGCCAAGCACACCGGCATCGGCGACCGAAGGCCATCCGTCGGTTACCGAAGAGACTCGTTACGCCATGCTGCGTTACAGCACGAGCAGGATCATTGCTTCGTCTGACGCCATGATGCGTCATATACGCGCGGATCAAGCAAGATCACCGTTGCCGAGAGCTGTGAACTCGACGCCTGATTCGCTCAACATGGGTAGACTGCCGGTCCACTGGCCCTTCTTTGGCTGCTGCAACACCGTGGCCGCATTTGGCTATGTCGTTGCGATCGCAGCGGGTGACGGCGGCGGCGGTGGAGAACCGGAGCTGAGAGTCCTCTGCGACGACACATCGATGACAGGTATCTCGCCCGCCTTTGTTCTCTCGTCGTGCAATGACAATGGGCTCGATATCTCAGATTTTGCACATAGGGCAGATCAGTCTCGGGCAAATACGGAGCGAGGTGGTGCCAGGCCGGCAGAGAGTCTCGGCTCCAACGGCGACGTAGCACTGCAACCACGCCAAGTTCCGCAGGATGCCGCCTCGTCCGGCGTATGGAAGGCGAGATTAGCGCTGAGCAACATCAGATTTGCCGAGGCAACTTTAGCAGAATACAGCGAAATGTGGCCCGTTTGCGCCGCGCTGAGGGAGGAGGTCTCCCTTTGTCGCGCGGCCGTTGACTTTGGCGGGTCGACCGGCTTCAGAGCGCCTTGACGACCCCAAATCCGTCTTGTTCGGATAAAGTTGCCTGAGGGCTGGAGTCTACCGCGGACCGAGGTGTTCGACTCCGGCTTGCGCATCTTAGTGGTTTCATTGACGGAGCAGCTGCTGTCCCTGATCTACTTAGATGCGCCGGGGCAATTGCGACAAGTCGCTGGGCTGAATGAAGAAAGACAATTCTCGGCCGCCAAACGATACCATCGGTTCAGTGCAATCACAGACGGTGGTGTCCAAATGTTGTCAAGTGTAGCGTTAGCAGCCGCGACCTCCTCTCCGATCAGAGCGAACAAGAAGCCATGAGAGATCCAGCTTCCAAGCGTCTGTCACAGACACCTCGCCATAACTACACAATGTAGAGCATCTTTGTAAGATTTGGCGAGGCTGGACCAGTCACTGACTACCAGACGGCTCAGCTTACACCCAACTGTCTTACGCTTTCGTGATTGCACGCCGGAGCTCATTGTATCAGCTGCATGGGCCTTCGCTGGCACTCAATTGTACGGAAACTTCGATGAGTTTCAAGGGGCGGGCGAATCCGGAACACAGATGCTGGGAGATTATTTACATAGAACTAGGTCCGATCTCAGCGAAGCTGGACCTTCAGAACAACGTAGAACAGAACGCGGTATACAATCGTAATGATCAGAAGGATGAAAGCATATAGCGTGATGTTGAAGCCATCGATGCCGAGTGCTTGCAGCACATCCTCTCCCTTGACAGCGCAGATGCCCTGCGGGATCAGCGAGCTCGGATACTGGCACTGGCAAGTATTGTCTGCGACGCTGCCAGAGCAGGAAAACACGACGCTGGACAGATCCGTTTTGGCGAGCAAATTGAAGGCGTATGTCTCGTAGTCGATGAAGTGGGCCCAGTAGTACCAGAATCGTGGCAGATTGACAGCGCGGATAAAGTAACCCTGCACGCACATCCAGAAGCCGTTGAGGAATGCGGCGATGGCCAGCGCTGCAACAAAGATGGGAACGAGCGCCGCCACAAGCAGCGCCTGGAACTCTGCCGCCAGCACGCCGAGGTACAGGAAGGCAAGGAAGCGGAAAAAGACGGCGACTCCTGGACGCAGGCCAATGCTCCAGTACATGATAACGGCAAAAACCGCAGAGCAGAGGAAAAGTAGCGGAACTGTCGAGAACGTGTTGGCCAATGTAAAGGGCAAGGGTCCGTACAGACCGTTGCCCGTTTCGCGCTTCATGACGCTACGCTCCTCAAGGAACGCAGGGATGCCCGCCACCGCCATAAAGCCCAGAAAGGCGACCGAGAAAAAGTGCACAGAGAGACGGTCGTTGATCCTGGTGTCCGTCTTGGCGAGGTTGACCCACACCGTGGCCAGCAGGACGCCCATGCCAATGTACATGCCGATACGCACGCCGTACGCAAGAAGATTGCGCGAGTAATTAACAAAGTTGCGGCGTGTCAGAGTGACGGTCTGAGACCAGGCGTGGGCGCGCTCGACAGATGCCCCACGGGGCTGGGTCTCGTGTTGCGAAAGCACACTCTCTTTCGGGTGTGCACCTGGCGAGCCTGGACTGGGGACCACATCGGATGGCGGCTTGATCGGTCTGCCAAAGCGGCTATTGAGCTTCCAGGCGTTGGCAAACGCTCTCACGTCCCCGTGCGGAATCGCGGCACTCGATGTGGGATTTTGGGCGTCGTCTGAGTCGGCTCCATGGACAGTGACGTCCGGGACCAAAAAGTCATCGTTGACGAGAGTGATCATGTGGTCGGCCGGGTTGGTCCGTCGAGGGCACGGATGGCCTAGAGCGGCAAAGTAGGAAGCCACATCGTGCACATCCCCCTGGTAGACTGGTCTTCCCCGCGCGAGAAGCAAGCACTGATCAAACGTCTCGAAAATCTCCCAATTGGGGCTGTGGATGGTTGCCATGACGCTAATGCGATGGCGCACCGCCAGGCTTCGGATCGCTTTCATCACTTCGTACGCCGTGGCAATGTCGAGGCCCGACGTAGGTTCGTCAAGGAAGAGCACCCTAGGAAGCGTCACCAGGCTGCAACCGATGGTGACGCGACGCCGTTGACCGCCCGAGATGCCGCGCTGGATCGGCGTGCCGATCCTCTGCGATGCGACGCCCGTCAGGCCGAGATCGTGGATAATCATGTCGGTGCGTTCGTCGAGCTCGTGGCGCGTCGTCGTTGGCGGTAGGGAGAGCTTAGCCGAATACCAGATGGTCTCGCGAACCGTCAGGACACCGAGCAGGGCGTCCTCCTGTTCGACATACGAAGAGATGCTTCGGACGTCGACATCGTTGGGCGTCAGCAGCCGACCTGAGCTTGTTCTCTTACGTCCCGATAAAACGTCGAGCAGCGTCGACTTTCCCGCTCCTGAAGGGCCCATGATCGCAAGCATCGACCCTGGAGGGACCGACCCAGAAATGTCTCGCAAGAGCGTTTTGACAGATGCGTCGGCCGTAGTCGACGTCTTTCTAAAGCGGTTTCGTCGCGAGGCAGACACGTCATAGCGAATGTCTTGCCACGCCATGGCTGCCTCAACAATCGCATCTTTGTCGGATCTGGAGGAAGAAGTTGGTTTATTCATGATCGCAGCTCTCAGATAGGCGGTTTTGCTGACAAGGTAGTCGTTGTGTTTGCAAAGGCGGCACGAGCAGCCAAAGCGGCAATCGCAAGCGATATTTATACATCTCTGGGGAGGCGGAAGAACTGTTGTTCTGCAGCGTTGCGAGCTGTAGGCGCTGATGGTTCATGCTGCATATGTCATTAGCCGGCGCCGGTGGCGCCTGCTGACCTGTACATGGGCTGGTCGGTACAGAGCCTGTTGCCCGAAATCCCTTCTCCGGTATAACGCTCGGGCATTTACACTATCCTGTCCTCAGTCTTCTGGACGCAATATTTTGGTTTGTTTGTCAGATAGCGCTGCGAGCTCCCACGGCAAAGTCGACGGTTCATTTCTCACAAATTCCCCGAAAACTGGCCGCGGCCATTCGAAATTCGATTAAATTCAAACCCAGCCGCGCTGAACACTGGATCAATCGGGCCGCCCGCGTTTCAGAGGGCCATTATTTGCAGGCTTCGCGGTATGTACATGTCTCAAACGCCTCCACAATCCCCAAAGTACGTTTAGGGTTAGGGTTAGGGTTAAGGTAATGTTAGGGTGAGAATTAGAATTACATAGAACCAACAGATGACAAAATGGAGACAACCGACAAACACAGAGATCCGGTGACAGGTCCGTGGACCCACGAGAGGCATGGTAAAAAAGAGATTGACGGAGACAGAGGTCCGAGGCGGCGAATAGTGGCCTAAATATATATCATTAGAGATGCGACTGAGACAGTGAGGCGGAGAAATCGAGGCGGACCTTGCTGGTCTGAGACTTTGGCGTTTACGTAGACAGAGATAAGAACTGGCAGATCCTTCGCAGTTTTGATGACCATTGCAGAACAGCGGCGACAAAAAATCGTGATATGCGGGCCCAGCCCGTCTCGTGAGCGAGGTCGCTGTGTATCGGGAAGCGCAGAAGCGCGGAGGCGTGGACTGTTCTACAGCAACATGACCTTGCTCGAGAGAGGCGTGAACGGCGGCAGCAAAGACGTATCGGAGACCTCCATTCCACGTGGATCGAGCAAGTCGTCGGCACACGGACTGAAGACGGCACCGCACAGGCCGTCGTCGTCGCCAGAATCCTTTGCGTCGGCGATCGCATTCATGTCAGGCGGAGATGACACGGGTGTGGTGAACGACGAAGATGGACTGATGGCACGGTGACCTTCGAAGCTGCTCAACAAGTCGGGCGAAGAAGAGCGCTGTGTCGTCGTCGTGTGCTCCGACGAGGAGACGTAAGCAGACATGGCAGCACTGTCGGCGCTGTTCGACGAGCGATCAGAGTCGTTGCGGACAGGTCGTTCGCGTGGCACGGGCCGGATGCCCGGACGCACAGCGCGAGGCGCAGCCAGATTCGGGTTGGAGCGCATAGCCGGCTCGGCGCACATCCGGCTGATAGGCGAAGCGTCCAGCAGATGGGCAGGCGAGCTGACGCGGTGGATGGGTACGGGTCGAGCGAGAGTGGGCACACGACTCTGCGTGAGACAGTCCAGCTCGCGTTCACGCGTCTCACGTTCTACGAGCGACTCGAACGAGAGTATGGGCACATCAGTGATGTCCTGCCCTGCTCCGTGCTTGCGACTGGAGCTATCCCGATCCTCCTTGGCGAGAGTGTCGTCAGAGCCGACAGCGCCGGGCTGACGGATAACGCAGATGGCAGAGAGATGCTCCGACCTGGGCGAGTCGAAGGACGACCTGCGCGGGTCAGAGAGCGTCGTGGACCGCGAGATGGAGAGGGCCTTGCGGTCACGCAGCGATTTGGCCGTCTGTGCCTTGAGCAGGGCAGCAAACATTCGCGTTCGAGTACTTGGGTGTGGGCGAGTCGCTTCCACGTGTGGATGACTTGGAAGTGGTGACGACGCCGCCGTTCGGAGCAGTCACAAAGAAGAGTCGTTGCTCCAGCTCGGTGGGAGGCATGGGGGGCAACACCTCTTCAGAGCCCACAAGCACAGGGCTGACGAACCCCTTGGCTGCGGATGCCTCGATGGAGAGCGGGCAGAGGTACTGGTGGAAGTACTCGAAGCGCACCGGCTTGCTGATCATGCCATCCATACCGACGTGACGATAGAGGGAGCCGGGTTCGGGACCTACTTTATTGGTGACCGCGACGATGTGTGCATTGCGGTTGGGTGCGAGGATGCCATCCTCACCGGATCGGATACGGCGGGTACATTCGACAACATCGAGGAACGGCATCTGAATGTCCATGAAGATGAGATCGAAGATCTCTGTGCGGAGCAGCTGCAGCGCCCTGAGACCGCTGTCGAGGCTGGCCGGAGGATTGGCTAAAGCATGACCGAAGCGACGCTGGAGGAGCGTGCCGAGAATCGAGAGATTGATGTGATTGTCATCGACGATGAGGATGCGGAGCGAGTGTGTGAGCGGCAAGGGCGAAGCTGACCGAAGATCTTTGGCGGCGGCGAGGCTAGATGCGGTTGCAGAAATCGGCATAGATTGACAGGATGTCTGAAGGGGCTTACCCTTTGGATATGTGACGGCGAGCGTGGACGTAGAGTGGAGGCTGATCGGGTGATGAAGACCCAATTGGTTTGTCTCGTCCATAAAGGCGCTGACGAAGCTGTGGTGGAGACGGTGGTTGACAACCTTTCCTTGAAAAGAAAAGTGATCGATCGGGTGTTGCTAAGGACACTTCACTTGTCGTCAAAGAGAACGGAAACCCTAACCCTAACCCTAACCCTAACCCAAGGATTGCTCTCAACTGCCTTCTCCCATTGCAGTAAAAGCCAATCAGTCTCCACAACACCAAACTTGGCTTTGAGCTGATGGAGGAATGCTTTGGTTGCTTCTTGGTCCAATTGTGAATGAAAATGGGAGAATGCAAGGCTCAGACCTGTCCAGAGCTGAGGTGGCACCTCATGCACCTTGCCAGATGAGATCCATTCCTGCATTCCCCATGCAAGCGTAAAGAAACAGTCAAAGTTATTTGGACTGGGTGGTCGCAAATTGATGGGAGGGAGCAAACCGAGTTGAAACAGCAGACCCTTAATCATTTTGTCGACGCCTCTGAAGGTCTCGGGATGAACAAGGTCGACATGAACGTCTTGCTGTCTTGCTGCGTATAACAGGTAGCCAATCTTGACCTTTTTGCAGATTCCGAAGACCCAGGAGGTCAGCTGTCTCAAACTCTGTAGCCGGCAGACGTGAGTTGGGGACCAAGTCGGCGGAATCAACTCCAGAATGCTGCCCTTGTGCCTACAGGACTTGATTGATGCGCGGACAAGGTGGAAAGCCTTCGTTTTGACAGGTAAGGAGGCATCACAACCCGGCCACGTTGAAATTGCAGCTGCAAAGCTTGAGCCACCCAGGTTTGCCGCTCAGCAGGCACGTCGATCTTCCTCCAAATCCGGTCGCGTCTCCCAGCATTGCCAACCTCAGTCTTTGTCCCAGCGACGCTAATCACACTAGTGTTGGGAGTGGTAAGCGGAAGCGATGGCGGTGACAGCGGCCTCGGCAACAGCGGCGACGTCCATCCAATCGGCTAAAGCAAAACGGCGGTGGATAACATGAAACCGCTTTAGACTGATCGCAAAAAGATGCAGATCACCTCATTTTGAGTCGAGAGGAACAAGCTTTTAATTGTGCGAAAGCCGCCTTGGTGCGAGAGGCTTGCTTGCTGCCTCGCTTATGCCGAGCAGCCGTCCTTTAGCAACAGTACCACTGGTCCAATGGTGGCGATCGGTGGCGGTTGGCAATGATAATGATAATTTCAATCTTGAGAATCAACTGCGGAAACGACAACGACAACAACGCCAGCAGCAGCAGCGAAGGCAATGCGGTCTTACTCAGAACAAAGTCGTCCGCATTCATGCACGCTCTCTATGGCAACTTAAAGTTGGATCTCAGCCCGCAGCATCATCCACTCTCCGTGTCAGGGTTAGGGACGCAGACTTTCTCCGCGCAGCTGCAGGTTCAAGGCTGCTCGTTGGCTGCATTCACGACGATCAATCAAGCTGCTTCGAGGATGGCGTCTGAACACACTGAATCACAATTAGTCGGAATGCATCAGGGTGGCCGCGTGCCACACAGGATGAAACCTGAATTGAGCTCCCAACTTCTGCCGCAGCGAGGCCTGCAGTCGGTGCAGGTTCTGCGACGGGAAAAGCAGTGCCTTGCGCTCATGCGATGTCATGGCGGCGATGCTCCTACTTGTGAGAGAGGACCCCCTGACCGACGAGCACAGGCAACGATGGTCGGGACTGCTTTGGTCTCGACGCCTTAAAGCGTCCAGTGCAGACGACTCCGATTGCTTGCAATCTCGACACAGGCGCAAGATCGTGAAGGATCGAAGTAAGCTTGACATTGTGCATTCGCATCTTTGTATGTAAACAGCTGTACGAAAAGGTGCTCCAGGTAATCGCATCTGTGCCACCAGCAAGCGAGCTCCCGTCAGCCGTTCAGGGCATCGACGGTGACCGGCGAGGATCGAAGGGTACCACCAGCCCGTCCCAGCTCAACTTTATCGGCGGAATGTAGTGCGAAGCTGTCTGTGAAATGTTGTGGTCGTCTATTGGGTCGTACTTCTCCCTGAGGCGAATGGTCATCTGATGTTCGTTGTCGCGCTCGTCCCAAATGTCTGACCACCACTTGGTGCCTCCGCCTTCACCGACTGATCGAGACAACTTTGCTTTGCCAGCAAGCTGCGCTGCCAACATACCATCTCGCCATGTGTCTACTTGTTCTTGGGTGGCGTAGTGCTCTATGCGATGTGTGAAGTCGGTGAGAAGGCCGAGAGCTGGGGGTGGAGAAAAAGAGGCAAAGAAGGAAAGAGCTTGAGCGAAGGAAAAGTGAGAGAGATGTCGATCCATCTTGAGTGCGTCCATGACGATTGCTTGACTGCCGCGGATGAGTTGCAAAGTGTCGGCGGGGATCTCATGGCAGTCGCTGATGTAGCTGAACGAGTCGATGCGGAAGCCAAGGCACCAGAAAGGCGACGATCTGCCGAAGTAGCCGTGCAGTACAGGAAGTGGCTGAATATGCACTTCCTTTCGACCTTGCGACGCTGGAATAGTGAAGGGCTTGTCCTTGTCGATGATGTTCCATTGAAGCGTTGGAACGTCTCCGCCACCGGTAGACTTGGATCGGTCGACCAAGTATGGGAACATACCTTCGACGACCGTCATACATTCTTGAGTAAGATAGATAGGTACGTGCCTCTGGATAACGCCACCCATAGTCCATGCCCTCAGATCGTCCAGGCCGAGAATGGCATCAGCATGGGCATGAGTGAGCAGGACAGCTCGAAGCTCGCGAATGCCGTTGCGAGGAAAGTGGACGACAGCATTTGAGTAGAAGGTCTTTCCGCAGTCTATCAAGATGGTACTTTCCTGTTTGTCACCAGCGCTTCGACCGACTACAGCAGCGGCTGTGCATCCTCGCCGGTTCTTGCCGGTGGGATTGAGCGTGGCGTCCTTGCAAGCGGCGCAATCGCCAAAGTCGGGCTTGGTGACGCAGTGAATCGCTGGAACTTGTCCGCTGGTACCGGTACCGAGGAAAAGGACCTTGTCGATCCACGATGATGACGGCCGCGGCCAGTCTTGTTGCTCCGAGTCTCCGTTGACAGACATGTTGCGATGCCAAGATGTCGAACGACAGCAAGCTAGACAGGAAGATTGTGTGAATCATCTGGTATGCGGACCAAATCCCGGATTTCGGGGTGGGATTTGTTTGTGGAGGAGGATCCAGCAAGCAAGAGCAAGCGAGCAAGCGTAATTCGACATGCAGCACATGGCAACACAAAACCTTGTCCTGCAAACCAAAGCGTACGTAGTGCGTAATTCGCCGAGGTTGGTGAAACCTGATCATCCTGGAAGACGGAAGGGCACCGACCAAGGACACCTTTGGAAGCTTCACCACAAGCATCGAACCCAAGATCATCTTTGCGGAAGCAACTCGCTCGTCATGGCCGTTCGAATCGGTCTGCTGCGCCAAAGCGCAGTCAGCATGCTGGCTCTGCAGACCACCGTCGCACCAGCAGCACGATCAAGCACTGCGACCTGCTTGCGGAGCAGCAACATAGCACGCACCACCGCTGGTTTCATCCGGCACTATGCTACGCCCACCAACGTACGTACACCTGACTCTTCCGAGCTGGACTCCTCAATCACGCGCATCCTCCCGTCTACGCGCTACGAGAATGAGCCGCAGGTCGCTATCAGCTACGAGCAGGCCCGCTCTCTGCTGTCCAAGCTGCTGGTTCAGCTTCGAACTACCGCAGATCTTGCATCCGCTGCCGATCGCCAATCTTACCAAGAATCAGTGAACAAAGACATCATCTCTTTGATACGGGAGTGGGGATGCGATGCCGAAGATGTCACACAGCTCGCCAATGCGCTCCTGTCCGCTTCGGGTGATCCTCGTCGACAGCCGCTAGCCTTTCGCCTGTTCGAGGTCGCCCATCAAGCTGGGTCAGACGACGCTGGCTACTACTGGGCAAGCATGGTGCTACAAAACACAGCGCCTCCACCGCCCTCTGGCGATTCCAAAGGCAGAGTACAACAGGCGGTGACTCTCTATCAAGAGCTCTCGGCGGCAGGCAATGCGCGTGGCTCAGCTGGCGTTGCCAAGCTATTGCTTCAGCGCGTTCAGCAAGGCCACGTTGACAAGGTACAATGGCCTTCGATGATCGAACAAGCCGTCAGGCTGTATACACGAGCGGGCGACAAGGGTCTGGCAGATGCATGGTACGATCTGGCATCCCTATTCCAGGAATCGCGCTTCAATCCACCGGATCAACAGCGTGCACGCGACTATCTCACCAAGGGCGCTCAGCTTGGTCACTCCGGCTGCCTTTACGCACTCGGCATGGATCATTTGCTCGACGAAAACACTCGAGACAAGTCGCAAGCGTTTCGGCTCTTCAAGCAGGCAGCGGACCAGGGCGACGCTCAAAGCATGTTTCAGGTCGGCTCCTTCTACTTCCTTGACAGAGACAGGATGGCTCAGCATCCGGAGGTGACTGCTGGAGACAAGACCATGAAGCAGGCGCACAGAGATACGTTTGGTATCGAAGCAGATGACGTCGAAGCGAGGTTTTGGCTTGAACAATCAGCCAAATCCGACTATCCACCCAGCATCTTGCAGCTGGCCACTTTGCTCGGTCAGCATCGAGCGCTCGAACCCGGCTCTAGCCGCGATTCTGAACTTCGCGCCATCGATGTTGCGCAGGCAGACCAGCTCTCGTATGCTTTGCTGGCAAAGCTGCTCGCCATCCTGAAAACCTCTGGCAATCTGCCCTCGCTTCCGTCGCAAAAGGGACAATGGTCCAACAGTCAATTCAACGGCCTCATTCCTCAGGCACAGGCGATGTATGAGAAGCTCGAGAAGAAGATGGGAGAGTCGAGTGACGAATAGATTACTGCAAGTTCCGAATCTAGCGCATGCGGCAATGACAATGACAATGACAATGACAGTGGTATAAAGCCCATGCCAGGGATCACGCGAAAGAGCGTGCTGCGGGCTCGGATGCATCCGAATCGCAATGAGAGGCAGATTTTTTCGGGTTACGCCTGATTCTGCACAAACTGCAGCGCTTGAGACATAGCTTTGTCGAGCTTTTCATCACGACCCTTCAAGAGGGAGATGAGATCGATGGCGAGCTTGCAGCTTATGCGTGGAAGCTTGCTGAAGGGGCCAGGTCCCGAGACCTTCTTGGTGGGGTGACGAATCCAGTAGAATGGACCAAGCTTTTCGCAGGCGAGCGTGGCGGGTGGCGAGGGTAGCAATAGCAGAAAGTGCAGGAATTCGAGTTGCACCGCGGCGAATGCGTGGCCAGCGGTGGAAGAGGAAGCCTCCCACAGGCTGCGAGGTAGCGTCGACAACAGGCTCTCCAGGATGCGATCGCGTTCCCTTATCGTGAAAGGCGTCTCTGCCCTCACCTTGGAAAGCAGGAAAGCACGTGCGAGAAACTCGAAGAGAACCGGCTTGACGCGATGCTGTGTGGCGTGGGCGTGGTAGCTAGCAAGCAAGCTGTCTAGTAGCGTATCGTGTTCCGAGCCCAGCAGGAACCACAGAGTCGGAAGCAGAGCACGGAACGTGTCGGGATCCAGAACGCTGGCTGCGGATGCACCGACGCTTGCAAGGGAGACGGTGCCGCTCTCTGTCATGGGTGTCGAGAGAAGCTCGGCAATGAAGGCAGACACGGAGGCGATTTGCACCTCGGCGTTGAACTTGGACTTGACTTTGTCGAGCTTGGTATTGCTGAGGGCCAACAGGGCTGCCAGTTCAGCATAGGCAAGGTCGATCTGGACGACGGCCGATTTCGCTTTTGCCGAGAGTCCGCTGGATCCGGTCCTGTGGCTGAAGGGAAAGTAGACCGAGATGTGGCCGAGCATGTTGGCGAGCGACGTTCGAGCCTGGGTACGCACAGAAGATGAAGAGCCTCGCCACAAAGCTAGAATGAGACTGATGAGCTCGAAGATGAGCTGTGCAGGAGTGGAGAGCCCAACGTTCTGACCGCGAAATTGCTGCGAAAGATCGAGATCCGGTTGGAAAGCGGACGGGGCGGTATCGAGGAAGGATGCGAGCAGCACGGGGTCTAGAAGAGTGTACAGCGACAACGCAGCCGATTGCGTCTGCTTGCCGGAGGAAGATCGCGACATATCCGACGGAGACGAAGGCCTTAAACCGAGTGCGGAGTGAAGAGAGGTGAAGAGGTCGGACTGATTGAGCGAAGCGCCCGAAGAGGTCGTCAGATCCATGAGGGACTTCGCTGCTTGCTCTATGAAGGGCCAGTCCGAATAGGACGTTGAAGTGCTCGTCTGCGAGTCGACCTCGTTCGATTGTCTGACAGAGATGCAACGCGATCGTTCAGGAACGGTATGACGGGTGAGGATGCGCTGAAAGTACTCGTACTCGGCCGAAGAAGCAAAGGCGGACCGGAAGAACCAAGTCGGGCAGCTCTGTGCATCGTCGCCATCCGAACTGTCCCTGGAGGTCGATCGAAGTGCATACGTCAAGAAAGATCTGAGAGACTTGATGATGAGGAGCTTTGCGCCAGGTGCAAGATCAGTGGCAGTAATGGAAGCGGCTGAGCCTGACTTTTGGGTGATGCCCAAAAGATTGAGGTAGCAGTTCATGATTCGCTCTCCATGGGGCTGGTGTGATGCATTGCTTGGTCCGGCTGGATTGGACTGGGTCGGTCCGTGAGCAGCCGACGAGATGGCATTCGCCATCTTGTGGACCGCGTTCTCCCAGCCTACAGTCGCGATGTGTGGCAGTGCATCGAGACAAACGTCGAGGATCTTGATGGCATCGAGGCGCACCTCGGGATAGATGTGGCTGAGAGCAGAAGTAGTGAAGAGGAGCAGTGTGTTGTGGTAGGGACCAAGCAGCTGAGCGGGGATCTGCGGGAGCATCCACAGCAGCAAAGCGTGCAGCTGCTTTCGGACTGCTGCATCGTCGTCGCCAACACATCGTGAGAGTTCGGGCACGAGCGGTGCTGCGTCTGTCAGCATCAGACTCGGATGAAGCGTGAGGATCTCTTTGATGCCCGAGACAGCATCTCGTCGAACGCCTGCCGAGTAGTGACGAAGCTGTAGCGCAAGATCTGCTGTTGTAAGGTTGCGAGAGTTGACTAGCTTGCCGGATTTGTCCACATTGATCGATTGTTGCGGTAAGGCGATGGTCTTGGCTTTGAAGGAGACGTCGGTAGCATTGTTGGCAGCCTGCTTCCCTTTGCCGAGCTTGAGCTTGGTCTTCTGAAAGTCGGCCTTCTTCTCCTTCTGCCTCTTTGAAGCCTTGGGCATGATGTGATCGCCAGCTGTGATGAGCAGATGGTGCGGGCGTAGAGATCTAGGTTGGTTTGCCGTGGGTATGGAAGCACAGAGTTGAACCCTTTGCCGCTTCTTCTCAACATTCGGGAAATTTTTGGTTGGACCAGCGATCCGAATGCCGAGCTTTTTCTTCGGCCAGAAAGTGTGGAGAAAGCAAGAGCGCGTTCTCTTAGCTAAAAGAGAGAGCTTCATGTCTTTCTCGTTCCCTTCAACACGCTTTCAACACAGCCTGCATTGCACACTGGCGTGATATCATCCCGAATCGCTCAACTCACCACCTAAGATGCCTGCAGCAAAGAAGCTCACGCAGTCGCAGAAGGAGATATTGGCGTTATACCGGAAAGGGCTTCGGATGATCAAGACCAAGGAGCAGGTAAGTCCAGCTCAGCCAGGATCTATGCGTAGCTGTCGCCCACCTTGCTGACACGGTCAACTCGCTGAGCATAGGAACACCGACGAGACTTTACCATCTACTTGCGTTACTTCTTCAAGCATCCGTCCTGGGGAGGTGGTCTTCGCAGAAGAGATTTCTCTCAGATCGAATACATGCAACGCAAGACGTCCAGGCTGCTCGACACCACCTTTGCGCCCAAATCCGTCAAGCACATCAACCTTCCAAAGGACATTGAAGCAGACATGCAGGAGTTCGGGCTGGCGCATTGGCGGCGGGCCTTCCGCGACGCTAGCTCGGCTTCTTCCACGACATCTACAGCACCAATACCCTCACCCTCATCCAATTCAACGTGAAGCCGAATCTCATCACACAATCAAATCTCATTGGGCTCTACAAGGGAGGACCACTCACTGACTCATATGCCTGAAGGCACTGAAAGAATTTGCATACCTCGTTGAAGTTTGTCATACCTTTCGGCGATAGGCATTCCAGATGTGAGATAATACAGGACGGTCATGCCGACGCGAAGAGTGCATCTTCAGACTCTGACAAAATGGCGAAAATCAAGCGACTTGAGCCGACGGTGTTCAAGCAAGCACCTCCTCGGTCTCCTCGATGATCTCCTCGATCCATTCTTGCACCTCTTCGGTAGCCTCCTCGGCGAGTTTCTTTGCGTGGTCGACGCTCTGGCCCACCTCCTCGCGACCAAGATCTTGGCGCAGCTCCTCGAGGTCGCGACGGGCACGGGCACGCCATGCCTTCCACTCTTCGAGGATGCGCTGGTACAGCTCGCGCTCGGCAGAGGCGAGGTTGGACTCCTCGGCGGCGTCCTCCTCCTCGAACTGCTTCGAGTACTCTCGCAAGTTCTTTCGCACCTTCTTTTGCTCCTCCTTGCCAAGCAGCGTTCGCGGTCGTGGTCGCCAAAGAATCTGCTTGAAGCGATCCTGGATGTGCTTTTGCAGCTCTTGACCCTTGAAGTCCCAGATGGCGAAACCATTTTCGAGCGAGTGGCGCCACACGGATGCCGAGGTGGCAACGTATCGTCCTGAGGGGTCCCACTCGAGGTCGGTGATACCGTAGTGCTCGCCAGTGCCGATGAGCTTGACGTCGTCGGCCGGATCGGCCGAAGGGTTACCCTGTCGAACCTCGTGCATGAAGTCGACGTCGTACCATTCCAGGTCGAACTTTTGCGAGCTTCCGAGCGTTGCGGCGACCATGTGACGGCCGCGTGGCGACCAGAAGAGCGTGTTGAGCGTCTTGTTGTCAAATACCTTGAGCGGACGGAAGTCGCCCTTAGCGTGGAGGTGGTAAAAGTTGAGCTGCGTCTTGATGGTGATACCTGGCGCGGGTGTGCCGAGCTGAGGATCGTTGCTCGAGATGAGCGCAAAGTGGCTTCCATGTGGCTCCCAAGCGAAGGCAGTGACGGCGTCCTTGAGCTCGACGACTTCGACGGGGAACTCCTTCTCTCGCACGCGGAAGATCTCGAGGTTGCAGAACATGGACTTTTTGGTCTTTGTGTGTCGGTCGACCTTGACACAAAGGTAGTCGCCCTGCGGGTGCCAGTGAAGCTTGCAGTCGGAGACGTTGAAGAGGTTCTTGGATCGAAGGATGTTTCTTGACGGCACGGCCATGACGGTGACACGTGCTGGCTGATTGGCCACCTCTGGTTGCCAGAAGACGATCATGTTGTCCCTCGCCTTCTTGTTGGGCTTGCCGGCTTCAGCAAGCTCGCGGTCCTTGTCGCCCATTGGGCACCACTCAAAGTCGACGACGCCCTCGATCTTGATCGACTTCTTTTCGAGCAGGCCCATAGAAGGGGTCTCGTAGACGCTGATGGCCTGACCGGGGTTGAGACGAGCGCAGTACTTGTCATCGGGGCTCCATTTGAGGAAGGGCCAGGAGAAGCCCTTGAGCTGGCCTGGCTGGCCACTCTCGTCCTGAGGAACAGGGAAAGAACGCAAGAGGTGGCCGGTTCGGACCTCCCAGACGGCGATGCGGTTTCCCTCGTCTTCAGGGCCAAAGAATTGGGGACCGATGGGAGCGTTGTCGGGAACCTGGATAGGCTCGTGGGACCAGGTGACCATGTATTTTTCGCTGGGAGAAAAGTCTACGAGGCGGGCACCGGGGTGGGGGAAGCGCATGAAGCGCTCGCAGGAAGGGCCACCCCAGATCTGAATGCCTTGACGGTGGAAGGTGGTGAGGAAAGTGCCGAGGGGCGACCACTGGACGTAGCTCTCCGTCCAGCGGGGACGGCTGTGCTCTACCTGAGGATCGGAGGAGCGGTTGTGCCAAGCGATCTCTACGTCGTCACCACGGCAAATGACGAGCTGATCGCGACCAGAAGGGTCTGCGAGCCAAGAGCGAAGGTGCTCGCGCGGCTTGAACTCCTCGTCTTCGGGTTCTACGTACTCTTCGGAAAGGCTGGCGAACTTTTCGACGTCGGTGAAACGGTGGACGGAGAAGCGGTGCTTCTTGTCGAACGCGTAGCCGTCCATCTGACGGATGGCCTGAGCAGCATCCTCAGCGGAGGCCATCTCGACAAAGAGGTAGCCCTTGGAGTCGCCATTGTCGGCGTACGGGATGTGCATGCCCTCGACAGCAATGTCGATGTTGGCGTGGGTTTTGAAACGCTTCTGTATGGTCTCGAAGAGCTTCTGCTGGCGAGACTCGGTGATGACGGGGACGCCTTCGATGACAATGATGTCGTCGAGACCCTCGTCGAACTTGACCGAGTACTTTTGCTCGATGTCGGAAAAGTCGATGTCGTCATCGTGGACCAAGTCGAGATCGTTGACACCGTTTGTGATGTCTTGCACGCTAGGCATGATGGGCAGTAGCTGATATGCTGATGGGTGAAGAGGCGAATGCACGGATGCTGATGCCACGGGACCACTGACAAGCTCGCGAACAGACGAACAGCTGGACGGGAAGCTTGGCGATGTGTGGGATGTCGGCGAAGGCTGAGTGTGCAAGCCGGCCGCGATGAACCAAAGATGAGGGTATGGGGTCTGAACGACCTTTTTGTGGATTGTGTCGAGATGTGACAGAGGTGGTGGCAGAGTCGAGATCAACTTGAGACGATGAAGACGATCATGTGCCTTCTGTATCAAGACGAGACGGAATCTGCGTGTGCTGCTGCTGCTCTGCCGCTGTTCTGATTTTTTCGCTTCTTCGTCTCTTTCTTCTCGTCTGACACTCTTGTGACCCTTTGTCTCTCGACATTTGACTGCGTGCTGTGTGTTGGATTTTCTCCTCTATGAAGCTTGCTGAATTTCAACGCGTTTGCAGTTAGTTCCAGCTCAGAACAGACAAAGCGCGCTCAGCGAGTTCTCCGCAGTCGAGACCATTATTGATCTCTCTCGTGCGATTCGAACCCCTGCCAGGGTCCTTGAATTTTCAACGCTTGTGTCGAGCTACAGCTAACTTTCCTCGCTCCAAAAATTTTGGAAATTCCAGATACGAGCGGCGAGGAGCCAAAGAAAAAGCACGCACACACACCCACTACTGCTGTCTGCAACCACAAAGCTTGACAAAGTCGAACTGCTGCTGAGCTCCTCTTCCTCTCGAGGCTATCAATCCATCCTTCTCCTCTTCCCTCACACCATCCACAAGGCGCGCTCGTTCTCCGTCGTTGCCGTCATCACCCATCACTCCTCTGCACTATGGGTAAGAAGCAGGAGAAAAAGACGGCCAAGGGTCGTCTCGACAAGTTCTATTGGCTCGCAAAGGAGCAAGGTTACCGATCCCGTGCCGCCTTCAAGCTGGTCCAGCTCAACAAGAAGTTCAACTTCCTCGAAAAAGCGAGATGCTGTATCGATCTTTGTGCCGCTCCAGGTGGTTGGCTCCAGGTCGCCTCCAAGTTCATGCCCGCCAACTCCCTCATCGTCGGTGTCGATCTCGTTCCCATCAAACCCATCCCCAGGACCATCACTTTTGCCGAGGACATCAACTCTTACAAGTGCAGAGACCAGCTGCGCCAGATCCTCAAGGACTGGAAGGCAGACATCGTCATCCACGATGGTGCTCCCAACGTTGGTACCGCTTGGGTGCAAGACGCCTACGCACAGTCCGAGCTCACCCTCCAGTCGTTGCGTCTTGCTGTCGAGTTTCTCAACGCAGGCGGCACCTTCGTCACAAAGGTCTTCCGCTCCAAAGATTACAACAACCTTCTTTGGGTCTTCAACCAGCTCTTCAAAAAGGTTGAAGCCACAAAGCCCTCCTCCTCTCGTAACGTCTCGGCAGAAATCTTCGTCGTCTGCCAAGGCTACAAGAACCCTGCCCGCATCGACCCCAAGTTCCTCGACCCCCGCCACGTATTCAAAGAGCTCGACCCTGCTGCGCTCTCCGTTGACGATAAAGAAGCCGGCGTACCGCTCAGTCTCAAAGGCACATCTGCCGGCAATGCACACGCAAACGTATTCGAACCCAAAAAGATCCGCAGGAACCGTGAAGGTTACGCCGATGGAGACTATACCCTTTTCCACTCCCTCGACGCCATGGACTTCATCAAGGGTCAAGACGTCATCGGCATGCTCGGCTCCTACAATCAAATCACTTTCAACTCGGACGAGAGCAAGACGCTGCTACAGCTTCCAGATACCACCGATGAGATGCGCGAGAACTGCACAGATCTCAAAGTGCTCGGTAAGAAGGACTTCCGCAACCTCATGAACTGGCGCAAGGAGGTGCGTCTCGCTCTTGGTCTCGACCTGCCCAAGTCGAGGCAAAAAGACCTCGCAGAGCAGACCGAAACCGTCGAGGTCGAAGACATGGACGAAGACGATCAGATCGACGACGAGCTCGCGCGCCTCAACGAAGAGGCCGCCAGGAAAGCTCGCAAGGAGAGGCGTCGCAAGAACGAACTCCGTCAGAAAAAGATCCTCAAGATGCAGCTCCAGATGACCACTCCCATGGACATTGGCATGGATGTCATGGACGACCAATTGGGCGCGGGCAACGGCGACATGTTCGATATCGGCTCCGGCGAGAGAGTCTCAAAGAAGGCTCTGATCCAGCAGGCCGACGTCTCAGATGACGAGAGCGAGACCATCGTCAGCTCTCAGCACGACGACGACGACGACCCGCAGGCACGAGCACAGCGTCTCGACGCCGAGATGGATGCGCTCTACGATGAGTTCAAGCAGAAGCAGTCGGAGCGCGATGCAAAGTTCCGCGCAAAGCAGGCACGCCTCAAAGACGCCAAAAATGACTCCTGGCATGGCATCAAGGATGACGATGAGGAGAACGACGATGACGACGATGACGAAGCCAACATGAGCGATGAGAGCGAGGGCGGTTATGATCTCGTACAACGTCGCAAGGAGCAAGAAGAGACCTACGATACCGATGACGAGGAGGACGAAGAGGACGAACGCCTCGAGCGAGTTGCAACGCAACAATCCAAGAAGAGGAAGCGTCCGATTGCCGCTGCCATCTCCGACAGTCCTGACGTAGACGCCAAGTCCTCCAAACGCTCGCTCATCAACAGCCTTGTAAGCGATGCAGATGTCAGCACCCAGCAGAGCCGCGAAGCTTCTATCTGGTTTGACAATCCTCTGTTCAAAGACCTCGATCTCGGCGCACAGGACGAACCAGCAAATTTGGAAGAAGAAGATGACGACGAGGATGCTTGGGAAGAGGCTGAAGACGACGATGAGGAAGACGATGAGGAGATGGCCAGTCAAGACGAGCAATTTGAAGATGAAGAGGAAGACGACTTCGAAGTCGTCCCTCAAGATCAAGAAGAGGACGCCATTCCCGACGACGAGTGGGACTTGAACGGGGAAGACGAAGAAGCAGGAAAGCAGAAGCGCATACAGGATCACGGCCTCGCCACCGCCGAAGCTGTCGCCCTCGCCCAAGCGCTCGTCAACCGTCAAATCACAAGGGAGGAACTCGTGGACCAAGGGTTCTCCAAGAACAACTTTGTCGACAAGGACGGTCTTCCCACCTGGTTCCTCGACGACGAGCAGAAGCACTACAAGGCCAACATCCCCATCACCAAAGAGGCTATGCAGGCGCTGCGCGATCGCCAACGAGCGCTCGATGCGCGACCCATCAAGAAGATCGCCGAAGCCAAGGCACGAAAGAAGATGCGCACGCTTCGCCGACTCGAAAAGGCGCAGCAGAAGGCCGAGACGATCAACGAGAACGAGGACATTTCGGAAAAAGAAAAGTCCAACACCATCAACAAGCTGCTCGCCAAATCGGTCAAGGGCGGGCAGAAGAAGAAGGAGGTGCAGCTGGTGGTGGCCAGGGGTGTCAACCGTGGTCTCAAGGGCCGACCCAAGGGCACAAAGGGTCGCTACAAGATGGTCGATCCACGCATGAAGAAGGAACTCCGCGCGTTCAAGAGGAAAGCCAAGCGCGACGGCAAAAAGCTCGGATCTTCCAACTCCACGCCAAGAGTGCCCAAGGGTTACGGTCCACGCAACTGATCGATGCTCGATCTTGTTGTAGCATTTCATGTCTGTCTCTCGCATCTCACGCATCTCTTGTACACCATCTCAATTGTCGTTGCATTCATGACTCTCACTCTTCACCGTTTTCGTGTTCGTACCAGTCCTCGTGAAAAGTTGGCGTGGTGAAGATGCATTCCCCTGATGATTTGTTGATAAATTATCTTGAAAGCGGTCGGAAGCGCACGCAGGCATGGGCTTCCGCACTCTACTTGGCCGCCTTTTCGCTCGGCAGATCCTCTGGAGGAGCTTCAAAGACTACGGTCGGGATGGGCATGGATGGTGCTGAAGTGGATGCGGACGCGGACGACGCGCCTTCCGTGGCCGAAGCGTCTCTTGCTGCGGAGGACGATGCTGCCGACTTTACTGAATCACTGCGTTGCAGGTTGCTGGACCGGGAGCCCGAGCCTTTGTTGGAGGACAAGCGCTGATCGAGCGCTTTGAGCGCCATGGCTCGTCTACGCTCTGCTTCGGCCCGCGCACTGCCCTGTGGAGGAGCCTGGCCGTTCAACGAAGCCGATTCGAGGTCGGCGTAGTCTCCTCCGGTCCAAGGCTGTACGACCTTGATCTTCACGAAGATGTTGAACAGCGTTGTCGAGATGAACTGAACCGGCTTGTGGGCGATAGGCGGGAACCAGTTGACAAACGCAAAAGCCTCGCTGCGATCACCCTTGTAGCCAGACTCGTTGACTTGGAAGAAACGCAGGTAGGCCCACGAGATAAGCCAGCCGAACTGAATGAGAATCCATGGCGAGGTGTAACCAATGAGGCACATGACGTTACTGACAGTCACATAAAGCATGGGCAGATCCTTGATGCGAAGTTTGAGCGCACCGCTAAGCACTTGCACTTGGTGCTCGGGAATGAGCTGAGTGAAAGCAACGAGGAAAGCGGTCTGCAACGCCTGAAGTCCGTGGAACTGAATCCCCCAGATGAGCACCTCCTTGCGGAATACACCAAAAAGAAGAAGCTGCAGACCCCATGCGATGATGTTGCTGCCTACAAGAACGACAACGGAGAATTTGACGAGCTCGATGGCACCCCACTGTCGTTCGAGGTATCTGGCTGCCAGAGGAAGTGAGACGATCGAGACGATGAATTCGAGGATGGACGACTCGCAGAAACTGGAGGTGATGAGCGTCCATGGATACCAGAAGCTAGCACCGGGAACAATGACGAGCCATGGGAACTTGACCGCACTTATCGTGCCGAATCCGAGTCCGGTTTGGAGGCGCAAGAAGAAAAGCAGAGTAGTGAACGCAAGGAGCGCACCTGTCAAGACTCTGGTGCCTGGAGGAACATTCTGGAGGAGTGTTGACAGTGAGAACACCGCCATGGCTGGAGCTGAGTGCCGATTCTGAAGGCTCGATGGCTGACAGCGACAGTCGATGAGCTAGGACGGAGATATGGTGGAGCAGAAGAGCGATGCCAGCTGAGTTTCGTGATCGACCTAGAAGTCGAAGATGCACAACCAACGCTCGGCTCGAGTCGCGTGTTCCGAAAAGTCGCGCATCCCTAGCTCAAAATTTCGCACAACATACTCAACAGGGTCACACTGCAGCGGCAATCATGGCATTCAGCACGATTCGACGGTGACCGTGAGAATGAGATACACCCTCTGTTGCGAGAGCACACGAGGTCATCACCTCAAGAGCTCGCGAATGGCGCCCCAAGCTGCGCGAAACCCACGCTTCTTCTTGGGCGCAACAGCCGTCGCGGTGTTCTGATCCGTAGCCAAGTTGGATGCGGATGAAGCTGGCTGCTCGTGGGCCGAGTCTTTGACATAGACCTCGCCAGAAAGATCGACCGAAGCTTTGGCTCGTTCGGCGTTGGAGTCAACATTCTGGGTTGCAGGTGCGACGCCAGCGACATCGGAGCTGTTCAACGAATGCGTACGTGTAGCGCAACATCGAGGCACGAATGTGTATTGGGAAGTACAAGTACAGTGGTCGAGGGTCAGTGTGTGTTCACTGCTTGATCTCAAGAGCAGGACCTGGATGCATGCTGAGTACTGAGCGGGTATCTGAGGTAAGAACAGTCAACATCTGTGCTTACTTTTGATCCGCTACCGAAGTCTTCGCCAGCGCATCGGCAAGCTCGTCAGTCTCGTCGACCTTGGGCTGCGCCGCTGCTGTCTCGGGCTCTGGTTCCTCGTTACTCTCCTCCTCATCTTCCTCGTCTTCGCCCTCGTCTTCCTCTTCGCCTTCGCTCTCTTCGCCCTCGGGATCCATCTCGTCGAGCTCGAGAAGAGCATCCTCGTGACCGTGCTTGGCTAATGCGGCCTTGATCTTTTCGATGCATTCGTCTTCCTCGTCGGCCCAGTTGCCATTGATGTCGAGCTTGGTCAAGCTGCTCAAGTGGAGCTCAATGGCGCTGCCAAGTTGTGCGAGGACCTTGCGGTCGAGGTCGCAGTACTGAACCTGGATGGTCTCGAGCGCCGGGTTGCTGCCGTTGGCGAGTGCACCAAACACGAGCGCACCTCCCTTGGGTTTCAAAAGACAGTCAGAGAGATTGAGCGTCTTGAGCTTGGGCCACTTTGGCAGACACGCTGCGATGGCGCGCGAGCCTCGAAGCGTGGCTGTGTTGTCTTGGAGGTCGAGCACCGCGAGGTTGGCACACGAGGCGAGGCCTTTGCTGATGGCCTCGATGCCTTCCATGCGGATACCGTTCTGGAACATGCGGACCTCAGTAAGACCACCGTGAGCTGCGTACGCTTTTGCCCACACGGGAGCCGAGCCATTCTCAAGCCGATTGCGCCCACAGATGACGGTGCGAAGTTTTGACTCGAGGCCCTTGGTCTTGAGATTCTGTGCAGCTTCGTAAAGAGCTTCTGCGACGATGGTACCTCCCGTGATGCCGAGCCCGTTGTTGTTGAGCTTGAGCACAGAGAAGCTGTGGTTGTTCCTCAGAAAGTTGACCATAGGCTCGGCAGATCGTCCACCGAAGGCGTTGTCGGAGAGGTTGAGCTCCACGAGGCTGGTGTGGTCGGTGAGAGCATCGCAGAGCGCTCTGAGAGCATCAGGGATCTCAGTGATCAGTCGCCCTGTGAAGATGTCGGCAAAGTCGGCCACCTTGAGGGTCTTCTTGGTCTTCAATACATCGGCGAGAGCTTGACATGCCTCGACGCCGAGGGTGTTTCCTCCCAGGTGAACTTCTTCGAGGTCGGCGATTTGGTCGAGCTTGTCGAGGTGAGGCTGGATATCAGCCTTGGTATCGAGCTTGAGCCCCTGCCCAACGAGCGAGAAGATTTTTGACCCGTCTGACATGATTGTATGAGAATGGAACGACGATGCGATGCTAGGAGAGGTGGGACAATCGTGTGAGTGCAGGAGGAGGAAAGACGTTGGACAAGCATTCGACTATGCAAAAGTAACACATCGCTCTAGAAAATATCACGCCCGCTCTCCTTCGCATATGTCACACGCTGTGTGCCTTTCCGTTGACAGTTCTTCTATCATCGCACTTTGGCCGATCTGAAATTTCTAAAACACCCGATTGTCAGATCGAATTGCGCAAAGCGCGCTCGCTATCAGCTGCGGCAACGGCTCGAGGTCCGAGCTCCATCTGACAACGTGCCTCATCTATCAGTTGACAATTTCTTTCGTGTGGCGATGACTTATAGAGCGTCTCTTTCTCTCGTTCAAGGCCAGCATCGGATGCTTGACGTGGAGGCTCAGCCCAAGGGAGAATCCAGCCCGCCGCCATGGTGAGGCCTGCTAGCGCACTGCCGCGGAGATTGTCGCTGTCAAGAGTCGTTGCTGGTGACCAAGCAACCGTGCTGAGCAGGATGGCCTCGCACTCGTCTATTTTCCTCTGCGCGCAAGGGCCCGTTGTGAGGGGGAATGTTGAGCCGGGCGGTGAACGAAGCCGGGCAGCTGAGCAGTCTTCCAGACTGTTGGTGTGTGCGCAGTTCTTCTCAGAATACAAACCCTGCAGCTTGTAATTCAAATCTGGCAAAGCCATCAGGGACGACAATTCAAAGGCGGCATGCAACTTGGACAGAGCGCTCAGTGGTTGCCTCTCGTCGGACGACTGCGCTGCGTAGGCACGAGATTTTGACAAGATCGGCGGCCAATCATTCGCCGTGGGTCGATCCGCCTTCTGCTCTCAGGTTCCTGCCTCTAAAATTTTTTTCTCCTCTCTTGTCCCTTCGTCTGCCTCGAGCAGAGCAGTCCTTTTTTGTTCTGTGGGCGTTGAGCCACTTGTCCAATTTTGCATTGCCTTTGTCCTACCGCAAATTTCTCACTCTGCTGCTGGCTCTGTAGGGCCCTATTCGCTGTCGCCGCCGTCGCCGCCGCCGCTGCTGCCACCAGACTGTGTCGAGCTAGAGGTCACTGCCAAATCACTTTACCCTCTTCTTCCACCAACCATCTCCCCCCTTCCCTACCCATCTCTCTCGATCTCAAGCGCATCGACGCTAGTGTTCAGTCAAGATGGTTAAGTGAGTACTTGAAAGCACAAGCATCGCATCACCATCGCACGAGAATGCCTACCAGCAGCCCTCACATTGCGATGGATTTGTGTCAGCAAACGATACAATCATAGCGCCCATACCAGTATCATTCATTGAACGCACTCTGACCATCGTGTACCTCTATTGCTTATCTGATGCGTTTCTCGACTTGCACAGCTTCACCGTCGACGAGATCCGTGGCCTCATGGACAAGCCCACCAACATCCGTAACATGTCGGTCATTGCCCACGTCGACCACGGTAAATCCACCCTTACCGACTCGCTCGTTTCCAAGGCCGGTATTATCGCCGGTGCCAAGGCCGGTGACACCCGTTTCATGGACACCCGTGACGATGAGAAGGAGCGTGGTATCACCATCAAGTCCACCGCCATCTCCATGTACTTCCCCATGGAGAAGGATGCCCTCGATGCCATCGCCCAGAAGAAGGACGGCAACGAGTTCTTGATCAACCTTATCGACTCGCCCGGTCACGTCGACTTCTCCTCCGAGGTCACCGCCGCTCTCCGTGTCACTGACGGTGCTCTCGTCGTCGTCGACTGTATCGAGGGTGTCTGTGTGCAGACCGAGACCGTGCTCCGTCAGGCCCTGACCGAGCGTATCAAGCCCGTCGTCTGCTTGAACAAGGTCGACCGTGCTCTCCTCGAGCTTCAGGTCGGCAAGGAGGACCTCTACCAGTCCTTCATGCGTACCATCGAGTCCGTCAACGTCGTCATCGCCACCTACAACGACCCCGTCCTCGGTGAGAGCCAGGTCTACCCCGAGAAGGGTACCGTCGCCTTCGCCTCCGGTCTTCACGGCTGGGCTTTCACCCTCCGTCAGTTCGCCAACCGATACGCCAAGAAGTTCGGTGTCGACAAGGACAAGATGATGGTCAAGCTCTGGGGCGACAACTTCTTCAACCCCAAGACCAAGAAGTGGACCACCAAGGACACTGACGCCGATGGCAAGCCCCTCGAGCGTGCCTTCAACATGTTCGTCCTTGACCCCATCTTCCGCGTCTTCGACGCCATCATGAACTTCAAGAAGGACGAGATCCCCAAGATCCTCGAGAAGCTCGACGTCAAGCTCACCCAGGACGAGCAGGACCTCGAGGGCAAGCAGCTCCTCAAGGTTGCCATGCGCAAGTTCCTTCCCGCCGGTGACGCCCTCCTCGAGATGATTGTCATCCACCTCCCCTCGCCCGTCACTGCCCAGCGCTACCGTGTCGAGACCCTCTACGAGGGTCCCCTCGACGACGAGTCGGCCATCGGTATCCGTGACTGTGACCCCAAGGGTCCCCTCATGCTCTACGTCTCCAAGATGGTCCCCACCTCGGACAAGGGCCGATTCTACGCCTTCGGCCGTATCTTCTCCGGTACCGTCAAGTCGGGCCCCAAGATCCGCATCCAGGGTCCCAACTACACCCCCGGCAAGAAGGAGGACCTCTTCATCAAGTCGGTCCAGCGTACCGTGCTCATGATGGGCCGTTACGTCGAGCCCATCGAGGACTGCCCCGCCGGTAACATTCTCGGTCTCGTCGGTGTCGACCAGTTCTTGCTCAAGTCCGGTACCCTCACCAGCTCCGAGACCGCCCACAACCTCAAGGTCATGAAGTTCTCGGTTTCGCCCGTCGTGCAGGTCGCCGTCGAGGTCAAGAACGCCAACGACTTGCCCAAGCTCGTCGAAGGTCTCAAGCGTCTCTCCAAGTCGGACCCCTGTGTGCAGGCTTGGATCGCCGAGACCGGTGAGCACATTGTCGCCGGTGCCGGTGAGCTCCACCTCGAGATTGTCCTCAAGGACCTCGAGGAGGACCACGCCCAGATCCCCCTCAAGATCTCGGACCCCGTCGTCGGTTACCGTGAGACCGTCCAGGCTGAGTCCTCCATGGTTGCCCTCTCCAAGTCGCAGAACAAGCACAACCGTCTCTTTGTCAAGGCTCAGCCCATCGACGAGGAGCTCTCCAAGCTCATCGAGGCCGGCAAGATGACCCCTCGTGACGACTTCAAGGCTCGTGCCCGTGTTCTCGCCGACGACTTCGGCTGGGACGTCACCGACGCCCGTAAGATTTGGTGCTTCGGCCCCGAGACCACCGGCCCCAACCTGTTGGTCGATGTCACCAAGGGTGTTCAGTACCTCAACGAAATCAAGGATTCGTGTGTCGCCGCCTTCCAGTGGGCCACGAAGGAGGGTGTTTGCGCCGAGGAGCCCATGCGTGGTACCCGCTTCAACATCCTTGATGTCACCCTGCACACCGACGCCATCCACCGCGGTGGTGGACAGCTGATCCCCACCTGCCGACGTGTCTGCTACGCCGCCGCTCTGCTCGCCCAGCCCGGTATCCAGGAGCCCGTGTACCTGGTCGAGATCCAGTGCCCCGACTCTGGTCTCGGTGGTATCTACTCGTGCCTCAACAGGCGCCGTGGCCACGTCTTCTCCGAGGAGCCCCGTGTCGGTACGCCCATGGTCACCGTCAAGGCTTACCTGCCCGTCAACGAGTCGTTCGGCTTCAACGCCGATCTCCGACAGGCCACCTCCGGTCAGGCTTTCCCTCAGTCCGTCTTCGACCACTGGCAGCTCCTCCCCGGCACTCCTCTGGAGGCCGGTAAGACCCTCGACATCGTCACCGCCATCCGAAAACGCAAGGGCCTAAAACTTGAGGTTCCTCAACTTGATCACTATTATGGGACTTATCTTTTCACCTTAACCCTTTCAGACATCTCGAACGTCATGCTAACCTCTTTCTCCTTTGTTCTTTCTTGTCCTCTCTTCCCCTCGCTGCCTCTGCTTATCGATCACAGACAAGCTCGTAAGTTCATTTTTCTCAGAGATCGCTCGAAAACTAGAATCGAAGCTGACAGGGTATCCCCTCCTTCTCTCTCGTACAGTAAATGGTCTCGACCTCGAGGTTCCCACAACGTTTCGTCGATGTCCCCCCGGTGTGACCTCCGCCAAATGTCTTCCCGCCGCCGTTTTGCGGCGGTTACCCAAAATGCATCTGTTCCCCCTCCGTGTCCTCGTGTGAATGAGTCGAGCGAAACCGTGAGCGTGAAGACACCCTTGAGCCGGACATGCATTGTCGACTCACGACCACTATCATCAAGTGACCAAAAGAATCGCACCTGTCGCCAGAAAATCTCACTTTTCTCCGAATAGTCTTACTTTTCGCCAAATAATCTCAATCTCATTGAAGAAACCTCACATGCCTGTCGTTTAGCGCAACCCGTCTCGTTGTGTGTGCACCTAGCATCTCCGCGAGCACACATACGGACACAGGGAAGAACAGACGACAAGATATACGAGGAACACTTCATTTGGTGAATTTGTCAAGTTAAACGTGCAGATCTGATCGATGAGCGTTGAAGAATGACGAGCGTGTACTTGCTCGACCTGAACTACTTGAGCGCATGAACATACTTGACAATGGCTCCCTCAGGGTTCCTCGGGGACGAGTTCAGCGTCATCCTGAGCGTCATCCTGGGCGACAGTCGTCCTAGATGTGGCTTGTCGAACAGTCGGCATGTCCAGGACAGCCGATGGACCCCCTTTCATCTGCTTCAAAAAACTGATGAGGTTCCTCGCCCTCTCGTTGTCAATGACGAGCTTCTCGTTTTCAGCCTTCAGAGCAATGTTAGCCTGAGTGGTAACCTTGTTCGAAGCTTCCAGCACTGCCATCTGTTGCTTCAATCTAGCAACCTCGTTCAAGGGACCTTTTGCTGCTGTACGGATCGAGTCATCGAGAGCATTGAGCTGGCTTCGAATGGCAGCCAAGTCGCGGCGCACCTGTGTGGAATCGGCTTGGACGCGATCCACAGCCACGATCAGCTTGGCAGTCGTTTGTTCCGTTGTGTCAGCAGGCGTCATCTGTACGTGAAAGTTTCGAGATGTCAGCGTCGACTGGTATCTTCATCACGGCTGACTGTATAAGCGAGAGACCTCTTCTGGCTCCCTATCACCGCTGAGTCAATCTTCCGATGTCTTTGCTGCTGGCAACCGTGTCCATCGCACTGCAACCTGTGAAGTTCGAGAGTGACTTACTTTGAGATGGAGAGGGATGATACGATGACAAAGGAAAGCGCGCGTCGCGATGGCGATGGGATGGACTGATTGTGCGTTGGGGGATGGGAGCTGGCGAGGAGACCGTGTAAGAGATCCTGGAAGTCGCACATGGAAGACGGAAATGACGAGGACAGACGTCCAACTCGACTCCTTTATGTCCCTTCGGACATCAGACCTATCTTGTAGGCCGTTTTCATTCGTGTAGGTATCGAAGATTCTGCTTCCGCGCCCCAGCCCTCTGAAATCTTGGCTGTGGCCGGTCTTCCTCAGACGCGAGCGACGCAAGGGTGCTGTCGGGTTGGAAGGCCTAACCTGCGCAGAACTCATTGAGAGTGGCCTTCTGCGCACGTTTGCATCTACTCTCGCTTCGTTCTCATGATCTGTGCACTCGCGCAGAGTCAGGCTTGTTTAGACTCTGCAGTCGTGGCCTGACCGAAGTTTCACATACCGTCGCTGTCGGATCAGAAAGCTTTGCGCACTCGGTGTCGAGATTTTCAATCCACATGCTCGCGCTATGCCCGTGCCTTCGGAACAAGGCTTTGTGGTTGCGAAGGGCAGACGAATAAGAAGCTTTTCTTGTGAAGCCACCTATCTTAATGCTCCGCGCTTTTCAGGATAAGGTTAGAAAGGATCTCGATCCAATCTTGCTGACGGCAGGGGTCTAGAGAATCCTCATCACAGTTTATGCAATCCAACCACATTGCGTGCCACTCCACGACCAGAGCAGGATGCTAAATCAGCCCGCCTGTGAAACTCAAAGCTGGGGCAGACACCGGTCGCATACTCTCTGCATGCACAGCGCAGACGGCCTCGCCTCCTTGCAAACGAAAGGGAAGCCACATACAGTCTACGCTGCCTTTGCCAGACAGACAATGAACATTGTTGTCAGGAGGGAGACGGACGTGAAGAAGGAAAATTGGTGACTTGCTGTACCTTCGACCCATGTGGACTTAGATCAAGCTGCATGCAGAATCGTCTTCAGCGGTGCATCAGCAAGCTTTGACGGAATGAACAGGGCATCCTGCAGCGGTGACGTACGCACGCGTAGCCAAGCGACTCTGGCGTTCTGAATCATAAAATCTGTTTTGCCTTCTGCACAGAAGCTCATGCATACTCTGAGTCGATAAGTTCTTGTGAATCTTCGGAGAACCTAACCCTCTGCCAGCTGCAGCGAGCAGTACGGGCTTTTCATCAAACTAAACTTTGCGGAGAGTGGGTGACTTGCGACAATGTTGTTGGCAAAGGAGTGAAGCGCAGCGCAACTCGACAGGACATACAGTACACCTGATTTAAATGCCCTACTTTTCTTGACCGACCTCATCTGACAATGGCGAAGCAGGACAAGCTTCAAGATTCGGCCACAATCAACCAGATGTCACAGCGACGGCGTCCCCTTCCGTTCTTTCCCACTTCGTCCGAGACACCCACACAGTAAACGGTCTCAACGTCGAGCGCTCATCAACGTGTTTTCCAGTGACCCTGGCTTCGCTGTTGTGCACCTTCCCGTTGCATTTGGCGACGATTCTCGAAAATCCGTTTGAGATATTCCGAGTAAAACTTTGAGCGTGGACGCATGATTTGGGTTGCAAGGTGAAGTTATATGACAGCTTCGACATGTTTGAAAATCCTCGACGAGCTTGAAATTTGGTGAGATGCGGATGCGGGTCGATATTACCGGGGTCCATGCGGCCATTTTTTCACGCGTCTAGTTTCTCAGTGTCCGAAGGATCTCAATCATTTCCTTGTGGCTGCTTGCCCCACCCAGTTTATGGTAATGAATACGACTTTAGTGTCCTCGACTCAAGTGGATAATTACTCGAAATGGATGAAGCTGGCACATCCGCTGTCTGCGACCGGTTAACCGAAACGCTTGTTCCATTTGGGTGTGAAATGTGAGCTCAGGTGTGGAAGCGGCAGCGGGGCGTGCAAGAGTGAGAACGGGTCACTGGCCGCACGGGCAACTGCGGAGAAATGTTATCAGCATTATTGTATCTCGCTTCGTTCATCTTTCTGCCTCTTGCCTCCATCAGCTCGATCAAAAATCCGTGCTTTGCATCATTATGTCGGCCCTCCAACAGGTGATCCTCCATCCTTACCTCTCGCAACTTCTGCGTTTCTGGTCTACCACCGTTGGTAGGGACAAGACCTACCGTACCATCCAATATGCAGCTCGATTCCTCGCGTGGTACGAATACCGCAAGGGTGCTACCAAGGAGACCGTGGCTCGTCTGACCGCACTCAAATCGCAGCTCGGCCTCAGCCGTAAGCTCATGCGAGTCGGCAAATTCCTCGAGCACTTCCAGGCCGCCCTCAAAGCCACCACCATCCAGGACCCCGTCGTCTCGTATGCCGCCATCGGACGACAGCTCGGATACGGTTTCTACCTCATCCTCGACACGCTTCAGTGGATCCACGGCGCCAAGGTCTACACCTTCGAAAAGGCCACTGCAGACAAGATCTCCAAGAACGCAGCCCGATTCTGGTTGCTCGGTCTCACCTTCTCCCTCGCTTCGGGAAGCTACAAGACGTATGTGCTGCAACAGCGCGCAGCAAGCGCAAAGCGTCCTCGCGCTACAGCCGAGAAGGAGGCGGAGCGCAAGATCGAGATTGCACAGATCTCTACCGAGCAAGCCGCCGTGCGCTACCAGATGACTCAGGATGCGCTCGACTGGTTGATCCCTGCTACCGGTGCCGACATTCTTGGCCTCGACGAAGGTATTCTGGGTCTTGCCGGTTGTGCTTCGTCAATGATGGGTGCCCGCACTCAGTGGAGGGCTGTCAACGGATCAGCGGCCAAGTCCAAGTAAGACCGATGCCGACGCCAAAGACGGAAGCGGCGCATCACGCGATGCCCCCACTCCTCATATTTCGATGTATTGTTGCCGACACGAATACCATGCGCGATTATCCAACCATGACTTCCGACGACTCTCAGCTGCAAGAGAGCACAAAGACATCCAATCTACTTTGTGACAGTGGCTCGATCCGACAGCACGTTGGCTGTGAGCGCACCGCGACTTTCGACACACTTTCTCTTCGCGCGTCGGTGATTCCAGTCATCGGCTTTCACTCCAGATTGATCAGCATTGTGAAAGCGTGTCAACATTGGTCGGAAAGGACTACAGCACAAAACACAGCACCAAACAGGGTGAGAAGTAATGGTACAATTCCTCCAGTGGGAGTGCTAAGCCAGCGGAACCTCGACACGCCATTCCATGAGCATCTTGGCAAAGTCGATCGATTGGCTCGAGTTGCCAAAGCCTTCAAAGTCTTGATGGCCGAGTAGATCCATGTCGAGTTGAGGCAGCTCCGACGATGAGCCAACTGGTTCGAGACCAAAGACATCGAGACCATCCAGATTCTCTAGCAGCTTCGGATCGAATGCTAACGAAAGGCCAGTACTGTCGATTGTAGCAACGTCTGCTTGCGGAACATTGGCGGCGAACGCGTTTTCGATCCGAGACGACGGACACGATGCTGATGAGGCCGTGTTCGTGAGATTCTCAGAGAGCGATGGGATCGACATCAGCGACGACGACGCCTCTTGCGTTAGTGCAGCTTGATCTCCAGTTTCGAGCTCATCCCGCAGGGAGTTTTGGAGCCAAGTGGGTAGAGAATGCTCGTTTTCGAGCAGATTGTTACGGAACGACCGCCAGTAGCCTTCGTTGAGCAGCACGTCGAGGATCTGGCAAGTGGCATGCCATCGTTGGCGCAATGCCACAGCAGCTTCTTGTACGGCCGCGTCGCCCGATGGATGGACCGACCCGAGCTGAAGTTGATGCTGCTGCTCCTCGAGTCCGAGCAAGAGCTTGACCAGTTGAACCTGCAACGACACTTTTGTCTTGGTCGACGAGACTTCCATAGGGACCTTTTCTAGAGCAGCCGTGATCTTACGGCGAGTCATCAGCCTCGACAAGCCGCTGACGTTGACGGGCGTCTCGGTGAAAAAGAGATTGAGCAGCAGCACCAAGCACGCACGCAGCGTCTGCAGCGTGTTGAGTTGGCAGTTGTCGAGGCGTGTGCAAATGTCGGCGACCTTGTCCTGGATGTCGAGGATGTGACCCGCCATGTACATCAGGCTGCCATGCGGACGGGTAGCCTCAGAGATGAGGGGCATGTGCAGCGTGAGGAACAGGTGGAAGAGTCTTTGGTGCAACAGCCAACGCTCGACATCGACCAGACCGATGACTTCGTAGCGCGCTTCGAGCGAGTAGTGAGCAGGAAACGACGCGACCAGCGACTGGAACTTCTGGTCAAGCGAGTCACGTTGAGCAGCAGAGAGTCGCTGACCAAACACAGACGCAAGACCCCATCCATCGGCGGAGGCGGGACCGTCGTCGAGGTCCGACTGCGCATTGACCTGATCGACGAGGGTGCGGGTCATGATGGCAAAGTCGATGGAGGCAAGCGAGTAGCTGACGTGGGTCCAGGTGGAACGAAGATGGGAGCGCGGACACGGATGTTGCAGAAGTTCGTCGTCGAAGAGGATCAAAGGTTTGCGCGTATTGAATTGCAGCGGAGAGATGCGATAGGAGCGCGACTTGTTGCTCTGGCTCCAGTCTCGACGTACGAGCGCCCACCAGCAGCGAATGGCCATCTCGACCGTGATCGCCTGATGCGGTTTGGCTTTCGGAGAATGGATCCTATCGAACGTCCCGAGACGGTGGATGCGCATGCGGATTGCAGATCGAATAGCGCAATCAGCCAGCGAATCTAGGAAAGCGGACGAGCCTTTGCCGCACTCCAGCATCAGGACGGCAGTCTGGAGCTCCGAAATGCTACCAAAGGTGAACGTCGACTCAAAGCGCTGAATCCGCTTGACGAGGGCAAAGATGCGACGCAGTCGCTGACGGATGTCTTTCTGCCCGAGAGGCTCGACGTTGGCTCCAGAGCTGGTTGAACGACCCCACGTGTAGGTTCCATCGAGCGGGGCAAATCGCAGCGCAGCAAAGATCACCATGAGGCTTGCAGTAATGTGTCCGAAAGCGACCCGCTCGCGTCGCTCATAGTCGACGTCGGTCAAAAGCTCTGTCAGCACTACACGGATAGTCGGAACGTGCACGACGTTACCGTGAATCGAGTGCAGACGCTGAACATAGACGTCATGCAGAAGATGCAGCGACTGAGGCAGGCTGGGCAGAGCTGAGCGCACCTCTTGAATCAGCCCGCGGCGGCTTTCGATCGGCATGGCGCGCCATTCGGCGTAAACGTCCTTGAGGGCAAAGGGACATCGAAGCTCTGGGGCACTCTTGATGTGCATAAGCTGAACGGCTTCCAGCGTGTGCAAGCGGTCATCGGGATACTTGTCATCGTCATCGCTGTCCGAATCGCCCGACTCTGAGGAGCTGCCGTTTTCTGGCAAAGATTCCACGTCTTGTGGTCTAGCTGACCTTGCCGAAAAGGATCGCGCGGCACGTTCCTGAGATGAATAGGCAAAATCGTGAGCAGAAGACGACGTGCTGGGCGTGACGATCCTGCCAGAGCTGCTGGAAGGTGTCTGACCGTGCTCGCTGTGCTGCGAGGTGGACGACGTCATGGAGCGTTCAGCCCAGGCCACGGGTGGCAGTGTGGGTTCGAGAGGCGCTTGGCTGCGGTAATGAGATGGCGCAGGACCTTCGAGAGGCTGCGATGGCATCGACATGCGGCTCTTGCGCTTGGGGAATGGGCGCTTGTTCTTTGCCCTCTTCTTCCGCAATTCGTGCTTGCATTCGCTGCCGATGCCTTTGGAGACGCATTGATTGCAAGGATCTAGACGATCGCATTTGATCTTGCGTTCTCGACATTGGATGCACGAGCGATTCACCGAGCGCTGTTTGTCGGCTGATGCAGCGTTGACGACCATGATGACGAGCTGCCCTCACAGACGTTCGCGAAGTGGTAAGGTGGGGGCTTGCTGGCGATAAGTCGATCGATGAGTCAGGGAAAGAAGTACTTGGTAGTATCTGGTTACGATGTGTGGAGGAGAAGGAGTCAAGCGTTGTCCAGAGGCAGGGAGGGCAAGCTCGTTGACGACGCCTCTTTGCTATTGTTTGCCAGTCAAGATTGCGTCTCGGGTCTGACTTTGTTTTCAGGTCAAAGTCGAGGCTCAGCTGGGTGTACCACCGAATGCACAGGGACGGCCTGGCATGTGAGAGGCTGCAGGTAGAGATAGATGGAGTCGTGAATGGCACCCCCGGCGAGCCTAGTCTCAGAGTAAGAGCAAGAACGGCATCCAAAGGAGTATGCAGGTTCGGAAGCCTTGTGTCTGAGTGCCGACCCGTATATGTGCAAGGAGCAACGTTGGTCAAATGCTTAAGGCTGAGCGGGGTTACACATCGGCAGTGGCAGAGCTGTCAATTAAGGTTGCCGCTGAGCACTTATTTCCGGAATGCAGTCCAACTTATTGCCGGTATCCGCAGAGGCACAGCATGCTCGCTCTCGGCGAGACCCTTGCAACAGGCAGTAGGGTTCTGTTTCTTTTCCTCTGTCAGATCGGATTGTCGTACCACTCGCATGCGGTGCCGGCCGGGATGGGCACACGCCTCTTTCTCTGACGCTTCCGAGATGCACGACCCGGAGTCCGAGCTGCCAGAACGATGCTTCGACAATGATTTGATTGCGATTGTGAGCTACAATGAGTCACGGAACAGCTACATGGTTGGCAAGGTCGGCTCGCAAGGTGCTAGGCTGGCGACTGGTGACCCACGCTATGGCTTCTCCCCATGCAGGTGGTCAGCCATCGTCCGACCCTCGAAAGGGATCGGCTTGTTGGCTTCCTTCCACTTGGCCTCGGCTTCACTTCCCGGAGCGGGATAGTCGAGCCCACTCAGATGCCACAGGTCTGCTGGAGGCTCTTCGATGTGAATCTGTCGTAGCAACAGTGAAGCTATGTCAGCCAATGCGGTCAACGTGTGCATAGAGAGAATTTTTGGAAGACTCACCTCCCATTCGCAGTTCTTGGCTTCGAGTACGCCTCTGAACCGATCCTCGAGCCTCTTGATGGTGGTCATCCTGCGTTCTCTTCCAGTGGCGAGTCGGGCGAGGTGTTGAGAAACGATTCGTACAAATGGTTTTCCAGTCTGCTCTGCTCGTTCGGCATGGCTTTGCTTGCCAATGTAGAAGTCTTCCTCGCCATCAATTGCGCAAAAGAGCGTAATGATGAGAAAAGGCGGGAGTCCGACGCTGATACTGAATTTGTTCGTGAGCCGATGAGGTCCGTAAAGATTGATAAAAGGGATCGTCAATCGAGCCGTCATAGGAGCATTTCTAGGATGTTACAGGATACCTACTACATATCCGCGATGCTGTTGACTAGCTCTCGCTTCTCCTCGCGACTGAAGAGTCCCGGTGGAGCATAGATGCCTGTACCATTGTGAGCAGTTGAGAGAAGCTTTGGTCAGTCTGCGGACCAATGCCAACCCTTCCAAGCTTGTCAACTCACGATGAAGCGGCATGGTGTCTGTTTTGTCGTATGGAGTTCTGGTGGGGTCCGTACGTTGCGTTATCCTTTTCACGACTACTCTTAATACCTTTCGCACCGGTACTGCCGGACCGTGCCAGATCTGTTCCTTCACACCGACGAGACCAGCAGACGCTTCCATCGCTTCTCGGCAATTCCTCTCGCCTGTGCGCTTCAGGCAGCGGGGGCCCAAAAGTGTTCCCCGAGAGCACGCGAATAAGTCTTCGCGGCTCGCGGAGGGCAATTGCGAATTCACTCCAGACGCTCCATACACTATTTTGAGATGTTCAGGACTGTGCTCGGACTCCGACCTGTCTCGTGGCTCGCTTAATCGCCACTCTCGCAAGAAGTCTTGCTTGGACCTCATCCGTCTTCCTTCGGCCAAATGAACGGCATGCGCGTGGCTTCCAGCTTCCAGCCATCCCGAAGAAGGCCTGTGCGGGTCTGTCTTGTCTGTCCGGCAATAAGTTTGCCAACACGATGGGATTTTCTCTGATACACGCTCTCAGATGCGATCACTCGACGCAGACAGACGGCACACTCTTTTGTCAAGCTGGCTGACAGATGCGTCCATTGCGTATGCTGGGTGTATGATTGCTAGATTGCTACATCTTGCGCTCTCTGGCAGACTGAGGACTGCTGTGCTCGCTGGGAGTCGACCTGGCTTTCGACAAGGGTGTTGCCGATGCAACGCCGTTAGCCTGAGCCTTCTTTGCCGGTGTCGACGATGCTGCCGTTGTGGAACCTCCACTCGCCTTGGCCGGCGATTTGGCGTCGCTCGCACCCTCGATCAGAATCTGACTCTTGAAAAGTTCGACAAGGTCGTCCGTGTCTGCGAGCAAAACATCTTGCACGGTTCGTTCCTGCCATGCTGCGCCTTGCACTTCTTCGGCCTCGACAAATCCTGCCTTTTCGTTGTCGGTGATATGTGTCTGCGAGTTCGCGCCAGCTGCAGTCTCGCTCGAAATGGCCGGCGTCGTGATGGCAGCAGGCAGCATCTTGGACAAGAATGCATCGAACAACAGAGTCGCAGGCGGCAACAAGTGAGGAGCGGTCGAGAAAAGCGATGCCACACCAGAGCCGACTCCACCCGCAACGTCGACCGAAACCCTGAGCATCTCATCGTCTTCGTCCTCCGCGGCATCGGCGCGTGCATCGTAGAAGGTCGAAGGTCCAAACAGATCGTCGAAGAGAGTCTTCTTGACGTTCGAGATGCCACGAATGCTGCCAGCAGTGGCTTCGCCTGAAGCAATGCCAGAGGCGGAGGGCGAGGCGGAAAAGGTGACCAGGTCCATATCCTCGCTGATGGCGACAAATTCCTGAACCTGATCGAAGGATCCGCCAGGCAGAGGAACGGGCGCAACAAAAGCGACGGCGGTACGAAACACAGCTCTGCCGGTTGTCGAGCCTGGCTTGGTGACATGTGCAGCGGATCCGAACAAGGACGTCGATGCAATCTCGCTGTCCGACACAAGCGAGACGGGCTCGATGACCGTCTTGACCTGTCGTGCTACCCGCACAGAGCCTTGATCGTCATCCTGCTCAGCCTCGCTCGACGAGACCAACGTGAAGATGGACCGCTCCTCCTCGTCGACGGCAGCTCTCCTGCCGGAAGCGGGCAAGAGCAGTTTAGCTTCGAGGCCTGCCTCGATGCCCTTGCGGGTGACCTGTCGCGAGAGGACCAGATCCCATACAAGTACAGCTGTGCGAGTGGCGACACCCAAATATCGACCCGAGAAGGAGAGGTTGTGCACGCCGTCAGCCAGCTCGGGCGCCGAGATGACCATCGACAAGAGGTTGCTCTCTGGGTTCCAGAGCGTCACGGAACCGACCTGACCGACGGCAAGGATCGAGCCGTCGGCAGAAAAGGCGGCTGCTGTAGGAGCCTGGTCGCGGTAGCCAAACACAGAGCGGCAAGCCCAGTAGCTCTCGAGCTTTCCAGACTTGAGCTTGCGCGAAGCCATGTGCCAGCTGCGCACCTTGCCGTCAGAAGCGGTAGTGATGAGCAGCGCCGAGCTGGGCGAAAAGGCCATCGAGGTCAGACGCTTTCCGTTGTGTGGACGGTCGATGCGTGTGTTGAGGGTGTAGCGTCGGTTGACTGGGTTCCATCGCCAGAACTTGAGGCTCGACTCGGAGACAACCTCCACCTCGCCTTCCACATCCGAAAGATTGCGGCTGTCAAAGGTGACCATCCACTCGCCTGCCTCGGCGATCTTGGAAGAGACAAAGGGGGAAAACAGGACGCGCTCGACACGAGTGGGTTCGATCTGCTCGTCTTCGACGCGCGAGACACGGTTGGAAGGTGCCACCTCGAGCTCCATGGTGTTGACGTCCTTGATTGAATCGTAGAATTGTAGAGACGACGGGTGACCGGCAAGAAGAACGAGGTTGCGGCTGGCAGGGTGCACGGCGAGCGGCACGGGTGTGTCGGCAGGGGCAATAGCACCGGGCAGATGGCGGGAAGCATCCATCTTGATGCGCGTAAAGGAGCGGGTGGGCTTGAGCGACATGGAAGAGACAAAGGTGATGCTTCCGTCTGCAAGCGACACGGCGTATTCCTGCTCCCTGCCGTCGAGACCGTTGGCCACGGCGATCGCTGAAAGGGGTGCGCCGAGACGCGGCACAAACTCCTTCGAGGCGGCGTTGCCAGAAGCGCCCAGATGCCAAACCACCAACACACCTTCCTCGCCTCCTGACAGCAAATGCGCTCCGTTGGGTGAAAAGCAGAGCGACGAAACGGCATGCGCGTGCCAGTGAAGAACAGTCGAAGGAGCGTGCCTCTCCATACCGTCGTCTGCCTCTGCCTTGGAAGGGGCCATGAAGCCGTTCTGAAGGCAGTACCAGACGCGGATGCGGCCGTTGGAGTCGCCGGTGACGAGTCTGGTTGAGTCTGTTGGGTGGAAAGCCATGCAGGTCATGGACTCCCTGTGATGGTGATGCGATCCAGGGTGGGAAGAGATGAATCGTGTGAAGCCCGAGGCGAGATCATTAGTTCTTGCCACTTGCACCTTGTCGTTGCCGACGACGACGAGCCATTGACCGTTCGGTGAGACGCCGATGGCGACTGCCTCTCTCGTCTTTGCGATCCGCATCAGCTCGGGTCGTAGCGATGCGCCTTGCGAAAACTTGGGCATCGATGCAAGGTGGCGAGTATGTGTGCTGAGGTCGAGACTAAAGTGGCCAATGATGGTGTTGAAAGGAGCTCCGCTGTCGAGCGCAGTGAGGATCTCGGACAGACTCTTGGGGGCGGTCTCTGCATCGCGGTGGCGGAACTTCTTGAGAAGCACATAGACAGTGTTCGGATTCGAGGCGTGAGCAGCCATTCCCGAGATGGGCAGCTGGACATCAAAGGACGAAAGCAAAACGCCGTCCAAGAAGTCCCACACCTTGACGCGACCATCGAGCGATGCGGTGAGCAGCTGCAAAGGGTTCGCGGGGTTGATCATGATGGCGGTGATAGGAGCCAAGTGAGAACCGGGCCCGCTCGATAGCGTCGACACGACCTGGCCAGTGGTACGTGAGTAGATGCGGACGGAAGTCTTGGAGACGGCAAAGAAGTAGTCGGCATCGCGGGTGAATACGATGGGAAGGCGAGAGGCGCGGCCCTCGCTGATGGTCTGGAAGGGAGAGAATTCGGAGGAGCGATCCTTGATACCGGTGATGCTCTTCTTGTTCTTGCGATGGCGGGTCTTGTTCGGAGCGGCGGATGCAGACGCGGCGGCATTGCTGGAGGACGGCTGATGATGACTTTGCGATACTGCTGTCTCTTCTGGCGTATCTGCTTTCAATCGACTGGACGTGGTAGGGACGGGCGCCTGTGCGGCTGCGGCTGTGGCTGCGGCTGCGGGTGCGGATTGTAGTGGAGTAGACGGCATCTGCGCCGCCTTTTTGACGGGCGTTGACGCCGCAGATCGAGGCATCCTATCTAAAAGCTGTCGTCAGCTCCTTCTCCTGCCGATGAAGCGGAACGAAGAAAAACGCAAGAGGGATGAAGGGTCGCTCCCTTGATCTCTTGCTACGACGTGGCCTGCGTCCGCTACGATACAAAGTGCCTCGAATTGACGACCTAGCGCCCTTTCCGTTGCAAGAGACAATCGCTACGGACGTGTTATCCGGACCAAGCTGGCGTGATGTGAGACGGGCTCGAGGTGCAAGTGTCGATGAAGAAGCTGGAAGGTGAGCAGGAAGAGAGGAGGAAGCTGTACTCAACGTCAACTGCTGTGACTTTCCGCTCCTCTCCAGTTCAAAAAATTCTCAAACAGGAAAAAGTCGAAATTCGGGTATCGGACAATCGTCCTCCTCCAGGAAGAATCACCGCCAAACGGCTGATTTCAGAGCATTTTCTCCACCTCCTTTTTGGTACTTCTTTGAAAAGTATTTCAGAAGCTTTTTCTGAAGGCTGCTCAGCTTTTGTGGTTCCCATGAACGATCGCGACAGGCTGCTGCAAAGAGCTGGTTCTGGTCAATACAAGCTGAATGGGCACGATTTGGTCGATACAAGATACAGTGAATTGGTCAAGCAGTGAAGATGTTTCGGAGTACAAGCGAGCAGCTGCTGAAGCAATACCTTAGTGTCCGAAAAGGCGCAGAATCAAGAAGAAACAGCTTCCAACAAAGCGAACAGCCGAAATACCGGCGGTCGACCAAAAGATGACCGTCTGGTACGGGTTGATGATAGGCTCGCCTCTGCGAACTGCAGCAGCATAAACATGGTTGCGCACATACTTGTTCCACCACGTGCTCGTAAAGATGATGACTACCGCCGCGTTGGTACACATCCAGATCAGCACCAGGTTGGTACGGAAGTTCTTGGCGTGGTCTTCCTGTCGCGTCGCCTTGTCGCGCTTCTGCCGAACCTCGACGGTCGGCTGCGAAAGCGTTTGTCGGTAGTGCATCCAAAGGTCTTCCGCATCGGCAGCCGAGGTGGGGATCTTGACATCCACCATCTCGCCCTTGCCGTCTTGTTTGGAACCAGAGCCGGTGGCACCTCCCAGGTCGGTCGCGGGTCCATTGGATTGCTTGGTGCCCCAAGAAAGATCGTTGGTGTTGCACATCGAATACATCGACAGGATGATGACGTACGTCGGTGTAAGGAAGAGGTACTGGATGAAGCTCGTCAGCATGTGCCACGGCTCCAGATGCAAGATCGAGCATACAAGCCACATGACATAGGTCGCTGCGAGCGAGATGACAATGTCGCGGAAGCCCGACGTCTTGAACAGCGTTTCGAGGTTGTCGACGCGCCATCCACTGGCGTGCGTGAGTCCCGAGGCATCCAGAGCCAAGTAGGTGGTGTAGCCAGCCGCGTACAGAGCAAGTCCCATGATGAGCGCAAAGATGATGATCGCCGACGTATACGCAAAGTTGGATCCCTGAGGTCGATTGCCCAGCGAACACACAAGCACCACGATCACCATGGCGATAAAGATGTTCTGGAAGATCTCGACGATGGCAGCCCCCTGCCCGCCGAACGGATCGCTGCCTTCCGTACTGGTCGAGGCGCTGAGCAAGAAGTAAAAGGCAAGGAAGAAGTTGGCAAGCCCAAACCAACTAAACACGAGCAGGATCAAGTTGAAGATGACTTGGAAGAGCAGCCAAATCTTGCGCAGGAAAGGCTGCCCCGAGGTGAAGATGCGGTAACTGTGCCAGACAGCGTAGTACGAAGCAAAGAGCGAGCCGTTGAGCCATCGTCGACGCTGCGAAATGAATTCGGGCACCCTGTCAGGCACGTCCGTCCACGCCTTGGCCGACTTGACGTAGCGCAGCAGCCATCCCTCGCGCTCCTTGGTGACGAGCTCGAAGCAGAGAATACGATCTTCGGCGAGGTACATGTTGCCCTCAAAGATCGAGTTGCTGCCTTCGCCCGAGTGCAGCTTCTCACCTTTGAAGTACATCTCGAGCGGTCGGCCCAAGAGCGCCTTGTATCGATACGCAGAAAAGGCACCGGGGAGCACCGAGATAAAGCCAAACACCGATTCGGTCGGTTTATCGAGGATGTTGGACATCTTGTACTCAAAGTTCTGCGAGGCGACGAGCGGATTGAACAGAGAGGTGCAGCCACGTCCCGTGTCGACGCAGATCTCGCCGCAGGCACCGCCGACGCGCGGATGCTTGTCGAACGACTTCCACAGGGCATAGATCGAAGTGGCCGAAGGCTTGGTGCCAACGTCCAAGAGAACGCAAACGTTGGGTTTGAGCATCGGGCAGAAGGCGTTGAAGAACCATCGATGGCTGTTGAGCTTCTTCTTGTTTTGTTCCTTGAGGCAAAAGACTACCTGGATGGGGCAAGGGGTGACCTGCACCTCGCCCTTTTCGGTGACCTGGACACGCGTCGTGTATTCGAAGATGTGGGCCTCGACGGGCTTCTTGAGGACGTGGTCCTTCATGACGCCTTCGTTGTAGCATCCCATCAAACCGAGCGCCTTGAGCATGCGCTCGTTCGCCTTCTTACGACCGTCGGCGACGATGATGACTACGACCTTCTTCCAGGCGTCGGGACCCCACGTCTTGGAGCGCGTGCGGGCACAGAGGTGGGCGATGTTCTTGATCACACCGCCCATGGTCCTAGCGAAGAGAACGTCATCTTCGTTGTAGCAGGTGAGCACGATGGCCATCTCGGTCTCTCTACCGTACATCCACGGACGCAGGGTGTACCTCTCCTCGATGAAGCGGTCTGGATCCGAGGTGCAGGCCTGGTAGCGCATCTCGGCAAACTCAGGGTTGTTGGTGTTGGACTTGCTGATGCTCGAGGCGACGGGGATGTCGAGGACAAGGTTGCCATCCTGGAGCGGAATGCGCTTGACGGTTCGTTTGCGCATGATGCGGTCGCGATCCTCACGGGAAAAGGTCGAGTCCTGGTGCTGCATGCTGTGCATGGGCGCAGCCGCGATGAGTGCACCGGGCGAGCCGAGACCTCCGATCGACATGTTGGGCTCGGGCATGCCCGGAGCGTGCATCTCGTACTCGCCGTAGGGTGTAGGCGGATAGCCGGGCTGGTTCATCTGGATGGAGTGAGAGGAAGGCACACCGTTGTAAGGCATGGCAGGAGCGCCTGCATTCCAAGAACCTGGCGGCTGGTTGCTGTGCTTGGAGTAGATGCTCTTCTCGTCGTCTACAGAGTGGTAGCCGTTGCCGCCGGGCCTGCCGGACTGGTAGCTTTCGGAGCGTTGAAAGGCTGCTGCACCTCCGTAGGGATAGTGCTGCTGCATGGTCTGCTCGTCATAAGATGGGTCGCGCGCCCCAAGATCGATACTGTGCTGCGTAGGATTGGCGTTGAGCTGGCCAGATCCAGGCAGCGGGGCAGGGTCGTAGAGAGGTGCGGTGGGAGCCGTGTCGTAGGACGCGTTAGGGTCCCAGTGACTCGGATGGCTGTTGTTCGGTGCGTTCCTACTGTAAGAGGGCTGCGACCTTTGTCTAGCGGCGGAGAGGTTCGAGGGCACGGGCGGGATCTCTTGATGCTCGTAGGTAGCAGGAGCGCGAGGGGCTGAGCGACTGCCGGACGAATTGGATCGAATCCTGGACGGTTGCCTGTCGAACAAGGGTAGACGGGATGAGAGAAGAAGTCAGGAGGGGTCAGAAGGCTGTGTCTAGCTCGGCAGAGAGATGAAACAGCAGCGAGAAAGGCCAGATGAGGCGTTACGCATGTGCAAAGGGTGGGTTGGTAGAAGCTTACCTTTGAGGCTTGACGGGCGCGGCCTGGTACTCGGGCTGCGAGGTTTCGTAGGCAGCAGAGTAGGAATGCTGCTGTTGGTAGTATTGAGAGTCGTATCCGGAATGTGACTGCGGATGTTGTTCGGCGTAGTAGTGGTGTTGCTGCGGGTCATCGTAGGCATCGTAGGGACGAGCCGGACCTCCGTGCTGATTGTAGTGGCTCATGGCTCGTAGCTGCGTACGGCGCACCGGGCTGTAGCGTCTGACTGAGCTACAGTCTTTGAAGTCTGAGGTTTATTGAGTTAGAGTCAGAGTTAGGCTCGATCCAAGCTGGGTGGTGAAGATGATGGGGTGCGAATCTACTCGACGTGGAGAAGGTGGGATGGTGTGAAGCAGTGAAAGGACAGATCCAGCCGGCCTGCATGGAGATGCGTGGGTCCCTTTAATATCGCCAAGAGGACTCGGTCTGCGCGATGGAGGGAGAGAGACACAGAGAGAGAGGAGATTGGGGAGCGGGAGGAGAGGCTGAGGAGGAGAGAGGCGCGAGTCTGTGCTCATTCTTGGACCTGCATCTGCGTCTGCACGCCACTGTGCTCGCATTGAAATGAATGCAGCACTGTGCGGATGGGCCGATTCTCTTTGCTGCTGCCGGCAGCCCTTGTTCACACGAGGCTGAGCGGTGGCCATTGTAAGGAGTCGTGTGTGTGCCTGCAGCAGGTGCGGCAGGATCGTTATGCTGCAGCAGCGTGTGTAGAAGTCACTTTTCGCAAAGTCCGACCCAAGAATTTCAATGCCAGCGCGCCTCGGCTTGTTGCACTTGAGCAGGGTGTGCGTGCGTCTCTGCAGCTATGTGAGAGCAACACCAAGACAGGGTCACCAAAGAGACACGACCCCTGAACAGAACGAGGAATTTGAGCTTTAATTCTCCTTGTGTGGTGAGCTCCGCTGTCAGAGTCGGCAACGCTCTGTGCCGCTCGTCTAGCCCACCCGAAGAATTCATTCGCCTCTACCGAGACAGGTCGACGGATTTCCGTTCTCCAACGTCGGCGAGAAATCTGAAGCTGCGTTCCTGCAGTACAATGTATGGCTTCTCTAAGCAAAACCGGATAAAATGCTTCCGTCGTTGTACTTGACACCTCAATGAGGGTCGTCTCCGAGCACAGCATCGGAGCCGGACCCGCCACGGTATCGTCTCAGCGCGGAGTGCACTGTAGCAAACCCCGGAATTCAGAGCGCAGCCTCGCACGTCCAGGTATCGTTCATTTTTCTTCATTGTGTCGATGCCAAAGAAGCGAAAAGCGAATAGCTGTAAGCCTCTTCTTTGTCCCTGGCTGCACAATCGTAACGTCATGTCCAATCGAGTGACCTCGGAGCGCCTGCAACCGCATGACACGGTCTCGGTGGGCAGGTTGCGAGGCCTTGGCTTTGGATCGACCGATTGTTCGATTCGGTGACCCGATCGGTCGTGCGCGTCTTCTCCACACGTCAAAATTTCGGCTATCGGCGCTGTTGGTTTTTCGACTTCTTCGTCGTTTGAACCACTTCCACGCTTTGCTGTTTCTTCTAACAATCTCGACACGATTGCTCCGACAGGCTACAATCGCATTCCCTGTCGCTACGCGCAGCTTTGCAAGAACGGAGAGGACTCGCACAGCCTTATATCGTCTGCAAAATTGGACCTGATCCGAAAAGTCAACGTTATCGCACAAGCACTCGCTCCCGAGAACCCGGCTTGTTACTTGCATCATGTCGGACCGCGAGGATGGCGGTGAGGAAACGTGAGTAGCGCACGCCGGCAAGGAAGGGCATAGAGTCAAAAGCTCCTCGTCGTGCTCTGCAGATAGACTGACTTGTCATTTGCTCATTTGGTCCCCCTGTACTCTTATTGAATAGCTTCTACGAGGACGAAGAGCCCGTCTACGATGGCGATGATCTTGGAGAGGAGCAATTTGACGACGGTGCAGATGGTGCCGCCAACGGTATCGTACATTCTTCCGCAGGCGGAGATCCATCGACATCCATGGCAGGTCAGGCCAACGCCGAGCGAATCACCACACCCTACATGACCAAATACGAGCGTGCTCGAATCCTTGGTACTCGTGCGCTTCAGATTTCGTAAGTGACAGGATCTTGAACACCAGAGTCGCGGTCCACTCTTCTTGCGCCAATATGGTTGCTCTCCCACGCAGACCGATGCTGACTTGACATTCCTATGACACTTGCATGAAAACATAGGATGAACGCACCTGTTCTCGTACCCACAGAAGGCGAGACCGATCCATTGGAGATTGCCATGAAGGAGCTCGCCGCCAAAAAGATTCCCTTGGTCGTCAGAAGGTACCTGCCAGATGGAAGCTACGAGGACTGGACCGTCAGCGAGCTCATCGTCAGCGAATGAGCCAGCCACCAAGGCCAGTCTGCTCCCGATTGGCGTAGACATGTTCATCTCCAGGCGCGAGAGATCGCCTCTCATCGCTGATCCATCTATACCTGCGACTCGCATCTGCCGTCTCTATGCGACGTGCTTCGGGGCGACTTTGCTGCGCAACCCTGCGATGACGTTCATGGTGCAAAGGCATTCATCATGTTATCTCCCTGTCCCCGTCCTCTTCCCTAGTCGAGTCCTGCCATTGTACTTTAGTGTCTTTCAAAAGATAGCATATCCCAAACCGACAGGACACTTCCAAGACAGCAACAGACAAGCTTTGCTGAGCACTCCGCCTGAACCACAACACGAAGCAGGCTGAGATGGACGCCGCATCTATCTCAACGAGACGCAAAACAACACTCCCTCGTGTTCGAATCTTGCTGAACGGTGATCAAACGTCATTACCTGCACGGACTAGTCGAAGGAGAGTTCCTTTAAGATGGCTTCTCTCAATTGCTAGGCCGCATCGACTTCTGATCCCTGGGTCTGGCTAACGAATAGATCGTGTGCCACCTCGTCGGCTGGTTGCCGGCATCGGTACATCCATTTGCCGTCCCTTTCGGTCACGAGCAGTGTGCGATCAGGTTTATCAGTCGACCTTGGTCGCATCACCGATCCGTGAGACCAGACCGCCGAAGTTCAATAAACGAATGTTAGGCCGCTTAGGCAAATCCAGTTTCTCCAGAGTTTTTCCTGCTTCGTACGGGACGACGCCTCGGCCGGGAATAAAATGTGTCACATGACCGAAGCCAAATGTGATCGAGGCACTTTACCAGTGGAGAGCCACGGGGAAAAGCTCAGGGCAGCTGGCCAGTCTCCTGTCTCTAAGGGGGGTCAAGTGATCCATGACCGCAGTGCGCACAAGGTCGAGAGTGACGAAATTGAGTGTCTGTGAGTGTGCGGCGAGCGAGGTGGAGTGAGCGCTACAAAGCTCGTTTAAACGCAGTGGGTTGTCTCTCTCTTCTCTCCCACCAAGTAACTCTCATTTGATCAAGTCAGGTAGGTATTCTCGATAACCGACGTCTCACGAACATCGTTGGAGATCATCCGGACGCACCAGCAGCGACATGACATTCACTGGACAGCAGCGCATATTGGTTCACTCGAGACCTGGCTTCTAGTCGTCATCACCAATGTGGAAAGGGCGAACGGCAGCAGTATTCTCAGTTCGGACCTCTCGATTCATTGGAGTCGCTCTGCTGAACGGGAAGAAGGAAGATCTCTAGCAATAGTCGAATTCCGCGTCAACATCGCCTCCACCCAACCATCAGAAACCGAAAGCTTACACTGTCCGCATCTCCGTTCCACTTTCCATCACCTTCACCTTACAGCTTTGTCAACATGCGAGCCAAGTGGAGGAAGAAGCGTATGCGCCGACTTCGTCGTAAGCGCAGAAAGATGCGCGCCCGATCCAAGTAAACGGATCGCCCTACCCAAACAGGGATGATCCGTTTACATTTCGTCAATGAAGCCTAGGGCAACCCAAACGGCTTGGTCATCTCCGGTGTCGGCAATGGTCTGCCTTTCAGCGATGTCCTCACTGAGGCTGCTTTTATGTCGACAACGAACGTTATCAGATCGGCTCGAAAGCTTCATCGACCCCAACACAATCGGCAAAACAACAACAAACCCAAACACAATCCAAATCTCTCACAAACGTCCTGCCGTCGCATGCTTGTCTATGCAGCCTCGGTATGGTCGACACTCTTAAAAAAATGAAGCGTTTTCAACACTTTACATTTAGACGACCTGTGTTGGTGCTTCGTTCGTGTATCCGCTGAGAATCGATCTGAATGTTGGCCGATCCGCTACCAGTGCTCTCGGGCAGGTCGCAGGTCCATCTCGAAGGTCCAAGCAGAAGGATGCTGTTGAGCGAGAAAGAGCCACGTCTTTGCCATTTGAGGTGGCAGTAGAGCCTAACGGTCCGACGATGGTTGAGCATAGAGATGTCAGTTCTTCTTTCACGTGGTCGATGGCCATGTAAGGACGCGATCAAGGTACTCACCGCGCCGTCGGGGAAGCGACTGCCTTTGGGCATGCCCAAGTACTCGAGAGCTGTGTCGGATTCGATGAGGCCGTCGATGATGACGTGGCTCACGTGGACGTTCTTGGGACCGTACTCGCGAGCGATCGACTGATGTAGGCAAGGTTAATCGTCAGCGATGGATTCGTTGACCGAAGCTACGGTGGATTCCTAAGGACTTACCTGACACATGGCTCTCAAACCAGATTCTGTCAACAAAACCCAGACAGGACAACGTCAGCGATCAATGTGTGTAGGTTTCCTCGCATCGAACGCCAAACTTACTGCTAGCGGCGAACCCAGCAAACCCCTCTCTACCTCGGGTCGAACTCGTGGCACCTGTCACGATCAGATTGCCACCCTCTGCGTGCGTCTCCATCATCCGCAGGCTAGCCTGAGCAAAAGTGAATCCACCCAAGATGGACCCTTGCACGCCATCCTTGATCTGATCGAGGCGCTGCTCGAGGAAGGGACCTCTCTTGCGAATCGAGGCGTTGTAGCAGGCTGTGCCGAGCTTCTTACCCGGCCAGAAGTCGCAGATCTGCTGGATCGCGGTGGTAATGGAATCGTTGTCCAGCGCATCACAGGCGAAGGCAGCCGAGAGCTTTTCGTCTTTTGAAGCCGTGGGGATATCGTGTTGCTTGCGAAAGGCAAAAGCTGTTTGGTGGAGCGACTCGGCCCATTGTTCCAGTCGAGCCTTGCTGCGCGACAGGATGGCTGTGGTGTAGCCGCGCTCGGCGAACACTTGGGCGATCGAGATGCCCAGTCCCGGTCCAACACCGAGAATGACAACAATGTGGTCCTGCAGCGAGGGGCCGTGCAGCAAGTCTTGACCAAGAGGCGCAACGGGAGCGTGAGGCGCAAACTCGGGTTGGAGAAGATCGGTACGGTTGCGTCGCGGACTGCTGTTGTCGTCTTTGGTGGCGCTGCTTTTGGTGGTCATCGTGGCTGCTGCGAGGTAGGTTGGTGTACGAGGAGGGCAAGGCTGAGCTATGGCTGCTCGTCGAAGGTGCGATGCCGAACGTCCGGTATATGTAGAGAAACTTTGAGATGCAATCTTGCTCGTCACGATGGAACGCCACATACGCAGCTGTCTACAGTCACACAAGGTGTTCCGATCGTCTCTCGATGCTTCAAATCAGAGTAGAGCCGGTTACAATGGGAGCATGGTGCCGGTACCTTGAGACCATCATCACAGGAGCCGCATGAGGAGCTGGACCGAGCGCAACTAGTCGCGGCAATAAGTCGATGGACCCTGAACAAGCTCCCATTTCCCCCGCATTCTGTCACACCATTTTTAACCGCTCAGATATTGCCGCGACCGCTGTCAACGGCCACAACTCACACTACTCACAATCTCGATTCACACACTACGGCAACACAGACATGCGATTCGTGCAGGCCAATTTGTAATTCTACTTGCTTTCGTCTACAACGCCATTCGAACTTGCATCAGCTCTAATAGATGGTACCGTTTCGCACGGGACCCGTGACGACAAAGTCAGTCCCATTCGTTCCGAAGCAAGCCTTGTTAAAGTTGGCGTCCTTGTAAGCGTTGGTTTGCTGGAACTTGACAAAGTCCTCCATCGGGCAGAGCGATTTGCCCGCCGGGCAACCCTCAGCGCCGCTGTACGGAATGACCGCCTCGTTGAGCTTGGTCCTGATGAACCTCTTTCCGGGCTTGTCATCGCACTCGATCACCTCGAAAACGATGCGTGCGGCAAAGGGAGTGATGTGGCTGAGCACAAAGGTGCGGTTGGGATCCGGGTTGGCAGGGTCGAGGAACTCTCCCACGACCTGGGTGTAGTTGAGAGCAGTGAGGACCGAGAGGAGGATGTCGTCGTGCGAGAAATCGACGTAGATGGTCTGGTCCAGAGGGAAGTAGGTTGGGTTGGAGTCGAGCGTGCTGTTCTCGGTGGTGATGGTGGCGGGATTCCAAGTGGTGTTGGTGAGGCGGTCGAGGAACTCGTTGACCCAGCCGATACCCTGAGCCTTGCCGTTGGGGCTCATGATGCCGTAGTCACCCGAGAACTGCAGATCCAGGTCGTACTCAAATCCGTTCCACTCCTCCTTGGTGAAAAGACCGCAGAAGTTCGAGTATCCGAGCGCAACAGTCTCGTAGGCACACAGACTCTGCATACCGTACACCATCTCGTTGGTCAGTTCGAGACCCGAGACGTACTGCTGCAGACGATCGCGCGGTGCAGGCAGGTAGATGGCGTCCCAGACGGGTCGCAGGTAGGTGTCGCCGACGGTGATGGTGTCCGAGTTGTTGCAAGTGTCGTACGAAGCGAGCGTGTTGTTGAACGCACCCGGTGTACCAAGACCGTCGCCTCCTTCCAGGATGATTTCGAGGTTGATCTTGGTGGGAGCATCCCAGCCGAAGAATCCGAGCGTCCAGTACCTCGCCGAGTCGAGGATACGCTGCTGGCTCGTCGTCCTGATTACAGGCTTGTGCTTCTCGTTGGACGCATTGTACAGTCTCCCGTACTGGTAGAAGTGGTGAACACCCGAGTCGAACAGCTGCTGAGTTCCCACAGGGTTGAGCACCTCGGCACCCAACTCATACTTCCACGTGTTCAGGAAGCTCAACGGACCCGAAGCCGAAAAGTTCGAGTCCGGGTGGTTGAGCTTGGAGACGTTGGCGATGACAGCACCAAAGTACGGCGCGCCCTCGGTCGTGGACGAAGTAGGGTATCGCGCACCGTGACGGTGGAGGATGTGAACCTGCTTGACAGTGCACTTGTCCGAGAGACGTGCGTGCTCCTGCTGAAAGTCGGCAAAGATGGGCGAAGAAAAGTAAGGAGATTCGTTGCCGAGGTGCTGGAAGATGTTGTAGGTGCAATCCTCGCGGGCGTAGAGCGGCTTCCATCGCGTCTCGATCGAGGCGTCCTTGAGCTCGCCGGGAATGCGGTCGGTGACGGCGAGGAAGGGGGAAGTGCCGTACTTGGTCTTGCCAGCGTAGCCTACGTTGGTGGGGAAGGGGTTCTCGGGGCTGATCGAGGTGGGAGCGTCGGACGAAGTGTTGGTGGCGGTCGAGTCGCGAGGAAGCAGGGCAGCAGCCGAGACGGCGGTGGCCACCAAGGCCTGCAGTGCCAGAATGTTTGCTACAATCTGCATGTTGGACGATGGAGGGAGGGTGGATTAGAGTGGCACGAACATCAACAAATTGTTGTGCCTTCCTTGACTGAGTATATATATGCAAGACCAGCTTCGAAGAAGAGCGAGAGTCAAGAATCGAAGAGACAATGAATGCTTTGGGCCCATGCGGCGGCGGCTTTGCACATCCTTCTCGCAGAAAGATCTGATCAAATGCGGCACCAACCAACCTGCGGCTTGGAATCTTCGCCATCTGACCGTCGGCCTCGCTTGCACGTCGACCAGGAAAAGCGAATTGTTTGCGATTGGATTGCGCTATCTGATCTGTGAGTCCATGCACAAATCGGCAAATCGCAAGGCAGAGGGCGAAACCTGTCCACTCTGACAATCTTTTGAGGAACGTGGACAGCTCCAGTTTGGTTCTCCGCTTCATCGGCTTTCATGCTCTTGCGCTCAAGCGGAGGCGATCCCTCCGCACCGTCTTTCAACCTCGCCTCCTCGACATTCATCGTGCACTCAGCGATCTTTTACCCACGGCACATGCATCTGCATCGCCGGCGGCCAAATTTTTTACAAGGCCAGTGTGTCGCGCAATCTTGCCAGTAATGCAGAACGAACCGCGTTCCTGAAAAACACGCATAGCCCCATCCGATCGACTCATGCAAAACGTGCTCGTTTCGCCTCGCCAGATCATGCCGTCGGTCCTGACCCCATTTTTCCAAAAGCGAGGCCGTCGTCTTCCCAAGTATCTTTTTTCTCCAAGTTCTCCTCTTCCTCACAAAGCAGAACGTGTCGACTTTCCCCTGCATCATAACTACTGTACCGCACCTCTCGATGGCTGAAGCTAGACATTTATTGCAAAGAACCATTCGACCACAAAGGTACGTGGCTTTGCCTCTGCCGCACAAGCTCGGCAGTCGCCGCCACAAGCCAAATATTCCTCTCATGTTCATGCAAGGTTAGCTCAGCAAAGCTTTGCGACAGCTTTTTCTCCATACCACACAATCTTGCATCGGGCTCGGGCGGCTGCGACTGCAATCGCTGAGGTACGCGAGCTGGTTAGGCAGGTCGAATTTGACAGTATTGTTCGAGTCTACATAGCAGTCCCCGTTCCCAACTCCTCGTTCGGAAGAGCCGTCACCACAGGGCTGACGATATCGCCGTCCGTCGATGCCACTACCTTGCCCGCCGCCGCAGCTGCCGCAGCGGCTGTCACGTTGCTTACCGCCGACGAAAGCGTCGCCGCTCCCTCCAACATGGCCTCTTCGGTCTTGGTCGCAGGAAGGTAGGCGGTCGACGGATCCGGCGTGTGCAGCTCCTCGCTGATGGCGCTCTCGCTTCCGTGCTTCATGAGGGCACCGCTGTCCGGCCGACTCGCGTTGCTTGGGCCACTACCGAGGAAAAACGAATCCTCCGACGATGGCGTCTGAGAGTCGCTCCTCGCTATATGGCCGGCTCGCGTACGCTCCCATACATCCTCTCTGGTCGCCGCCACCTCGTCCTCTCTTGCGCTTCCGCCAACTTGACCGTGGTGCTCCGATGCAAAAGCGTCCACCTGCTGGGCTCCGTCGTTGACCTGAGCCTCGACGTCCTCCACCGCAGCTGTTCCTCCACCTCCTAGCTTGTAAGCGGACCGAGTGCCAAAGCCGTTCCTGGCCATTTCCTCGTTGACAGGCACTGGCGACGCGTTCGAAAGATCAAGCCCCTGCAAAGCCGGAGCAAGTCCCGCCTCCTTCTTTGCGTCACCTCGAACTTCCGCTGCCTCTTCCGTGACGGCGTTTGTCGGGGTGATTGCATCGATCACTTTCGGCTCGCTGACGTTCTGCGAAGTGCCCTCAGTGACGATCGATCGCGGGACAGCGTCGACATCGTCCATTTTGGCATCCTGAGCTTCGCTAAGCTGTCTCAGCTTCTCCATATCCACTACAGGCATGGTGCTGACGTCAGGAACGTTGAGCTTCTCCACGGTACCTTCCTTCTTCTTGGAGCTGAAGCTGCTCAGTCGACGCAACAGAGCTCTCACAGGACGCTTCTTGCCCGGCGAGGGCTCGCCAGAATCAAAGATCATGCTCGAACGTCGACTAGCCGTAGCGCTCGCTGGTTTGCTCGCGCGTGGCGAGCTACGCGTCGACGGCAGCTCGAGGTTGCGGAACGCCACGGGCGAGACATCGGCGTCGCTGCCGGCCGACACTGCCGCCGACTGCGGCGACATGGCGAGCGACGCCGTTTCACCGGCTGGCGTGGCATATACGCTCATGCCTGGCGACGGCGACGACGAGGCACCGTCCGACGTGCCCGTAGCCGGCCTGTCCTCCTGCGCTTTCGACTTGCCCGAGCGGAACAGGGTGGAGAAGCGGTTCGATTTGCTCGATTTGAGCGGAGCCAGGCTCGACATAGTGCTCATCTCGGACGGTGCCATTGAGTTTCGCCTGCTTGCCGCCGTGTCTGCGTTCGTGTCGGCAGCACCACGCTGTTGGTCCTTGGCAGCCTCCTCTCTGAGATTGGCAAAGGAGGGGTTTGGACTCGATGCTCGGCTGCCTGCTCGACTGCCGGCGCGGCTTCCGAAGGGGGTCAATCGCTTGGCGTCCGACGCCTTGGGCGGCTTGGTGAGACCCTGCAACTCTGCCTCCGGGTCGTTCATGGTCATCGTGAGCACGGTTCGGCGCTTGGCTTTTGCGCCAGTCTGCGTCGTTGACCTATCGGATTCGCACGACAGTCTGCGAGACACGGCCACCTGATTGGGGCTATGATAGACGTTGGTTCTGTTGGCGTAGGCCATGGTGGCGTCAAAGGGAGAGCTCTCTGATGTCAGGGGAATGCCAAAGGGGTCGAGGGTGCCCAGTGTCGAGCCATTGGAGCGCGAGCTTGGCGGTGGAAGGCTTGGGTAGGGCGACCCACCAAGGCCCAAAAACATTTCTTGCGGTACCAGTCCCATGGTTGGGTCCGAGTGCGAACCAGACGCGGAGCCAGTGCTGGCGACCGACGTGCCATCTGCAGCTCTGGTCCGTGCCTGTGGTTGCGTTGAACGAAGCGGTGTCATTGGTTTGAGACCGTTCGGCGCGGAACGCATGGACGAGATGGTCTCGTCCAGAAGAGGCGAATCCTCGAGAATGCTGGGGAAGGATCGACGGCGAGGATCGTTGAGGCCTTTGATTCGGTGGGGCGAGGAGCTGCCGCTACGACTGGGCCGAGCGAAGGGAGGCTGAGGCACCTGTTCTGCGATAGCTTCGGCTGCTAGTTCGCGGGCAAGCAGATCGAGATCGCGCGTATCGACATACCTGCGTCGTCTGCCACCCGGGGTCACGGTTCCGGATGTGGCACCTGAGGACGGGTCGGCACTGGCAGCGTCGGCGATGGGCGTCTCGGCTCCGGCGTCCGAGTTCTTCGAAGAGTCGGAACGATCGCGGCGCGACTTGAAGCTGACAGATCGCAGGAAGCTTTTGCGTCGCTTGACTTTGTTCTCATCTCCGGCGTCCGACTTAGAACGAGCACGCTGGGAGGGCGTACGTTCGAGCTGCGAGTAGTCTTCGTCCTTGTCTGGTGCGGTGGTTGCGGCATCGTTGCTGTCAGTCGTGGTTGAGCTTGTGACGGGAGAGAGATTGAACGCGCTGCGCTTCGGCGAAGCGGGGGCGGACTTGCCCTTTTTTCTGGTTTCCACGCGAGCCTGCTGACGAGCGGCTTCGAGGACGAGTTGAGCAGCACGGGCGACCATGTGATTATCTACGTTGGTCTGATCAGAATGAGAGGGTTGTCTGCTCTTGACGGGCGGCGTCATACAGGGCGTGGCGCCATCGCCGCTTGTTGTGTCGAGCTGCAATTCGATGGGTGGTGGTTTGACCGGATCGACGCTCAGATTGTCGGGCGAGGACTCCGCATGCATCGTTGATGACGAAGCAGTGCCCAGAATGTCGGGATGAACACCACTATTGCCGAGCGCCGCAATGGTCTGGGTTGCCGTGGGCAGGTCGGCAGCGTTTGTCTTGGGCGAAGTGGAAGAGGGAGAGGTGGACGAGGGTGAACCTGCAGAGCCAAGCTGGGAGGTGGGCTGGCCCAGGCCACGGCTCTGCGCGTGGGCTTGTGCGGCGGCCGTGCTTCCCGACGAGAGCGCAGACTGCTTTTGAAGCGCCGCGGCAAGCTCGCGTTCTGCTGCTGATGAATCCGAAGCCTCCATGAAGGGCTCGGGCACGTCCTGGTTGGAATCCCACTTTGCGACACTTCTGAATTTGCCGTTAGGTCTACTGAGGTGCTCCAGGTCGGCGCTCGTGGCGGCGTCGATAGATCTGCGTGATGCACGGGAAGAGAAGCGAGAGGCGAGCGAGGGTCTTGTCCTTGCAGACTCTGAAGAAGCATGCTCTTGCGCCTGGGAGGCATGAGAGGCAGAGGTCGACGAGCTGCTTTTGAAGCGAGACAACATTCCGCGAGTGGTGGAAGGCCCGGAGGCACGGCGGAAGGGATTGGAGCTCATGAAACGCGAGTGAGGGGGCGAGCTTGAGGTTGGAGTGGACGGGTGCGACGGGTGCGCATCCTGTCTGGACGTATCGGACTGAGCAGCTGCCATTTCTGACAGCGAGGAGAGGCGCGCTTAGTCCGGCAGAAGGTGTGATATCGAGCGGCGATGATGCTGGAAAGGCGGCTCTACACAAAGTGGACGCTGCTAAGCGTGGACCGCCGAACAAGATTCGTCCACACGAGCAAATGCTGAGGATGGTGCTCGGTATGCGGGTCAGAGTCGAGTCAGCTGCTACGCAAAGCAGACGCCAAGTGCTGACGTGGGTTGAGACGAACTGCAACCAAGATAGCGCAGGACTAGGGTTGTGGGGTGTTCTTCGACAGCGCGAGCGAGCGCAGGCTAGCTGGATAGGTTACGAAAGCATGCAATCACGAATGGGCACGCGAGCAAGCATGCGAAAGAAGGCTGAGTCTGTTCGAGAGCTTGAGTAGCAAAGCAAAGTTTGCAAGTCTATGTGCGGTGGATAAGGTTGACCAATAAACTAGCGCGCCGATCGGAAGGAGATGGAGTTGATCCGGAGAGAAACTCGCTCCGTGGGTATCTATGTAGAAGAAAGACCGTGTGATATGAGGCGAGGCGATCCAAGACGTTATGACTACGATGCCTGGGTGCAGACGATGTTGGCAAGAGGAACCGATGGCGATGATGATGGTGGTGGGGATGGCGGGGAGAGCGCAGGTGTCGGAACAGAGGAGACAGCGAAAGACGAACAATTTGGTTTGGTTGTCACTTTCTGCTCGCTCCATTCGCCGTTCGGATGTGCCGATCTTTCGAGCCTGCTGTAGCGACCGCGCTGTGCTGCTACCTTATGGCTGGATTTGGATGGGTGGAGATTTTGTTTCGATTCACGAAAAAGGTGACGATTTTTGCTGCACTGCGTTGGTGCAGTGTGTTGATGCGCCGTTCGTGACCACACACACACACGCATGCAGCTCGATATGCAGGCCTAGCAATTGAGATCTACAAAAAAGACAGGTTGAATCTCGTCTCGCCCTGTGGGTCGACACTGTGCGCTGCTGTGCCGTCTGTTTTCCATTGGAATTCGGTGACGGATTGCACACCACCGTCGTTCCTCGCTTAGGGTCAACTTTTGAACGTTCTACGCCGAGATCAAGGTGTCAAAATCACGGCAAGGGACAGTAGACGGACAATGCATCGCAGTCCAGGTGCAGTGTCGGTCAGCAGTGTGAACACCGCTGTGGGGCACTTTTCGATCCACAGAAGCGCCATCGTACGATATCTTCGGCGCGATACCCGAGCATGCCGTATCTTCCAGGAAGAATAGGGGCGATGCAGGTATACGCATGTGTTTTATGAACCAACGTTACTGAGCAAGCAACCGATATCGATCCTGGAAACAAGTCCCCCTTTCCGTTCTTCTGCGTAAAGTAGTAGCTGAATTTGGGTTCGGGTTCGGCTCTGGCAACAGGAGGGTGCGGGGTCCACCACCTGTTCGCACCCTGTCATGGAAACGCCAAGCGACGCTGACGTAGTGCATCCGGTACAACATGCGGAGGATTCGAAGATGACATGCTGTTCATCGTTTGCGATGAAAGGGTCCGATAAGAGCGACAAACACCGGAATGTGAAGCGTCGCCTTGTCTCCACAGCACGTTCGTTCATGCATGAAAGTTACCGACTCGATCGGCTGATTGTTCTACGCGGCCGCGACCGACTGCATTCCGAGATATCCTTACCGCCCTCTCTCCCAATCGTCGGCCAGCTTCGATCCTTCGTACTCGCTCCGAGTTTGTAGCGGTGTCATCATCATCCCTCTTCGATTCAGTCCTTCAGCTTTCTTTCAAAGCGCAGGATGTGAGGACAAACACAACAAGGATATATGCAAGGTAAAAGATCCCAAAAAAATAAGTTGAAAAATAAAACGAAATAGAAGAAATTCTACCGACATGGAATCTGGCCGACCACGCACGCGCTCTGTTGCACCTGCATCATGACCTGCAGACGGTGAAGTCATCGGTTGTCTTACTTTTCCACGCCTATTCTCTTAGGACCTCCCTGAACCGAGTCTTCACAGTTGCGTATGCGATTCGCTCGATCCTCATACAACTGTCGTTTGCTCGAAAGGAGACTTCATGATTCGAGCACGGCAGCAAGCACTTCAGTTAGCTCGGATAACAAGATCATTGCTGGATACGACGATGCAACGAAAACGTCGGACGGGTGATGACGCAGTACAAGTACAAATGTAGGTAGGCATTTCGGGTTCGCGGAGAGAAGCGCAAGCGAGCTGGAAGGATCTATCCTACGTGGCAGCAGCAGGATCGGTGACACGAACGATCTTGGAAAAGTCTTGCCGCAGCGCTCGCTCCTCGGCTTCTCGCTCGTCCTGGCTGGTAACGTCGCCGTCCTCGTCTGGAAGGCCCCCAGCGGCCTCATCGGCGATTCGGTCGAGCGTGCCTTGGATACCACCGGCCTCCTGAAATCGCTTCTTGAGCTCCTCTTTCTCCAACCGATCCTCCTCCACCATCTTGCGACTCAGCTCGTCCACCTCGCGTGCATCGTTGCAGTCGCGGTAGGCGCGGATCCACCTCGCGTTGATTTTGGGGAAGTGCTCGCCCCATCCAAACTTGGACAGGAGCAATCTTCCCTGTGCAGGCATCGAGCATACATAGAAAGCAGCTGCGAGCGCTTCGACGCAGTTGAGCTTCATCGGCTTGCCGTAGTTGACGGGATTGGTGGCGATCATGTGCGGTAGGAGCCGCTCGTTGGGACTCTTGAGCTTGCCAAAAGGCACTTCGTCCAAGCGTGCCCAGCTGCATTCCACCACCGCTACGCCGTTGTCTGCAATGATGTGTGCATCTGCGGGTGAGAGTGTCTGTGTGGCGTTGGGAGTAAGCACGATGCCGCGGAACTTCTGTCCAACGCGCAGCTCCTGGATCAAGCCTAGCCGCGATAGTTTCTTGCCCGAGCACCGTTTAGGATCGCAGTGGTTGAAGTCCCACATGGCTACGGGGACGTCTATCGAGTCGACATCGCTGCCTCCATCGACCGAATTCGTGTCGCTGTCGTCGGTATCCGGCTCTTCGCCGCTGGAGGTGGCTGCATCTGGTCTTCTTGATGAAGATCCAGCCTCGGCTGACTCTCCTTCGCTGTCGTCTTGACTCTCGGATGCATCGGTGTCTTCATCGCTACCATCACTCGATTTACTTCTCGGCTCGTCGATGGCACTGTCGGGCCGCCAATTGTCGGTGTCGAAGGCTGAAGCATAACGACTTGCCAAGTTGCGTCCTCCACCTCGGCCGCCACGGCCTCTGCCTCGACCTGCTCCTCCCGCTCCCGCTGCGCCACGTCCGCCTTTCCCCCCTCTTGCTGATCCTGATGGCTTGCCCATCGAGATTTCCGCAATGCTGGTCGGATTCTGTGCAAAGCGATGTCGATGCTGGCCGCTGATTGCGATAGGCAAGCTGCAGGCTGTACGAGAACAAGTGAAAGGGTCCTTCGAAACAAATTTCACGTCTCGGGATTCGGCCTGAAAGCATCTGATTCATTCGTACGAAAGATCCGAACTATATTCGTGTTTTAGCGCGGCTTTGGTAGGAGCTGACCCTGACGGATCAGACGATCAGCGATCTAGGCTTGGAACTCCGTTAACAGCCGCCGACGATCCACAGCTCTGCCGCCTGCTATTTTGGCGAAGTTACTCGATGAGCTCCCCGTTCGACGACTCCACTCTCTCTCATCGTCCCGGTGTAGCTTTCTAGCACCTCCTCTTGGCCATCATTCAACACCCATAGATCTCGAGCTTGTGTTCGGTTGGTACTGCAGTGTATTACGAGGATGGTGAGATTGGTAGAAAAGTGTGGGTGCGTCGAGGGACAGACACATAGGAAGAAGCGTCTCGCAGGACAAAGCAGGGCTTTCACGCTCGCCTGCTGTCGAGACTCGGATTGCCCTTCGCCATGACGCCTGCGGACGGATCGGAGATCAACACCAGAGCGCGCAAAAAGCGTTCGTGAAAGAGCAAACAGAAGAAAGACAGGCCTGACACCAGTCTCGAAGACAATGAAATTTCCAGCATAATTTCTCGTTTTCCTCCACACACCAGCAATGCACCGATGCGGATCTGCAACGCGAAGCGGAGAGAGAAGCCGGATTTGAGGCAGCACACCGCGATACCGGTTCAAGCTGCGGCCAATGCCGTCTCGAGTGAGTCAGGGAGACCGACGCCGAAAGAGAGAGTCCAAAGAACGCCAGCGATTCCGAGTGCGGGGGGCAATCGAGGCGCGAGACTGCCACGATCCCTGGCTTGAAAATGAACCCTTGCTGAGCCCCAAGAGGCGAGCCAAGAAAGCAAGCCGCTTGCTCCGATGGGTTTCAACACCCAAGCGCTGCCTGGCCAGTCTAGACGGGAAGGATGAATCACTCTAGATAGACGCCTCGTTGTCCATCAGTCTCCGGCATTGCAGACCTGTTTGGCAGCCGGCTGCACATCGAGGCTCTACCGCATCATCGTGCCCAAGCTTCCGCTAACGTCGAATCTCCTGAATCCTCCGCCGCCTCATATATACTTTGAACCCGCTCAACTGTCCTCAGCTCCTCCTCCACCACTCCTCCTTCATCGTCGTTCGCCCACTAGCTAATCATCCACGTGCACGGCATACACAGTTTCAGAAGGCGGCAACAAGAATTTCATCTACATCTCTCTCACACTCATCCCAACTACTCGCAATCATGGCTGACCAGGAGCTCAAACAGTTCGCCGAAGAGGTCGAGGCCGTCAAGCAATGGTGGAAGAACCCACGCTTCGCCAACACCACCCGCCCCTACACCGCCGAGCAGGTCGTCTCAAAACGTGGCACTCTCCAGCAGTCGTACCCCTCGAATGTGCAGGCCAAGAAGCTCTGGAAGACGCTCGAGGGCCATGCTTCCAAGGGCACCACCTCGCACACATACGGTGCTCTCGACCCCGTCCAGGTGACGCAGATGGCCAAGCACCTCGAGACGGTCTACGTCTCGGGTTGGCAATGCTCGTCGACCGCCTCGTCGACCAACGAGCCCGGTCCCGATCTGGCTGATTACCCCTACAACACGGTGCCTCTCAAGGTCGAGCACCTCTTCATGGCGCAGCTCTTCCACGACCGCAAGCAGCGCGAGGAGCGCACCCACATGTCGCCCGAGCAGCGTGCCAAGACTCCCGTGGTCGACTACCTTCGCCCCATTGTCGCCGACGCCGACACGGGTCACGGTGGTCTCACGGCCGTCATGAAGCTCACCAAGCTCTTTGTCGAGAAGGGCGCTGCCGGTATCCACATCGAGGACCAGGCACCAGGCACCAAGAAGTGTGGACACATGGCTGGTAAGGTGCTTGTGCCCATCCAGGAGCACATCAACCGTCTGGTCGCCATCCGACTCCAGTACGACATTATGGGCGTCGAGAACCTGGTCGTGGCACGAACCGACTCGGAAGCCGCCACGCTGATCACGACCAACGTCGACGAGCGCGACCACGCCTTCATCCTCGGAACCACGCACACCGACCTCGAGCCTCTGGTCGACATTCTCAACCGCGCCGAGCAGGAGGGTGCCGACGGACCCAAGCTCATCGCTCTCGAGGACGAGTGGCTGTCCAAGGCGCAGCCCGTGCGCTACGGTGACGCCGTGGCTGCCGAGCTGGAGAAGAAGGGCAAGAAGTCCGAGGCTGAGGCCTTCCGCAAGGAAGTGATCGGCATCTCGCTGCTCAAGGCCAAGGCCAAGGCCAAGAGCCTCGGTGTCGAGGTTGGCTTCGACTGGGATGCCTGCCGAACGCGCGAGGGCTACTACCGATACCAGGGTGGAACCGACTGCGCCATCAACCGTGCCATCGCTTTCGGACCATACGCCGATCTGCTGTGGATGGAGACCAAGTCGCCCATCCTAGCTCAGGCCAAGGAGTTCGCCGAGGGTGTCAAGGCTGCTCGTCCCCACCAGTGGCTCGCGTACAACCTGTCGCCGTCGTTCAACTGGGACGCGGCCAAGTTGAGCACGGAACAGATGAAGAGCTACGTGTGGGATCTGGGCAAGCTCGGATTCGTATGGCAATTCATCACGCTCGGTGGTCTGCACTCGAACGCCTACATCTCGGACCTGTTCGCCGCAGGCTTCGCCAAGGAAGGCATGAAGGCCTATGTCGAGATCGTGCAGCGCAAGGAGCGCGAGATTGGTTGCGACGTCTTGACGCACCAAAAGTGGTCGGGCGCCAACTTTGTCGACGCGTGCCTCAACACTGTGCTCAAGGCGGCTTCTACGTCGGCCATGGGCAAGGGTGTGACCGAGACCCAGTTCAAGTAAAGCAAAAGCTCGTCCCAGCATGTACACTACCTACCTCGCCTCGCTGTGAATCGTTTTGCATTCCATTCTTTCGTTTTGCTTTGTTCGGGTCGCTGTTCGGCAGTCGTGATGATATGAGAGAAAAAGTCGGACATGAGATTGCGTCCGACTTCCATGTTCCGTCAATGTCGGGTTGCATGATTGCTGCAAGGTATCGGTCTGGACCGGCGACGTGGGTCTACATGACGAATTTTTATTGCTATATTTTAGATCCCGCAGGAAGTATTCTCCGGGTTCCGTTGTCGATGAGCATGGCAGATCAGCGCTGCGGATGCCGAGCGCTTGTTCGACCGCTCTCCGCCGAACGCCGCGGATGCTCTGTTCTTTGTCAGGTCAGACCATGCTAGGTGGATCGCTCGGCAATATTCTCAATCTGCCGCGGATTCTGCTATGCTAATAATTCTATTCGCGCATCCGCGGCGAGTTTGTTTTGGCAGCTTTTCCCGAACTCGTGCATTCCCCACGTGGACGCGCAACGTCGTGTCACACATCAGTCGTTATCCAAGCAGCTCACGACAACCGTCCCTCCAATCCCGCTATCCGAGTCTGCAGCCGTACCCACTGCCCCTCCTCAGGAACGTTCAACGATCTCTGGACCCCCAAAGCCTGGTGCGGAACCCTCCGAGCCACTGTACCGCTCGTGTTATTCCGCAACCAGTACTTGTTACCCGATCAGCTCCTACGATAGCTCGTCTGAAAGATAAATACCCGCTGCGCGCCCTTCTTTCCTCACGATCTTCGTTCCGTCATTTGCTCTGCCTCCGCCCGTTCGTCCACACTTTGCTCATCCTCTTGCAGTACACACAAAATGGATCAGCGCTCGCAGCTCCCGCCCAATGCGAACTCATCCTCTGCACCTTCGACATTGCCAACCATGCACGTCATGCATCCTGTATCGTCTTCCTCCACCTTCTCCGACCTTGCACCTGGCTCGCTAGCAGAGCCCACGGTCGCGACGCCAATCTCCTCGCCCGCAGCGGCGGATCCGACAAACAATGTCTCGGGAGACCGCTTGTTCTCATGGAGTGACATTACCTATGATGTCCTTCTCTCGAAAGCACGTCGCAAGCAGATCAAGAAGAACAGAGGAGCTCCGTCTACCTCTGCGGCACCCACAAGCGAAAAAGCGGCCGTCATAGGCACCGCCACGGATGCAGAACACGGCACAGCTTCCCCGTCAGGCAGCCTCGATGAAGAGGCGCTCGAAGAATACAACCAAGTGTTTCCCCACCTCCCGCCTCTCGACCCAATGCGACGACGTGTGCTCAACGGTGTCAGCGGTCACGTCAAGAAAGGTGAAATGGTCGCTATCCTCGGCGCCTCTGGTGCTGGTAAGACCTCTCTCCTCTCAGTTCTTTCCGCCCGTCTCGACAAGTCGTCCGACATTGCTGGAGAGGTGCTCTTCCAATCCAAACAACGCGATCCCACCACATGGAAACGACTCACCGGATTTGTCGAACAAGACGATCTCATGTTTTCCGCACTCACCGTCCAAGAGACTCTCCAATACTCTGCCGACCTCCGACTGCCCAAACGCCTCTACAACAAGAGCGAGTGTCAGCAACGTGTTGATGATACCATTGCCATGCTTCGACTCGACAAGTGCAAAGATACACGCATCGGCGGTCCCAACCAACGTGGTGTTTCGGGAGGTGAGCGCAAACGCGTCGCTGTAGGCACCGAGCTCGTCGCTGATGTCAGCGTGCTGTTGCTCGACGAACCCACTTCCGGCCTGGACGCTTTTGCCGCACTCAACCTCGTCAAGAACCTCAAGGAGATCACTCGCGAACGCGATCTGTACACGCTCATGACCATCCACCAACCGTCGTGGAACATATTTAAGCATTTTGACAAGGTCATCCTCCTCACGCGTGGTCAGGTTTATTACTCGGGCCCGCCGGCTTTGGCTCCTGCGTGGTTCTCTTCGCTCGACCACAGTGTCCCCGAGGGAGTCAACCCTGCCGACTATTACATCACCATTGCTGAAAACTACGAAAAGACAAACGCCGCAGAGAGGCGTGTTCGCGGCTTGCTCTCCTCTTGGCGCGAGCAGGGCGAGACCTTCGTAGCGAATCAGGCTGCAAAAGAGGCAAGCGATGGCGATCCTACCATTCAACGACCTAGCCTGGCAGATCGCAAGCAGTCGCGTATCGTGCCCAAAAGTAGCGACGCAACTGACCTCACTGGGACATGGCCTAACTCGTGGCTACACGAGCTTTGGATCCTCTCACACCGCTGTGCTATGCTCATCTTCAAAGACCCGACCATCGCGATCGCTTCCTTTGGTCAAAACATCGTCCTGCTCATCATCATCGGTTTCGCCTTCTTCCGGTTGAGCTACGATCAAGGTGGTGCACTAGCCCGCATCGGTGCCCTGTTCATCATCCCCGTCAACGCGTCCTTCGCCGTCCTCTTCCCCATCCTCGCCATCTTCCCCCTGCAGCGCAACATCATGCTCCGTGAACGATCGGCAGGAACCTATCGAATCTCCTCCTTCTACCTGTCCAAAATCCTCACCGAAGTCCCGAACCAGGTCGTCCAACGGCTGCTGTTCTACATCTGCGTCTACTGGATGGTCGGCTTGCGCCAGACAGCAGGAGCCTTCTTCATCTGGCTCGGCATCAACCTGCTCCAAGTCGCGACCGCCATCGGCCTGGGACTCGTCATCGGCTGCGGGTCATCCTCCATCGAACTCGCCAACGTCTTTGCACCCGTCATCAACGTCGTCTTCCTGCTCTTCGGCGGAAACCTCCTCCCGCTATCGTCGATCCCTCCATGGTTCATCTGGTTGCACTGGATGTCTCCCATCACCTACACCTACTCGGCGCTGGCGCAGAACGAGTTCAAACAGCTCACCTTCACCTGCACCGCCGACTCCCAGCAGTGCTACAGGTCCGGCCAGGACGTTCTCAACCAGTACGATTTGCAGCGCTTCACCATCGCAGAGAATGCCGGGTTCTTGGCCGCCATCACCGCAGTTTTCTTGGCAGTCGGGTATGTTCTCTTGAGATGGTTGGGCAGACCGAGCTTCCGATACGTACAGCCAAAGAAGGCGCTTTCCCAGCAGTAGGCTGCGCAGAGCAAATGTCACCATTACCCACTTTGCATCTTCAATTCCACGTCGAAGCCCTGTCGTGATAGCGACAAGTGTGCCGAAGTTGTTCGAGGTTGTGCCTGGTACCAAATCACCCTTATCATCGTTCCACCCATCATGGCAAATGAGCACCCTTCCTCCCCACCCCAACCGCATCCAGCTTGACCGCCAAAAACAACCTCCCCGTATGCAACGTCCCCAGTTCAAACATCCTATCAAACAACCCCTGCACCCACACCCTCGCCGTTGTCTGACAATTGCTCAACTGCAATGGAGCAGCCACCAGCCCACCCACCGTTGCACCACTGATCCCCATCCCGATACTATCCAGCTCTCTCAAATACCTGAAAATCACGCTTGGCTGGGGCGGACTGAACCTAAACGCCGCCTTGTACGCCATCTGCCACTTGTCGTGCAACGCTCTCGCACAGGCCTGCGGATCCGGACATGCAGCATGACACTCGTAGTCCCTCGCCGGATTCGCCAACCCTAGCTTCAACAGTCGTTCCAAGAACCACGTCCGCTTGCGTTCCAGCTTCAACAGCGTCTCGTTCGACAACACTTCCAGCTCATCCGGTAACCAAGCTGCAAAGTTGTCGAGGACGTGACGACTCGCATCTCGGTAGAGGTCGTCGAGGTTGTGAAGTTCGGCTAGACGCATCGCTTCGATCGGACGGCCTGCCAGTGCTGCTCGAAGAAAGGTGATGCACGAACGTCGCAGGAAGGGCACTTGGAATTTGTCCGAGAATCGAAGCAGCGGACCGCAGTTGTACCACGTGACCGAGAGGTCGAGGTGCGGGTAGATGTGGAAGAGAAAGTCGTGGAAGGTGGAAGCGGATTCTTCGGTGAGGTCGACGACCGAGATGATGCCTTTGTAGGGAGGTGGGAGAGCGGCGCCCTTGCTGTGACCAGTTGCGGACGAGCGATCGGCTGCAGTGTCGGCCTCGGTCGCATGTGCTTCTAAATCGCAGAGGAGAGCAGTCGGTGCGGAATGAGCGATGTCACTCGCTCGACGGGACACTGGCGGAGTGGCGAGCGACTCCATCCGCTGCTGTGGTGCAGGCTCTTCGTCCGGATCCCGTTCACAAATCGTAGAGGTGGGGGCTTGAGGTTCGTCCTGTCCGTGTTCGAGCTTCCTGAGTGCCAATTGTGTAGCGATGCACTTCGAGTTGGATCTTGATCGCGTTCCCGTTGTGTGTTCCTCGAGGCACTGCATTTCGCTCTCGTCAGCACTGTTCGACTCGTCCGCTGCTTCATGGACATCTTCTCTCCGAAGGGCATCACGGTGGTCGCTCTCGCCGCGCCTCTTGTCTGCATCCTCGACCTCCGACTGATCGCTGGTCGGAGAAGTCCCTTCCTCAAGGGAATCCTGAAAAAGCGTTGGAGAAGCTCTCGCGTCGTCATCCTGATTCCAGAGTGCCGTGTGGTAAGAAGCGCGGAACAAGCTTCTGCGCCGCGCCTCCTCAGCCTCCTGAAAGCTTGAATCGAGCTCGGTTCCTCGTCGGTCCTGCCTGGGATCTTCTGTTGCGGAATCTTTACTGGCTTTGGTCGAGAGGGCGGGGCGCTGAGGATTAGCCAGAGCCATCTCCGCGCTTGTCAACTGCGTTTGTAAACTCGGCTCTGCTTCTGGTACGTGTGCAGCGCCCTCCCCGTCTGGCGCTCTCGCGTCTCGGCAGGAACATTCCCCTGTCTCGATGATCGAGCTCTCCTCGGCCGCAACAACCAACCTCGACAAGCGGGACTCGCTCCACCCACCCGCCAATACACTCTTGAAAAACGGCGAAGAGAACAGCAGCACGTCCTTGTGAACCCAAAACTCAACCCCGTCCACTCTGACCAACACATCGCCTCTCGACTCTGCATCGCTTCTGAACGTTGAATGCACCACAAAGTCCTCCGCTTCGCCACCGCTGCCAACACCAGAGTAAATTCTCTGATGCAGCGTGCTTGCACTCGCGCCGCTGCTGCTGTTGCCTTTGAGATGAAGACCGGATGACCATGTTTCAGCTGTGGAGATGTTTTCAGGGGTCGAGACGGGTACCGCAGCAGTGGGCTGTGAGACCGCCTGTTGTAGGTCTGGTCTGTGTCGACGTGCGGACGGTGCTGCTGCGTTGGTGGAAGGTCGTGAATTGGACACGGATGCTAGAGTCGAAGATGAGGAGGAAGATGCCGTCGTCGAGTTGACGCCATCGAGGTGGTTGACCGTGGAGAGACTTGGTGGAGCTAGCACAGTGGTCCGACGTGCGATCAGGGCTGGAACAGGGTTGTTAATGAAAGCGGTGTTGCTCGAACTGCTTGCCATGTTAGACGGAGGCATCTTTACCATGCGCTGTGTCCTGACGAGATCTCACAGCTGTCATGCGGTTGCAGTCTGACGCTCGCATCCAGCAGCGAATGCTTGTCAGTGGACGGCGTGATGGAGGTGAGGAAGATAGAGATCGAGTGGCTAGGAAAGGTTCCACATGCGCGGACGCACGGACAGTCTAAATTTTGGAGCACGCTTGCACCCTGCATGCAACACAACCGACGTGTTGGACCCTGAACGGAGAGCCAAACCTACTCGGAGATGCATCTTAGTACGCTCAACACGACAAGGCTCAAGCCAATCTTAGCTCGACCGACAACACTGAGTGGTCCCTTCCTTGCTCATTTGCTTGAGACCCATCGAGTCCGCACAGGTTGATTTGACGATCGAAACACTTGAATGGGTATATTGATGTCGACAAAAGTCTTCACATCTGGGTTTCGGCCTCCACTGCACACGGTCACTCAATCCATGCGCTGCAACCTTCCTCTGTCCCTCCTCATACGTTCTGCTAGATCCACGCCATCATCGAATGTCTTGCGCTGCTGGTCCATGAGGAAGCCACCTTTGCCATCGCCATGACCTTTGGAGCGTGCGTCGATGAGCTTTTGCCGTAGCTCGGCCTCCCTGCGCTCCTGCTGTGCTTCTTCTTCATTGATCTTGGAGACGTAGGAGCTCCTCTCTTGCTGCATCGACTTTGCATTCTGTTCCATCTCTCGCAATCTTTGCCGGCGGATCTCTTCCCTACGCTTGTCATCTTGTTCCTGATCGCGCGTCGATCCGTTGGTTGGCGGTCGGGTCCAGGACGAGGGCCGAGGACGATCACTGTAAGAGTTGCGCGCTGGGGGAGAGCGGCTACGACTGACACTGCGAGGAGGAGGAGTTCTTTGAGATCCGGCGTCATCCCTCCTTCGGTCTGTACGGTCGTACCTTCCGCGTAAAGTTGTACGAGAGTCCTCCGGATCGCGCGGCCGATGCTCGCGCGGTCGATCTCGGTCGTCCGTGTAACGACGTTCACGACGGTCTTCCTCTCGGTGCCTCTTTGATGATCCGTGATCGTCTCTTCGGTCGCGACGATGTGAGTGGTCGGACTCGCGACGGCTGGAATGTCGGTCACTGTGACTTTGTTCGTCTCGATGACGATGCGAACGCTGCTCGCTGCGAGACGAGTCGTGCCGACGGTGTTCGTCGCGGTCGTGCCTGCGACTCTTGTGCTCCTTCCTCCGGCGTCTCTCTTCTTTGGTCTCCGAGTCCACATCAATGCCGGCCTGCATCTTGAGCTGCCGCAATCTGGCCGGATCGCGGAGCAGGGCCTCGTAGGCTGCTTGCTCCTGCTGCTTGATGGCGAGCATAGGATCTTCGCGCACCTTGGCAGCAAGATCTCGCGCCGAATTTGCATTCTGCAGCGATATAGGACCCTTCTGTGTGGTCTTGGACACCTCCTTGTTCTCGTCTCCTTGGAGTAGCTTGTCTACGCGCTTCTTTCCCAACAGGTAATCCTCCATTTCGGCGGCCGAGTTGGAGCCGGTGGTAGCGGGCGTGGCGTACATCCAATCGACGCGGTCGACGCGCTTCTTTCCTCCTGCCTCCTCCTGTAGCCGTTGTAGCTCTTGCATCTCGCGCTCCTGTTCCCGCTCTCGACGGAGCTCCTCAAGCTTCTTGCGCTCGTCGAGGGCTTCCTTTTCGCGCTTCCACACGCGCTCCTGGTTGACCTGCAGGAGCGGATGCCACGACTTCTTCATGTTGAGGTCGCCTCCACCCATATTGACGGCGTGTTTGACACCTCTGCCGGTGCGAGCTAACCAAGAGGAGGTTCAGGGTGTCTTGGTCTCAGGTCGAGGTTGTGGTGGTGGTGATACACAGAGTTGAATGATCAAAAGCTGAGCTCCACAAAGGCGGATCGAAAAATGAATAACCGGATCTTTTTCACTCGTACGATAAATTCTGACGGAAGAAGACGAGTCGCGCAACTGCGCTTTTGCAGAGAGCGAGCCAGAGTGCGCCACGGAAACACCAACCTTTCGTCGGCATTTGGCTTTTGGGTGACGACTAGGCATCTTCTCGACCGTCATCCCCCTTCATCCTCCTTCAACCTCCCCTTCCTTCTCGCATCTGTTGCTTAGTGCGACGGAGCCTCTGATCTGCTCTTTTCAACAAAAGGCGGCCGTGCAGTCCCATCTTTGGTGCTCGTCGACTGTATCTGATCACGCTCACTTCTTCACCTATCCGTCTTTCCCGCTCAGCACCTATTCCACAACTGCGCAGCATCACTGACGTCGACCTAGTGAAACAACAGCCTCATCAGGCTCACAATCAGCGCATTCCTTGCGGGTGCTGCTGCCGCCGCTCTTCGCTCTCACCGAAGGGACGCGCCCTGCTCTGCATCCGTGATCCTGCCTCCTTCGACGCTAGGTAAGCGTCCATAATCGCTAATATGGCCGACTCGGTAGCGTACGACAAGTACATGAAGGATACCTTCGATGATCCCGCCATCGATGTCGACGATCTGGATGCCGCTAGCTACAACAACACCTATGCTTCCGGCAAGCGTGTCGAATACGATGACGATGACGAGTACTCGGAAGAGATCACTCAGGAGGACTGCTGGGACGTCATTCGCGCTTTCTTCGAAGAAAAGGGTCTCGTACGCCACCAGCTCGACAGTTTCAACGAGTTCATGTCCAACACCATTCAGGAGCTCGTCGAAGAGGTGCGCAGCCTCACCCTCGAGCAGAGCGACCAGCATTCCGGCCACGCAGAGGACAAGACCCGTCGATACGAGATCGAGTTCGGTCAGATCTACCTCAACAAACCCACCATGACCGAATCCGACGGCAGCTCCGCCCAGCTCTTCCCGCAAGAGGCTCGCTTCCGTAACCTCACCTACTCGGCTTCGCTCTTTGTCGACGTCACCCAAAAGGTGCTTGTCCAGAGCGAAGACGAGGTCGACCTCAACGGCGACCCGGCTTGGATTCCTGAGTACGGCAAGACCGACGTCGAGGAGCAGCAGATCTTCATCGGCAAGGTTCCCATCATGCTCAAGTCCGACTTCTGCTGGCTCAAGGGTCTCGACGATGAAATGTCCTACTCGCTCAACGAGTGCCCCTACGACGCAGGCGGATACTTTGTCATCAACGGTTCCGAAAAGGTGCTCATCGCTCAGGAGCGAATGGCCGCCAATCATGTCTACGTCTTTTCCAAGGCTCCTCCCGCCCCCGTCACCTTCCTCGCAGAGATCCGCTCCGCCGTCGAAAAGGGCGGCAAGACCATCTCCACCATGCAGGTCAAGCTCTTCTCACGCAACAAGGAAAAGACTGCCAACAACACCATCCGCGCCACCCTCCCTTACATCCGCAACGACATCCCCATCGTCATCGTATTCCGTGCCCTCGGTATCGTTCCCGATCGCGAGGTGCTCCAACACATCTGCTACGACTTTAACGACACTCCCATGCTCGAGATGCTCAAGCCATGCATCGAAGAAGCCTTCGTCATCCAGGACCGCGACGTTGCCCTCGACTTTATCGGCCGTCGTGGTACCACCACCGGTCTCTCGCGTGCGAAGCGTACCGTCTACGCACAAGAGATCCTTCAAAAGGAGATGCTCCCCCACATCTCCACCTCCGAGGGCTCCAACACCAAAAAGGCCTACTTCTTCGGCTACATGATCCACCGTCTCCTGCTCGCCGCCCTTGACCGCCGCGAGATCGACGACCGTGACCACTTTGGCAAGAAGCGCATTGACCTCGGCGGTCCGCTCATGGCCAACCTCTTCCGCATGCTCTTCCGCAAAGTCACCCGCGACGTCTACCGCCACCTCCAAAAGTGCGTCGAGGAGCACCGCGAGTTCCACATCCAGGCCGCCGTCAAGTCCTCCACCATCACAAACGGTCTCCGCTACTCGCTCGCCACCGGTAACTGGGGTGACCAGAAGAAGGCCATGCAGGCAAAGGCCGGTGTATCGCAGGTGCTCAACCGTTTCGGCTTCGCATCCACCCTCTCGCATCTTCGCCGCACCAACACCCCCATCGGTCGTGACGGCAAGATCGCCAAACCTCGTCAACTCCACAACACCCACTGGGGCATGGTCTGTCCCGCCGAGACGCCAGAAGGCCAGGCGTGCGGTCTGGTCAAGAACCTCTCCCTCATGGCTACCGTCACCGTCGGCACCCCCTCGGCGCCCATCGTCGAATTCCTCGAAGAATTTGGTCTCGACAGCCTGGTCGACATGCAGCTCGCCCACGCAAAGGCCACCAAGATCTTTGTCAATGGCGTCTGGATGGGTACTCACGACGACCCCGGTCAGCTCGTCGACACGCTCCGCGACCTCCGACGAAAGGACGACATCTCCCACGAGGTCTCGGTCGTTCGAGACATTCGCGAGCGTGAACTTCGCATCTACACCGACGCATCCCGTGTCCTCCGCCCTGTCTTTATCGTCAACCCACACGACATGACGCTCCTCATCAAGAAGCACCACGTCAACATGATCGGTCAGCCCATCCCCGAGACGGGCGAAGAGTTCCGCTGGACCCAGCTCGTCCAGCAAGGAGTCATCGAATACCTCGACGCCGAAGAAGAGGAGTCCGTCCTCATCTGCATGTCCACCACCGATCTCGAACAGTCGCGCGAGTACAAGGCGCGCAACGGCCAGATCAGCCTCCACTCCGCCGATCCCTCGGCACGTCTCAAGTCCGTCCACACCATCGCACCCGACACATGGACCCATTGCGAAATCCACCCAGCCATGGTGCTCGGCATCTGCGCAAGCATCGTTCCCTTCCCGGACCACAACCAGAGTCCACGAAACGTCTACCAAAGTGCGATGGGAAAACAGGCCATTGGCATTCCCATCTCGAACTTCCTCTCCAGGGCCGACTCGATGTGCCACGCCCTCCTATACCCGCAAAAGCCGCTCGGTACGACGCGATCGATGGAGCACTTGCGCTTCCGAGAGCTTCCCGCGGGTCAAAACGCCATCGTGGCCATCATGTGTTATTCCGGTTACAACCAGGAAGACTCGGTGATCATGAACCAGTCGTCGATCGATCGAGGTCTGTTCCGCTCGATGTACTACCGCGGCTACATGGCCGAGGAGAAGAAGGTAGGTGTGATGCAGCTGGAAGAGTTCGAAAAGCCGCATCGCGATACGACGATTCGCATGAAGCACGGAACGTACGACAAGATCGACGCCGACGGATTGGTCGCACCAGGCACGCGTGTGTCGGGCGACGACGTGATCATCGGCAAGACGGCGCCGCTGCCGCCCGATTCGGAGGAGCTGGGTATGCGATCCAAGCTGCATACCAAGAAGGACGCCAGTATCTCGCTCAAGTCGACCGAGAACGGCATCATCGACCAGGTGCTGGTGACTACCAACTCGCACGGCAACAAGTTCGTCAAGGTGCGTGTGCGCAGCACGCGTGTGCCGCAGACGGGTGACAAGTTTGCCTCTCGTCACGGTCAGAAGGGTACCATCGGTATCACGTACAGGCAAGAGGACATGCCGTTCAGTTCGGAAGGTGTGACTCCGGACATCATCATCAACCCACACGCCATTCCGTCGCGAATGACGATCGGCCACTTGGTCGAATGTCTGCTGTCCAAGGTAGCAGCGCTGTCGGGACAGGAAGGTGATGCGACGCCGTTCACAGAGTTGACGGTCGAGGCAGTGTCTTCGATTCTGCGTGGATTGGGCTACCAATCGCGTGGTCTTGAGGTCATGTACCACGGCCACACGGGCCGCAAGATGCAGGCGCAGGTCTACCTGGGACCGACATACTACCAGCGTCTGAAGCACATGGTGGACGACAAGATCCACTCGCGTGCGCGAGGACCTGTGCAGATCCTGACGCGACAGCCGGTGGAGGGTCGATCGCGTGGAGGTGGACTGCGATTCGGAGAGATGGAGCGTGATTGCATGATCGCGCACGGTATCGCCGGATTCCTCAAGGAGCGTATGTTTGATGTGTCGGACCCGTACCGAATCCACGTATGCGATCTGTGCGGACTGACGGCGCTGGCGAACCTCAAGAAGGGAACGTACGAATGCCGATCGTGCCGCAACCGCACAGCGATTTCGCAGATTCACATCCCGTACGCCGCCAAGCTTTTGATGCAGGAGCTGATGAGCGTCAACGTCGCGCTGCGTCTCTATTAAGCATTTCGTCTCGTAGTCACAGAAACCATCCAAAAAGTCAAATTGTATCCTATTGTCGTTCGGTCATAGATTAGCCAAAGCAGCGTGTGTGTCGGCTTTGAGTTTCGTTGGTCCAAGCTCGAGTTCCAGGCCTGTCTAAACGAGCATTCTGAGCGGTAAGATTTTGCCGAGAGAGTCGCGACAAAGAAGTGCGGTTCCTCGTAATTTCCGCGACGGACCGGAAATGGCACTCTTGAAAAAGTGATTGTGGAAATTGAGGTCACAAAATCTACGACACGTCGGGCGCGAGATCAGGTGAGGGAGGTGAGGGACGACGGCGCGCCTTCGGCATACCAGCGGCTTATGACGCGCTGATGTTCTTTGTCTAGTGGAAGCGAGAGAAGGGGTCGGGGGAAGGGGGTCTGATCATGTGCTCGGTTCGGCTAGAGGGATGGAATGTGGGATGCTCATACGGTTCTAGAAGCGCTACGAAAAGGCATGCATGCTTGCCAAGCTGAGCCAGGCGAGCGGTTGGGCTCCAAAGCGAGCTTGGATGTCTGACTCGCTTGCATAGATTAGCCTTTGTCGTGATTTGCTCGACACAGGCGACGTCGACGATCGAACGAGGAACGCAATCGCGTCGCTTCGCCTCCTCGGAACTGGCAGCCGGTGATCAGCTGAATAGTCATACTGTGGCGCTTTGCGAGTTGCTCCATCGCGACGAGGTTGTATCCCAAATATTGTTGCTCCAAGTGCATATCGGCGCAAACCACTGCCTCGATCATTTCATGCGACCTTGATACGCACCATCCTTGCACCACCCCACCAAGGATGAACGGTGCAACACATTGGTACAGTGAATCGAAAAGCAGGCACGAGCGGAGATTCAAAGCAACCCGACCGACGTGCAGCAGTCAAAGCAGGTAACAAACGCTCTTGCATTCGGACCGAAGCTGAAATCTGTGTCGGACAGGAGGAGCGACGGGTCGGAGTGATTGCACCGCGGGGACCCGATCGCTGCCTTTGCCGAGCAAGACTCGATTCCGCGTTGAATCACGCTCCACCATTCGACGCGGAACGTCCCACAAGAAAGCCATTTCAATGCAGAAGCTCGTGCGTCTCGAATCCGACTCGAACATCGTCATTGCAGCTTCGTCAGCAGACCTCTCTGTACTGTACTGCAGTCAATCGAGGTGTGTCATCCTGAATCGGTATCGCCGAGCCACTAAGGGAGTGACAAAAATGCTGGGATGGGATCGCCGCCTGCTGCCGATAGCTATGTTGCTGCAGTGGCCGACACTCTAAACGCGCGACGCGTCGATCGCGTCCAACCAACACAAGCCCAACAACAACCAACACTTTGGCAGCTCACAATTTTTTCTTTTTTCAATTTTTTTTTCTCCCGTCACCTTCGCTGGACTGTGTGTGTCTTTTGCGGCTCTCCGAATCCGAGAACTGGAATGCATGAAATCACGGTGCAATGCGATGCCATGCACTGCATGACGTCTCGACGAAAGACAACCGATTCCCGTCTGCTGCTGCGGCGACGACGACGACGACGACGACGACGCCTTGCTTTGCCTGCATCATGTGCTGTTTTGTCATCGCTGCTCATGTGAACAATACAGTAGGGCAAGAACGGTCGAGGCTGTTTTCATCTCTGCCTACTCGAATCAAACAACGAACACGGCGGTTCGGTCGATCGAGGTCGAGCCTGGGACATGGATCAAGAAATTTACGGACCGAAGCGAGATTCAGCTTCCGACGCTCCGTAGCCGAGCCCACGAGCACGAGTCCGCTTTGTTCAACCTTTTCCCAGCACGACTTCAGTCTGGACCCACAACGCGAAAAGGCTCCTCGTGAGCCAGCCCCACTTCCACAGCTCCTTGCTTGACGCTCCTGTCATTGTCTTGGAGACATTGAAAGCCTGGGGGGCAACAAACACCCCGCGCGACTATCCCGAGGTGGCAGGACGTTCGAAGCGAGGCTTGCTCAGCCATCAACGCTTGGCAGCCAACAAGAGGATGCCAGCTGGCATGGCCAATCATCCACAACACCACCAAGCCATGCAACCATGCGTAATTTGAACCAGCCGCGGCAAATACTTCCCGGGCAGTACACTCGCAAAGTAAAAAATATTATTATTAAGAAGGAGAATTAACGAACGATTTTTTTCTCTCTTTCTTACTTCGCTGTGTCAGTCAGGTATAAGGACTGTTCGGCATTTGCCACGAACGGCAGCTTTTTCGCCGACTAACGCGTACTGTACCCGTGATCTCGTCAAGCGTACGGAGCGTGTTGTGCCCGCCAATTCGTCTCAACTCCATCGCCCCTCTCTTGAGCAAGGATGGACCGGATGTCGTACCGAAACATGCGGCAGCGCGTCCAAGAGTCGCGTCACTTTTTCTTTTCCTCTTTCTCTCGTGATGAGAGCTTGATATTTTATTTATTTATTTTAGTAATGCCTCTCGGGTGATCATAGAGAGAGCTGGATGCTGGCTGATGCTGTACGAGCGACGCACATCTCTGTCGTGCAACGAGCCAGCCTACCTTGTGTGTCATTCACTGCCAGCTCTACTTTCGCCGGCTCGTCAACTGTGCCCTCGCCTGCTCCCGTTCCTTTTCGTCATCACGCTCTAGCCGCCTTACGGGTTCCCTCGACATCGTCACAATCTCAGCTGCGCACACGGACGCCATTTGCCATTCACGACCATCGCCTCTTGTATCATACCTTCTCGACCGACACCATCATCGTCAGCAGCAGCAGGGCTTGATCCTGACCTTCTGCAGCCTCGTGCTTTGACACCACCTGGCCTTCTTTCCACATTGCTGTAGCATCCACCATCCTCGATTTCCGGCTACGCGATATTTCGCTGTGCGCGCAAGCTTCGCATTGTAAGCACAGCTTGGACCTCCCTTTCCAGCTGTCAACCGCCCTTTTTCTCTAGTCACAATCGAGCGACCCGCCCAAAAGACGCCGAGACGCCGCTGTCCAACACTTGCTTTCACACTTTCTTCCCAGACAGAGGTCCAACCCGCATTGACCAATGTCGTTCCTGTGACGCGACAATCTCGGTTGGACCCATCATCCAGCTTGCGCACGCCGCACGCTTTCCGCCATTCTTCCAGCTCGACCGAGCAGCACCGGGACGAGTCGCTCGGACGCAGCGGTCTGAAGGCCTTCCGTCTAGATGTCATCAGTCGTGGCTCCACCATTGCCGGGCTCAACTTCTGACGTGCATTTCGACGAGGCCGACGCGGCCACATCTACGCAAACCTCGCCCGCAATGTCGATCCCAAGCTCCCGCATTGCGAACGACTCTACCCTGCTCACCACCTTCGACTCGTCTCCCGACAGCCAGTCTCAGCAGCTTGACGCCCCTCATCATCAGGACAAGCTTGACCCGTCCGCCGCTGCGTTTCAGCCCATGTCGTTCCCCGCATCAGCATCGTCACTACAAAGTGGAGCTGCTGCCGTTTCCAATGGTCCCGATCGCGCCTTCTTGCCCACTGCCGCACCGATCTCTGCGCCATTGGATAGCGCTGCTGCCACCGGCGAGCACGGAGTCAGTCCCGTCATCAATGCGTACAGATCGCCCTATCCACCCAGTCCTATCTATTTTGTCACGGTGGTGCCTCCAGAAGACTTCCTTCTGTCACCCGAACTCAGCCAACAGGAACGCACTCGTCTTGAACGCGGCTCACTTCTGCCACTCTATCCGACACTCGGTGGTCAGCTCTGGGCCATTTCGCGCGAATTCGCTTTGCCATCGCTGGGAGGTTTGATGCTTTACTTGGCCGACGACGGACAAGGCAACCGAGGACCGCGCATCGGCGATGCAGCATGGCAGGCGCTGTGGGCGAGGTACTTTGCCGAAGACGAAACACCATCTACGTCTGCGTCCAAACCATCGGCAGCTTTCGCTCCCAGTCGGCGCTCCTCGATGGCAGCCGGTGATTCGTTCGTCGGCACATCCGCTTTCTCGAGCTCACACGCCGCTGATCTGTCGCGTTCGACGCTGGCAGAAGGTTCCTCCAGCCGTCCCAGCATTCCTTACGTCTCGGCACGTCCGTCTCCCAGGGTGGAAGCCTTGGCCTTCCCTCGCCGCGACACTTCGGCAGATTGGAGTCCATCCGCTCGCAGCGCTGCGTGGTCGGGCCATGCCTCCTCGTCAGCCAGCCGCATTCCAGCTCCTGTAGTGCCTTTTCCGCAGCTCCCCATCCTTGCCCGCATCGAGTGGCAGATCGACTCGAGCAAAGCTGCCTGGTGGCCCTCCTGGATCACTTCTCGCAGCAGAGTGTCCCAACGTCCTGCACACAAAACCAGAAGGAGTCTGCATTTGGCCGACAGTCTGGCACAACAATCCAAGCGAGATGAGCTCGATGAGCATTACGACGACGAATACGACGGCAACGAAGCTGACGAGCTAGATCAGGAAGTCCAGGCTCGTCGAACTAGCCCGTCATTACCGCAACGGTGTCGCGAGCCCGAAACACATGCCTCCTCGAGCCGACATATCGATACAGCCGCGACTGCTGCGTCAGTGTCTCAGCCGGCATCGCTCGTTTACACGCCCGAAGAGGTTCCACTCCCTCCGTCTCCCTCCATGTCAATGCCTCCCATCACCGAGGCAGACGAGAAGCGAGAATCCCTCCGTTCTCTAGGGAGATCTGCGTCAGCTCGGTCGCTAGCTCAAACCCAGGATCAGCAAGATGTCGTCAAGAACGAACAGGAAGCAGAGAGCAGCCCGGCCGCGCCGCTCGCTCCCGAACGCCACTCGCCTCTGGACGAACCGCTTCGTTCTGCAAGAGCAAGCATCATTTCGATGAGCTCCTACAATTCGCGACCCATGTCTTCGCTGTCGAATGCCGCACCTCGGCTATTGTCAAGCAGCGCGTCCGACGAGCTGCGCGATGGTATCCCATCCGAACCAGCTGTTGTGGACGAGTCTGCGTCCATCGCTCCCTTGCAACCCGCCGAAGCTAGCTCGACAATACTCAGCCATCACGAGACCTCGGACCAGAGCCGCACCGGCTATTCGGAGATACTCGAAGCCGACGACGATGACGACCGAGTGACTGACAGAGATGGCGAATACAGTCTAGATCCCCTCGACCCGGCGCAGGACGCTGGGTACTCGGCTCTGCCCGATTCTCCTGCCGGCGAGACTCGCGCATTGCCAGATCGACAAACTGTTGGCGATGAGGAAGAGCAGGCAAGCTTCCCGCACGAAGGATTCCCGCTCCGTCACAGCTTTATCGTCGACGCTGGCGACGAGCTCATGTGGCGTGACCTTCACCAACACGATATGGACCAAATGTTCCCCGAGCCCCGTGAGGAGCCTCAAGCTCAGCGATGGCAGCATGATCAAGCCAAACAGACACACGCTGAGCAGCCTCCCCCTGATGCTGACTTTTTGCCGAGCGGCGGCCACATTGGTGCGTCTCTCTCGCGCGACCAGCCCGCCCTGTCGTTGTGGGCCCCGGGCACATTCCAAGAGGATCACCAAGAGGCAGCCTTCTATCGACACTTCGACCCTGCCGGTAACTTTGCGCATGACGCCTACTACAGTCCTCAGCGCTCCAACGTCGCCAGAATTCAAAGCTGGATCGGCAAGACGCCCACAGGTCCGCCTGCCTCATCTGGCGGCCTTGACGGCGACAATGAGCATCAAGACCCGGATCTGCAGCTGCCGGAAGAGTCGGACTTCGACGAGGTCGTCGGCCTTTGGGCTAGCAAGGTCCGTCAAGACCCGTATGGCATTCCACACATCACCGGCCCGACGGAAGCTTTGAGCCACGACCAAGGAGCAGCGAGCGTTGCCGTTGCACAGCAGAAGGCTCGCTCAGCAGAGACGCATGCTTCAGCAACCAACAAGCACGAAGGCGAGGGAAACAGCCTGGCGACGGCATCGGCTCCCGCGGTCTCGCTCCTGAGCCCCATCCACCTGGACGCTGCAGCCTTTGACGGCGTCAAGCCTCAGTTGGGCAGCCTCGCCACCACACAAGCGCCCCAGCTCCTGAGTCCGACAGCAGTGGCTCACGCCTTTGACACGCCACGGGCTCCCCAAAGCCAACGATCCATATCTACGCCTATCATCCAACAGCACCCACCACCGTCACCAGGCTCGCTGGCACCTCCTCTTGACCGCAGGCCCAGCAGTGACAGTCGTCGTAGCTCGGGCGATCTCAGCGATAGCCTCGAAGAGATGCAGAGAGCAGTCGAGCTTCTCAGCCCTGCGTGCTCGCCTAACCCAGGTCTAGGACATAGCCAAGAAGCCAACGGCCGCAAGATGTCTAGCAGAGACAGTCTTGCCTATGCTCGAAGCATTTCGGCCTCTGTGACACCCAGCCCCAAATGGTTCGCCCGTGCCAAAGCGGCGACCGCCAAAAGTCGAAGCAACGTTCGCAGCACGTTCGCGGCAGGAGGCAGCCCTTTTGATCGCGGACAAGTGTCGCCCCGTCCTGCCAGCACATCCGCCGTCTCATCATCGCGTTTCCGCGTGCCCGGCTTCCCAGCGCCCCTCAGCTCATCGCGATTGATCGAGTTTGCCCAGGTGGAAGGCATGCATCGTCATGCCAGCACCGAGGTCGGCGATGCAGAATCGACTCGCTCTGCGGGCACCGTGCATTCCATCAGCGACGATGCCACTCAAAGCGTGCCGACCATGATGATCATGCCGGTAGTCAGCCCACAGACAGCGCAACACGTCCAACCTTCTGGTTCGTCCGTGCAGTCGGTCGCCGCCGAGATGGTACATTGCGCTTCAACGACTATTACCTCTCCGAAGGTCGAAGAGCAAGAGCATGACGAGAACGAGAACGAACACTTCGCCTATCGCCCTACCAGGGTGGAGGAAACGACCAATGAGACGGTTGAGCCCGCCTCGTCCCCTATCTTGGCCCCTATGGACCATCTCAAGTCGTCGGCGCCTTTTGAGCAGGAGGGCGAAGCAGAGGCAAAAGACTCACAGGAGCTGTCGAGCATCATGGGCGACAACGACGAGGACAACATTGCCCGGATCCAACACTTTCTGCGCGGCAACGTCGTTTCCGGCGCCGACTCGGACGCTTCGTTCTTGCATGACCCGTCCACTTCGTACATGGAGCTACAGCATGGCTCCAGCGCCGACGGCACCATCATTGAACGATCGCACAGTCTCGGAAGCGATCTGCGTTCTGCCACCCCCGAGCAGCGCAGTGGCCGAGCACACGATGACCCGACCAATGCGGGGAAGGGGGACAGCGAGGGCGCTACGCAGCCTGATGCACACTTGAGCATGGAAGAGTCACCTGCTGTGGAGCGATGGAGTCAAGCCTCCTACATCACCGACCATTGTTCGCATCACCAGCCTTCGACGTGTTCGCCCGACTCGAACAGCCCGAAACGAGGTCCGCGCCACGACATGCGCGCTCCCAGTTTCGCGTACGACGCACACCTCAGCTCCGAGCCCACGACGCTCGATACGCAGCTCAGTAGCGCTGCCGATGCCACAGATGGCGAAGGCTTGTCGGTAGCCGACCAGGTGGTCAAGTCGTACCTGTCGAGTTCCCCCTCGGATGAGACGTTCTTTGCTTCGAATGGGCCTACTGGCTCGCTGCGGACGCAAGCAGAGGAGCAACAGCGAGATCGCCGCCAGCAGAGCCAGCAGGACCAAGCAGCTTCTGGCATCTCGGAGCTGGATGTTGCGAGCGAAGGTCAACAGCAAGGAACGCTGAACGAAGCGCAGTCGAGCAACAACATAGCTTCACAGAATCCCGCAAGCTTTGATCCTCCCGCGACGAACTCTACGAAGATGAAAGACGGTCCGATTCCAGTCCTGGCTTACAAACCTGCCTCTTCGCCTGTCTATGCCGACGTGTTTCCCGTGCAGCGACCTCTTGCTGGCACGCACGATGATACGCTTGACGAGGAAGAGATCCGGACGATGAACGAAGACACCCGCGCTGCAGTGCGTGAGGCGCTCTCGCAATCCACAGCGCACCACGTCAACATCCCACCCGCGGTTGCACCCCTTAGTTCCTCAGCGGCGGGGGCTGGATCCTATTCGCCCAAATTGTCGCTCTCTCCCACCGCTTCACCTCTGTCAAGCCACTCGTCTCTCGGCGACCAGTTTCGAAGACGCGGATCGGCCTCGAGTCTCAACTTGACCTCTACCGGCGGTGGCAGTGGCAGCAGCGCCTCGTCGCCCAACTTGAATGGCAGCAGCAAGCGTAGACCATCCCGACTGAACCTCGATATTGATGGTCTGTCGCGTTCGCCTCCCTCGAACGCAGCGTCCAAGGCAAGGTTGCCGTCGACCTCGCCCAGGTCGAGGTTTGGACAGCTACCGCCGAGCCCTTCGCTTCATCCGAATTACAAAGCGGCCATGTCGAGCCCGCTGAGCCAGACGTTCCCGGTGATGGGGCTGGGGATGGGCAGCCCGAAGAGCAAGGCATTCTTGCCTAGTCTGACTAACGTTACTTCGTTGGAGGGAGGGTTGGCGGGTTAAAGAGGCGGTCGCTTGGGCAGGTGCCGCGTTCCGCATTCGTTACGTTCCTGGCAAAGCGATACTATGCCGTCTCTGCGGTGCAGCCCGATGCTGGTGAAATGCAAACCATATACTTACATGATCGTCGTTCGAGGGTTCGTTTGAATCGTGCGAGCCTCAAGACCAGTTGAGAGATCCAGGTTCATGAAAGAGGCGGGTGACAAAATTGAGCGATGTTAGGTTGATCTGCGATCCGATGCTCCACTTTTTCGGGAAGAACATGCAACACAAAAAGGCCCTTGCTGTATCGGCTTTATCGACCACAATCATCACCTTACCATCATTGTCCATCCTCGTTAGTCTCTGCTTTATCGTCTCTTCGTTGGCTAAAGCGATCTCAACATGTCTCTGCTGCGACCGTTTCGAGCGAGCGATCTATTCCGCTTCAACAACGTCAACCTGGATCACTGGACAGAGACGTACACGCTCTCCTTCTACCTCTCCTACCTCGCGCAATGGCCGGATCTATCGTTCATCCAGACCGCACCCTCCTCCTCACGTACCATGGGGTATGTAATCGGTAAAGCTGAAGGACGCGATCACTCTTCCCCCACCTTTTCGCGAAGAGATCCACCGACGCTGCACGGTCACGTAACTGCCATCACCATCGCCCCCGAATACCGCCGTCTCGGTCTCGCGAAAGGCTTGATGAATCTCCTCGAAGACGTATCCACACGCGTGTACAACGCCTTCTTCGTAGACCTCTTCGTCAGACCCAGCAACAAAAATGCCGTCACCATGTATGAGGGAATGGGCTACGACGTCTATCGAAAAGTCACGGCGTACTACTATGGTGGCGGAAAAGCGGGTATGGACGAAGACGGGTTTGATATGCGCAAGAGTCTACCGAGGGATAGGGACGGGGTGTGTACGAGGAAGGATGGTAGACGATTTGCGGTCGATCCTCAGGATACGCTGTTCGAGCCTGCGTATCGGCCATGACCAAGTCGTAGAAGCAAGCTTCTCACATCAAGCATTCGACACGATACTTCAGAGGTCAGTTCTCCAACCGAAGAGCTACCATGTATTGCAACGCTCTCCAAATAACGCCAGGGAAACGGCCTCCGCTTCAATCCCACTCGATCGCCGGCGGCCGCTGGTACGCACGATCGATGCCCAACGCTTTCGTCGTCCGCAACGGCATACAGTACGTCGGATCGACCTCTTGCAATCCCGCAAAGCCTAGCAACGACAGACCTGTTCCAAACACACCGTGGCACCACAGCAACGCAAATCCTTCGTCAGCCATCGCCCCGATCGTCTCCTCTTCTGAGCGTCAGAACTTACCAGCGCAGCCAAAGACAGTATGGAAGACATCCGTCACGTTCTCCGGACGATCTGCTATCCCGCCATCCTCCGGATCCTGTTTTGCCCTCTCACATTTTGCTAGAATCAGCACGACTTTTCGACGAAACAGCAGCGGGGGGAGCCCAAAAAACTCACCTGAGCAGAGAGGATAAACCTCGATAGCTTCTTGGCGTTGATCCAATGCAATCTGCCCAACACACTGAGCGTGGAGAGCACCCACCAGCTGTAGCATACATCTTCGAGCTTCTGCGGTCGACCGTTGAGTCCTCCGTTGGGCAGTTGCCGTTCGGAGAGCCATGCACCGACTCGATCTCGGTCGATGGAATCGAGCGATTGGAGGATGGAGAGCGCTCCTATGCAGACCCAGGCTGTGGTGTTGGGAGCGTGTGGTGGTGTCAGTGAGGGGTTGTGTGGGAAACAGTTGGGTGAGAGAGATAGAGGTAGGGGCTTACCTTGGGCAGCATGAGACTCGGCACCGGGACCGGTACCGAATCCGCCGTCTGGATTGTGGCATGATAGTATGTGATCGATGGTGAGCTGGCGGTCGAGCTTGTCGAGCTCGTTGAGATGTACGAGGGCTGAGACGGCGCAGTAGAGGAAACGGGTGTCTGTTTCGCCCCATTTGTCGCCTTGAATGGCGCCGTTGGGTAGTTGTAGTCCGAGGATGACTGTTGGCGATCAAGGTGGTGTCAGTACCTTTCCTCATCACCAGAAGAGAAACAGAATTACGACTCACATCTGACGACTCTATCCCGCAAACCTCTGCTATCCAGTTCGTCCAGCGCCTGCTTCATCGCCAAAATCTGTATCGCAGACAAGGTGCTGTGAACATGTGCATCGTGACCCGGAAACGAGCCGAATCCACCGGCGTCTTCGTCCCAGCAGCTGAATACAAAGTCGATGAGCGCCTGTCTGTCGAGCACCTCTGGTCTGCCGAGGATCTCCAATGCGGTGAGACCCCAGTAGACGCCGTTCATGCGTAGATGCGTGGTGAAGTGGTAGGCGAGCGAATCGCGTTTCTTGTCGAGCGCTTCGACGAACGCGATGTGGAGAGGGATGAGTAGGCGACGTGATGCGTCCATGGTCGAGGTTGAGGCTGCGGCAGATGTCGATGCCATGATGGATGATGGATGTGCTGCCACAAGCGAGAGTGGAGGAAGGACCGGATGAAAGGCTGATCGGTGCGTCGTCGGAGGAACCGCGTAAAGTGTTACTTTTTGCGAAGAAATCACACGGCCAAGTCGGACCCTGAGCCGGCTGAGTTCAGGCAAGACGGCAAATTGATTGAGACCAATGGTGCCCTCTGCTGGGCGTGCATCGAGTCTCAATTTCCCCATGCGTCAGAAGGTCAATCACCTTCCGAAGACCCTTATTTGTCATGTGCCACTCACTTCATGCACCAGCCGGAACTCAGCTTGTGTCCCCACCGACTAACCACTCCATGCCGTCCCACCATTCTCAATCAACTCAGCATCTCGCTAGCTTCACAGGAACTCGATGTTTGACCACCACTCCTAGCGCATTCCTGGCTGTCACGCCGCCGCGTCCACACCCATCATCGTAATGCCGCCGCCACCCTCGCAGAAGCCTGGACAGGCGAGCATCAGCGCCTTCTTCAAACCTAAAGACAGCCATTTGTCCATCACCAAATTCTCTCAACCCGACCCCGTACAGAAAAGCAACGGCCATGCTCGCACCTCGAGTGTTGTCGATGCCGACAACGGTGGTGCTTCCACCTCCGCTCAACCTCCACCTAAGCGCTCCAAGCTGACCAACGACAGCGACAGGCCACGACGCGAGACCATCGACCGCATGGGCAAGTGGAAGTTCACTCCCGTCAAAGTTTCTGGAAGTCAAGCCTCCGAAGCCGATGGGACAGTGTCGCAAGAGGCGCCCGCACGCTCGCAACAAGAACAGGCTAGACACGAAGCTTTCAGGAAGAAGTTGCTGGGCTCCAACTTTGCCGTGGATCGGCATGCGAGAAATCAGTTGCAGATCGAGGACATGTCTAGTCGTGACCCTTTCTCGCCCAGCGAGCCTCAGACCAGTGTGGCGGCGGAAAACGAGGCCATTGTTATCGACGACGAAGACGACGAGGGCGAGGCGGGTGACCAGGAAGGAACTACCACCTCCAATCGCTTTGGTAGATTCGCCGCCTCTGCCTCCTCCCGCCGTCGCGACTCCGCCACAAACACCAAGTCAAAGGGCAAGTCCAAAGCAACCGAACCAGACTCCGGCCCTACCTACACCCCGCTCGAAAAGCAGATCCTCGAACTCAAAGCCTCCCACCCCGGCGTCCTCCTCATCATCGAAGTCGGCTACAAGCTCAAATTCTACGGCGAAGATGCACGAATCGCCTCCAAAGAGCTCAACATCATGTGCTTCCCCGAACGCAACCTTCTCACCGCCATGATCCCCGTCCATCGACTTCACATCCACGTCAAGCGTCTCATCCAAGCCGGCCACAAGGTCGGCGTCGTCCGCCAGATCGAGACACGAGCACTGAAAGCCGCGTCCAAGAACGCGTACACGCCGTTCGTGCGTAAACTCACTGCACTGTACACGGCGAGCACGTGGATCGACGACCTGTCGAGTCCGGACGATCTGGCCGCGAATATGGGCGATGCGTATACCAATCAGCCAAAGAGCCTGATGGCAATTGTCGAGCAGTCTGAGGGCGGGAATGGACCGGAGGATAGGGTCAGTATTGGCATTGTCAGCGTTGAGGTGAACACCGGTCATCTCACCTATGATCAATTCTCGGACGGTCATGCGAGGAGCGAGCTCGAGACGAGGATCGCCCACCTGGCACCTGCCGAAGTGCTCGTCCCACCACATCTTACAAGACCCACTGAGAAGGTCATTTCGTATCTGCTAGGAAGCGGCGCAGAAGGAGGAGTCAGGATCGAGAAGCTCGCAGCCAAACCGGACTACAATCAAGCATTTCAAGCCGTCACGAACTTTTACCGCGATCGAGGGCTTGAGACTTCTCAAGCGTCCGACAGCACGAGCGATGTCGCCGCAGAGACCTCGACGACGCCCTCGAATGGCAAGCAGAGCTCGTTCATGTCACTCATCCTCTCCCTTCCACACCTTTCCCTTATCGCCCTAGCCCAGATCATCCAACATCTCACCTCCTTCCAGCTCGAATCCATCTGCACCTTATCCACAAACTTCCGCTCCTTCTCCTCCCGCACTACCATGCTGCTCAACAGCAACACGCTCGCCAACCTCGAGATCTTCCGCACTGCCGACGAACAGACCGAACGCGGCAGCCTCATCTGGCTGCTCGACAAGTGCAAGACTGCTATGGGTCGCAGGTTGCTACGCAAATGGGTGTCTCGACCCTTGACGGACATCGACAAGCTGGAAGAGCGCTTGGACGCAGTGCAGGCGTTGAAGGATGGCAAGAGTTACATCCTTCGAACGCTGCCCGGATTGCTACAGGGCTTGCCTGACTTGGAACGCGGACTGGCCAGGATGACGTACGGTCGTGCTACGCCGACGGAGCTAGCCACAGTTCTGCTCTCGCTCAACCGTGTGACGCAGGAGTTCAAAGCGGAAGAAGCATCCACCTGGAACACAAATTCTAGCCTCATCGACACGCATCTCCAGTCCTTGACAGCAGGCAAACTTCCAGTCCAGAAATGCCTCAATCAGATCTCCATCAAGGAAGCCCGTGCCAACAACCTCGCCGACCTCTTCCCCGACCCGGATCTCTACCCGGACATCCAAACCTCCAAGGACAACATCGCCATCCTCGACACCGAGCTCCGCACGCATCTCCGCGAGCTTCGAAAACTGCTGCACCGACCTTCGTTGGAGTACGCCACGGTCGCGGGCATCGACTATCTGATCGAGGTGAGGGTGGCGGATGCGAAAAAGGTCCCGGTGGAGTGGTTGAGGGTGAGCGCGACCAAGGCCATGGTGAGGTTTCACACGCCGGAAGTGTTGAGGCTCACTAAGGTGCGGGATCAGCATAAGGAGAGATTGGAGAAGGCGGCGGAGGAAGGGTTCAAGAGGTTTGTGGAGGCCATGTGTAGGGACGAGTATGTGGTGTTGAGGAACGTGGTGGGGAGCTTGGCGGTGTTGGATGTGCTGGTCTCGTTGGCGATGGTGGCGGGCGGGTCGGGGTATACGCGGCCGGCGTTCGTGAGGGACGAGGCGATGGGGGAGGGAAGCGTTCCGGTGGAAATCAAGGGGATGCGGCACCCGATCCTCGAAGTGGTCTCGCCTCTTCCCTACATTCCGAACGATCTGACCCTCTCGAGTGGGCGATCGGGTATGCTCCTCACCGGCTGCAACATGGGCGGCAAATCGTCGACGTCTCGAACCCTCGGTCTGCTCATCATCCTCGCGCAAATCGGCTCCTTCCTACCCGCCACATCCGCCACGCTCGGCATCCACGACGGCGTGTTCGTCCGCATGGGTGCTCGCGACTCGATGTTCTCCGGTCGCAGCACCTTCATGGTTGAAGTCTCCGAGACCGCCGACATCCTGCGCTCCATCACACCGCGCTCCCTCGTGATCCTCGACGAACTCGGTCGCGGCACCTCGACCTACGACGGCCTATGCATCGCCTCCGGCGTCCTCGAATATCTCCTTATGATGCGGAATATGCCCAACGTGCTCTTCATCAGCCACTACTTCCAGCTCGGCGAGTTGGAGTCCAAATTCAACCGCGCCATTCAGAACTACCACATGGCGTTCGTCGAAACCACCTCTTCCAGCTTCGAAGACGAGTTCGACCTGGATGCCGACGGCGAAGGGCAGGGGGAGATCGAGTTCCTGTACAAGCTGAGGCGGGGGATTGCGAGCAAGAGTTTTGGCATCCACTGCGCGCGGTTGGCAGGGTTGGATCGGGGGATTCTGGAGAGCGCCGGGAGGATCTCGGCGAGCTTGGAGGCCAAGTACAGGGACAAGGTGGAGCGGAGGAGGAGGAGGGACCTGTTGAAGGCGGTTTTCAAGCGCGCATCAGAGGAGCTGGATGACGGTGCACTGCAGAAGGTGAACCAGCTCGTCGCAGGTCAGTCCAGCAGCGCTTGACGTGCCTCCCCTTTCCCCACAGTCTGTTCACCATTGTCACATTCGCAATCTCACTACCATCCGCTCATCGCACTCTCACACATCACGTTTCGGAAAAGATCTTGCTTGCATATGCTAAATTAACTACGAATCACAAAGTATACATTGTCTTGTCATTACACATCGCACTCCATCTCACGCTCCCTCAAGGGCCTGGACTCTGACGGCGCAGGTACATCGTTGAGGAGCTGCGAGAGGGTTGGCAACGTCGGTCTTCCCGGAGGGGTTGGGGTGGAGCGACGATCGGTGCTGGAGCCATCGCTGCCGTTGCTGCTGGTGGCCAGCTTGTCAGCTGCCGAAGGGGTGACCTCGCCTTCCTCGACACTACGACGTGGGAGGGAGGTGAGGATGGGTGGGAGACGAATTCGATCCTGATCGGCGTGCAGCTTGGCACGTGCCTGTTCGGGGAAGTTGATGGCGATGAGCAGGTCACGGATGAGCTGAACGTGCCTGCGACGCAGCGCTTCCGCCGATGCCTCGTCCGACGATCGACCGAGACCCTGCATCTTGGACACGCGATCGACGAGGCTCGGGTAGAGCGAGGTGCTCGAAGCCGACGTCGACGAAGACATGGATGGCGACAAAGGCGCCGCGGCAGGAGCCGAGTGACGCGACGACGATCCGTCCAGAGGCGTGCTGTCGCGTCGGATCGAAGAGCGTCTGCTCGAGTCGAGGAGCGAGCTGATCGAAGCCGAGGTGCTAGCAGACGAGTTGGAACGCAGAGGCGGCAGACGTCGCGAAGCCTCGGTCGGCGAAACACGGGGATAGAGGCCGTGCGACGGCGACGAGCTGTCACGGCGAGCACGCGGAGCGGCCTCGGACCAGCCACTCTCGGAAGAAGCGGCTGGGCTCACAGAGCGGAGGCGGCTGACCTCGGAAGCAACCTCGTCAAGCTCGTCCTCCTCCATGGCGTCATCGTCATCATCGGCCTGCTCCATCTTGACAGGCATGCGATGAGAATCGCGATGAAGCACCTGGGTCTCCTCGGGGGCGGCACGAGTAAGCGCCTCGACACGGCGGTAGCTGTGTCCACCGGCGTCCATGGGAGCGAGCTGAGGAACGATGGCAGCACCACGCGAGACGCGAACGCTGTCGTAGCCAGGCTGGTGCACCTGGTGCACCTGGTGGGACGAGGTGGCGTATGTGTTGGTGTCCGGGTAGTGCGAGTGAGCGCGGCTAGGAAGCTGAGCAATGGCGCGCTGGCTGGCTTGACTGCCCGTGCCGGCGAGCAGCGATTCGTCGAAACCGGGAATGTCGGTAAGACCGTACTGCGAGAGCGAGGAGAGGTCGAACTCGGCGTTGTTGCCCTGCGAGGACAAGGACGACGACGCTGACGAGGATGCCGACGAAAAGCTGTTGTTGTGCGAGCCCAGCGAAGCGGCGCTGGCACCGAGCTGGAGCAGGAAGGCGTTGAGCTGCGCGAGGTCTGTAGACTCCTGCTTGACCGGAGCGCGGGTAGCCGTGGACGCTTCAGGCTTGGCGGATGGTGCCAGTCCGTAAGCTGCCGACGGGTCAAAGGTGGAAAGGATGGCGTTGAGGGAAGCGTCGTCGATGCCACCCATACCAAAGGTTTGTGTGAGCCTGTCGGCCATGTTCGAGTCATAGGCAGGAGCCATCTTCTTGCGTCTCAAGTCGCCAAAGAAGTCCTCGACCTGCTCATGACCACGCTTGCTGCCGGCGAGGTGGTGGCTGGTGGTAGCCCCGTGGGCGAGGTAGGTGTACGAGGTTGGGTCGGTGGTGACCTTGCTGCGGGGGTCGAGGCCAGAGGCGAGATGCATGTACGAGGCGCCGTCCTGTGCGTGGTGGTTGGGAACCGGGCTGCTACCCTGTGGAGTGTCGATGCGCGACGACATGGGCGAGAGCGAGGCGCTGGACGTCGAGTGTGCGTAGCGGTAGTCAGAGTTGTGAGGCAGGGAAGGGTAAGCGGAAGGGTAGGCGGATACCGAGGCGTACATGCCGTGCTGTGCGGGGAGCTGCGGGTAGCCGAGGTAGGCGTTGGCAGCGTGCATCTGAGGAGGGTAGGGGTAAGCGGCGCCACCGAAGGAGGCAGCGTGCTCGGACATGGAGTAGGCGCGAGCGGCTGCGTTCTGTGCGGCCTTGTGTTGACGCTGCTGCTGGTGCTGTTCGGTGTGGATGCGTTCGTGCTTCTTGAGATCTTGTGGACGCTTGAAAGTCTTGCCGCAGACATCGCAGTTGTGGGGCTTCAAGGGCGTGTGCACGCGGATGTGAGAGGTGATGTGGTCACGCTTTGCACAGGTGACGTCGCAGCCTTCCCACTTGCAGGTGAGGCAGAGATTGTTGGTAGACTTGCGTCCGACGTGATCGTCGCAAAGATGCTTGTAGACGACCTCGGGATCGTAGAAGATCTTGCCACAATCGTCCCATCGGCAGGTGATGGGTTTGGCAGGTGGCTCAAAGTCGGCGGCGTCGTCGGAGGTGGAGGAGGAAGAAGCGTTCATCTTTGCTGATGGTGATGGTGATGATGAGGAAAAGGATGTGGCTGAAGAGTGGTGCGAAGGTGCTGGGCTGGCGCCGAGGTGGCTGATCGAGGTTGCGTAGCTCGAATGCTCGCTGGCGGCCGCCGGCGACAAGTGGTTGCTCATGTCGGCAATATGTGAGAGATGAGATGCGATCGCGCGGTGAAGGAGGGATGCACTCGTGTTGAAGGACGAGAAGTTGGTGCTGCTATGTAGGAATGGCCTGAGAGGTGGAGTTGGTAGTACGAGTTGACGATGATGGCGGGATAGATTGTGAGCAAAGAGGGGTCGACACGATGGCGTTGAGTCGAAGGAGGTCGAGTATATGAAGGCAGACGAAGCTGGCTCTGGGGGTGCCAAGAATCTATAGTCGGAAGTGTAATGCCAAGTCTTGGCAGTCGATCCACGTTATGAAGAATGCTTGGCAGCAAGACGTAAGACGCAGGGTGCAAAAGTGTGATGCCCGACGAGGCAGGAAGGGAGGAATGGAGGACGTAGAGGAGGAGGACGGTGGCTACCTAGGGCAGCAACGATCAAAGTCTTGGCAAGCGTCGAACGTCGAGGGGCAAGGCGAGCGACTAGCTAAGGGCCGAAATGGACGACTGCCTCCAAAAGCAGTGCAGGTGCAGGTGCAGCAGCAGCAGCAGCAAGAATACTGTGACAGGGTGTCCTGTCGCTGTATGGAGGAGACACGAGGAAAGGCACTAGAGCAGCCAAGAACGCCCAGAATTTTAGTTTCTTGGCAGTCGAGCTGTACGTCGACGGTCACTGAGCTTGCACTTTGAGTCAGGACATCGTGGCAAAGTGCCTGACGCTTGCCAAGACCGCTGAGCAGCTAGACTTGAGGCGTTAAAGTCGTTGGACAGGCGGTGGGAGCTAAAGACGTAATCTGTTTGACAAACCGAGCGGCGAGCGATCCGGCACACCGTGGCAGCAACGTCGATTCACCGCAAAACGTGCCCGTTTGCTCGCAACGCAAGAGCCATCTCGCCAGTCGCTGCTGAATTTCGTAGATTTCAGCCGCGAGCTCACCTGTTCAATGTTATTAAACTTTTATTAATTTAAAGCAAAGAGGAGCGCCAAGAACTCCCCTTCGCGCGCTACTGCGACGGTAAATGGGCAGTCGAGCACGCTGCTCCGGATGATTCGAGCCGCAGGTCTTGGCATTGATGGAATGCCAAGACTTTTTCGCAATCATGCTCTCCCGCTGCCCCACCCTTGCCAAGAACTCAAGGGCTCTCCGCATAGGACGTCGACAAGCATACAGGTCCGGATGGACGGACCCGTTCCATAGGCAGCGAAGGGACGGGGTCTTTCCTGTCGGACGAGAAGCTGCCTATCGGACAATTCGAGAGTTCAAGCCAACGCTGAGGAGCTACCGTTTGCCGCTCAGCACCCACCATTTTCCAAGCGCCTCCCTGCGAGTACCTGCCGCTCTTCCCCTGCCTCCCTTCATCTCCTCATCGATCCACCAGCCCAACAGCCACATTCATCTGGACCACCGCCCACCAATGACACTCAATGTACCTGGGTTGCCCACTGCCTGAACGTCTCGGTGCTACACGGTCGACCTGCTCGTGTGATCAGAACCCTATTCCCTCGTGCAGCCACACCGGGTCCGTTTTGCCGGAGGCGAAGGATAACGGTTGAGGCACCAGCACATTTGTGTAGCAGCCCGTCGCGACTCGGGAGCCTTTGAGCCGCTCATACTCGAGCAGCGTGCCGTCTCGGCACGATTCTTCCATCACGCATTACACGACGTCGTATTCTCGGCACAGCCGACGCGGCTGCATTTTGAATTTGCGACTGGCCATTTGAAATTGCTGCGACTTGAACGGAATTCACCATTTCTTCGATTCGACTTCGCTGAGACCAAAGATCAGGGTTCATCTCGGATCTGTGTTCCTGACGATGAGATCGGGTCGTGTCGACTCGTCAACTCACCAGCGCTCATCTTAGCGACAATAGCGGGGCGCCTGACATCAGTCTCCCACGACTGAGGTGCTCCGCGCAAAGCTGCTACAGTATTTGATGAACGTGCGCTCACTCATTGAACCAGATCTGAGAGCCCAAAGATACGCAGCACATCCCAATACTGTAGATGGCAACCTGAACCCCGAAGCGCTCGCGTCGGAAATGGAATCATTGACCGGTCGTCGCAACACCGCAACATGTGAGAATGCTTTGCGACCAGTTCAGGCGATCGCTGGATGTGCTATCATTAGAGAGGCAAGGTCGCACCGCCGATCTGTGCATTGCTGCTAAGAGCCTCGATGTCAGCTCGCATAGCAACCAGCTCTGCCAAGCATCCCTTTCTGCCAAGCCGTCCCTCTGCCTTGGCGGCATGGCCCCAGATTGCGCGATGCAGGCTCACTCAAGGTCATCGCCGATTGGCAATAGTGAACGTGCAGATCTCGCCGATCTGGCATTGGCTTTGAACGCCACGGAGAGGTTGCTCATGGCACTGCGTGTTGGATCAAATGCGGTGCTGTGATTGTACAGTTGGATGCATTGTCAATGTTGGTCTGTACCGTCATGCGACTGCGAAACGGTGACCAGAAAGTCTCTAGGTGCGTCGAGGTAACGCCAGGTGGGATCCGAGATGCGCAGCCTCTCGATGGTGGATTGTATGTGGTTGATCCTGTTTCGACGAAGTCGTTGATCATCGGCTTCCTGCTGATCATCCAGTCGGTTGAGGCTCGAACGGATGGCCAGACCGAACACCACTTTTGACATCCTCCTACGTTTCGGTCGACGAGGCTGCAGCTCCGTGGATGCATCGCCATTCGCGGCTGCATTGATGTCTGCGTTCGCTCGGTTTGCCGATACAGACACGTTGCTGCTCGACGGTGGAGCGGCTGAGCCTGCATCGTGTTGTTGGGTCCTGCTTCTGCTGGCTGCCAAAGAAGTGTCATCTGGGCCAGCCCGCATGGCTTGATCGAACAAACTTCCGGCCTGGATGGCCTGCGCCTTGGCCAACAGGGCATCTTTGTCCTTGCTCCCCGAAGCAGTCGCTTTGGCTGGAGAGGATTGAACAGCTCGTTTCGTCGGTGCCGCCGCAAGGCTTGCTGCAAATGCGCTGTTGAGCGTGTCGGAGGGTCCCGACAAGGTGTGCGAGGATGTGCTGGAAACCGACTGTACGGCCGATCGAAAGTCGCGTTCAGCCGAAGCGAATTGCGCAGGTGGCAAGCCACTGGCACGAATAGCTGAGCCTCTATCCGGAACTCGAGCGTCCAAGCTCTCTGCTGCCAAGTAGCAGCATACAGCCACCACACCGGTACCTGCATTCTTGACCGCCTTCTGATTGCCTCTGCGAGACCAAACATCCACCGCGGCGAGATAGGACTCGGCCCGATCGATCAACGGACCGCTTCGTGCACCGCAAAGCGATTGTATCTGTGCTCGCCTGGATGCCGCCATTGCGAATGATGTCGGTGTCTGGTCCGAAGTGTGGTGGGGACGAGGAAATCCGGGAGGCCCATGCATGTCCAACAGCGCTCTTCTGCGCTGAGATTTCTCGAATGAGAATGTTTGCTCCGAAATCCGAATCCTCGTCACAGTCCTACGGCGCAGCTTGGCCTTCGAGTCAGAAATTCTCAAAAAGGCCAGGAGTCACTCCTCCGGCAAAGGCGATATGGATCACTGCTTCTTCTTACCCTCACTCCACATCATCATCACCAACCTCTGACCGCACGTCGCTTGATCACCCCAATCATGGCCGACCAAGCTACCATTCAGAACGAGCAGCAGGCTCCCGCCCCTGCTGCTGCTCTCGCACCCGCCGCCGATGGCGCCGAGGAGCTCAACCCGGACGGAACCCCTCTCTCGGACAACCAGAAGAAGAAGCGAGCCAAACAGGCCGAAAAGGAGCGCGCCAAAGCGGAGAAGGCTGCCAAGCTCGCCGCCGAGAAAGCTGCTCGTGAAGCCGCCGACGTCGACTTTGCCTCGCAGAACTACGGCAAGCTTCCCCTCAATATGTCTCAGGAGCGCAGTGGCCGCAAGTTCACCAAGATTTCTGAGATCAGCCCAGAGCGCGACGGTGAGCTCATCGTCCTCTCTGCTCGTGTTCAGACCAGTCGTGCTCCTTCGGCCAAGCTCGTCTTCCTCACCTTCCGTCAGGGCGTCGACTGTGTTCAGGCCACCCTCGCACAGGCTCCCGAAAAGGTTTCTCGACAGATGACCAAGTGGGCCGCTGGTCTCGCTGCCGAGACCATCGTGCTCGTCGAGGGTACCATTGTCAAGACACCCAAGCCTGTCGAGTCCAGCACCGTCACTGTCAAGGAGGCCGAGATCAAGATCTCCAAGATCCACTCCACCAGCGAGATCGCCTTCGAACAGCTTCCCTTTGGTGTCGACGACGCAACCCGATCCGAAGTCGAGATACAGGCTTCCCAGCAGACCGATCGTCCTCTTCCACCTATCGCACTCGACACGCGCCTCGACAACCGTGTCCTCGACCTGCGCACCACCACCAACCAGGCCATCTTCCGCCTCACCCACGGAGTCTGCAAGCTCTTCCGCGAGTACCTCGACAGCCTCGACTTTGTCGAGATCCACACACCCAAGCTGCAAGGTGCTGCCACCGAAAGCGGTTCTTCCGTCTTCAAGGTCTCGTACTTCAAGGGTCAGGCTTTCCTTGCGCAGAGTCCTCAGCTGGCCAAGCAGATGGCTATCGCCGCCGACTTTGGTCGTGTCTACGAGATCGGCCCCGTCTTCCGTGCCGAGGACTCCAACACCCACCGCCACATGACCGAATTCACCGGTCTCGATCTCGAAATGGCCTTCGACGAGCACTATCACGAGGTCGTTGACGTCCTCGACGGTCTCTTCACCTTCATCTTCCGCGAGCTCCCCAAACGCTACCGCAAGGAGATCGACGCGGTGAAGCGTCAATACCCGTGCGACGAATTCCTGCTTCCGGAAAAGACGGTTCGCTTGCAGTACAAGGATGCCATCGCCCTCCTGCGCGAGAACGGCAAGGAGCTTGGAGACCTCGAAGATCTTTCTACCGAGATGGAGCGCACGCTCGGAGGACTGGTGCGCGAAAAGTACAAGACCGACTTTTTCATGCTCGACAAATTCCCGCTCGAGATTCGTCCGTTCTACACCATGCCTGACCCGGCCGACGGCAAGTACTCGAACTCGTACGACTTCTTCATGCGCGGTCAGGAGATTCTCTCGGGAGCGCAGCGTGTTCACGACGCCGCGTTTTTGGAGAAGAGGATGGCCGAGTTCGGAATCCCCGTAGAGAGCATGAGGCACTACGTCGAGGCGTTCAGGTTGGGATGCCCTCCTCACGCTGGTGGTGGTATCGGATTGGAGCGTGTTGTCATGTTCTACCTGGGTTTGGGTAACATCAGGAGGGCGAGCATGTTCCCAAGGGACCCTAAGCGTCTGGACCCTTGAAGAAGTCGCATGCGAGGAACGATGATACACACCTAAAACATAATCTCAGAGCATTCGCGCCCATTTATTATGTGTCCAGTGCGTGTGAAAGTTTGCTGACGGTGCTACGCTTGAAGGGCGGATGTCATGAATAGTCTCGTGCCACTCCAATCGGAGCGAGAAGGGTCCGGCAAACGTACAGCTTCCAGCACACAAAGATCGACAATGTATAAAGACAAATTTGGAGCAGCTAAAGTACAAGCAGTGTGGAAGGAGGTTGGTCAGTTCTCGTCCATCCGATGACGTTTTCGTTCGCGGTCATCCTGTTGACTGCCACCACCGCCGCCATTTGGACCCATGCCCATGTTTGCACCCATCATGCCACCCATCGAACCGCCCATGGGCATGTTCATCATGCCACCTGCACCTGGCATGCCGAAAAAGTTGGGATTGAAATGACCGCCCTGCCCACCCTGCTGCCCACCACCTCTACCGCCTCTGTTACCCCAACCGCCTCCACCTCCCCTTCCGCCTCCTCGACCGTACGGTCTGCCGCCGCTATTCGCACCCGTTCCCGGTCCAGCTGCGCCCATCATACCCATCATCATCGGGTTCATCATACCCATCGGTGGAGGACCATTGGCATTGTTACCACCCATCCTGATCGGTGCACCTGCCATGGGAGCTCCACCTCTACCTACACCGCCACCCATGCCGCCTCTTCCACCCATCATTCCACCGCCTCTCCCTACCCTCTCGGATTTGGGCAGCGGATCCTTCGGTAGCGTCCTGAATGGATTTCCGTTCGCGCTTGTCGTCAGAGTAACGTTGGCGCGTTTGAACTGAAAGTCGTTCTCCTCGAACCAAGTCTTGATCTTTCTCGCATCGCTTTCGCTCTCGGTTTCGACGTATGCGACACCTTTGCTTTTACCGTTGACCTTGTGTTCCGAAAAGGTGATGTCTTGGAGAGACAGCGTGACGCCGACGGAGGAAGCGATTTGACGAATCTCTTCGTCGGTGGACCACCAGTTGAGGTCGCCAATGTAGACAGCGTTCTGGATGGAAGGGTCGGTTACTTTCGGTCGCCCTGCTAGCGTGGACATTGTACTTCGCATCGGTGGGGCAGCAGAGGGGTTGGACGGGAGGGAAGACGAGGGTGGGAGAGAATCATCTTGATGTCGTTGGTAGGAGGAGGTGGATGGTTGTGATGGTGGATGCGTGATGGCGGTGGAGGAAGAGGAGGGCTTTTCGTCGATAGAGTCGGCACGTTGACGTTTGGACGAGGTGGATGCGGGCTCGGCTTCGTCGGGATCTACCTTGATGGACTGCTCGTCTTCGGGTTTGCCTAGCACGTCCGAGTACAGATCGTCCTAGACCATTCGAATCGCAAGATGACGGTAATGTGTTGGAACAGGGGGTCAGTTACATCGGGCCAGAGAATTGCGGGACCGTCCGGCATGCTGCGCTAGGGCCCTCGAGATGCAGGCAATATGAATGTGGGCATGCGAACTCACACTGTACAGATCAAACTTGTCGTCATCCATGTTTGCGAGTGTTTGACAGAGGCAAGATTGAGATTCCGTTCGGTTCGCAAGAAGGAGTAAGGCGATACAGCGTAGCTCTACAGGCTTCTACGAGGCAATGTTTGCGGCAAGGAGCTGATGTGAAGGTGCGGCGTTTAGACAGGATTGGACGGTCAGCAAAGAGACTACAAAGCTATGTACATGCACCTCAGCAGCGGACGGAGCAGTCTCGACTGATTCTCGATACGGCTATACTGTGGTGGAGCGCATTGGGTGCGTTGCTACACTACTTACATAACTCGATGCGATGGATGGAAGGTTGGAATGAGGATCGCGAACGAGCTCTCCGTTGATTAAGCTTAGCTGCAGCCTGCAAACAGTCAAGGGTCTTTGGCTTTCTCTCGTATTGTCTTCCAACGTGTCGTCGATCACGGATCCGAGAATGCCATCGTTTCTTGTAAAGCGTTGTGTGGAAATCAGATCTGACATCTTTGACAATGTGGCGGCGTTTCGGCGAAATGCCGGGAAAGCCTAGAGAACGCAACCGTGCGCTCCACTGTTGTAATTTTGCATGGCTGACTCGACTCGACTCTGGAAGAAGTGCAGCAGCATTCCGGTCTGAGAAGAAATCGGCGCAGCGACAGCAACGGAACAAAGCCGAATTGCGTTTGCGTCTCTCGACTCGAAAGTCTCGCTGCGCTTCCGAACAAAGCTTTGCATAAAAGCGCATCATCATTCCACACACCTGTCTTTCTTCCAACACCACCTTCCACATCCGATCACCATCCTCGATAGCCAACCATGTCTACGAGCCGTCAACCCCTCTACCTCCGTTGCGAGATGAAGCCGGCCGAACACCGCGCCGCGCTCACCCCCACCACAGCCAAGGCACTCATCGACGCCGGCTTCGACATCACCGTCGAGTCCGACCCGCAGCGCATCTTTGACGACAAGGAGTACACCGACGTAGGCTGCAAGCTCGCCCCGCACAACACCTTCCACTCGCTCCCCGCCGACATCCCCATCATCGGTCTCAAGGAGCTCGAGGAACCTGGTCCGGATCTGCCCCACACCCACATCCAGTTCGCCCACTGCTACAAGAAGCAGGCTGGCTGGGCGGATGTGCTGGGCCGCTTCAAGCGCGGTGGTGGCAAGCTGTACGATTTGGAGTTCTTGGAGGACAAGAACGGTCGTCGTGTAGCTGCTTTCGGCTGGCATGCCGGGTTTGCAGGTGCTGCGTTGGGTCTGCTTGCGCTGGCTGAACAGGTTCAGGGTTCAGACCGTCGTCTCGGTGCGCAGAAGGCGTACCCCAACGAACAGGCTCTCATCGCCCATGCTAAGCGACAGATCGAGCACATCAAAAAGTCACGACCCGACGGAAAAGTCAAGGCGCTCGTCGTCGGAGCTCTCGGTCGATGCGGTCGTGGAGCCATCGACTTTTTCGAAAAAGCCGGCGTCCACTCTGACGACATCGTCCGCTGGGACATCCAGGAGACCTCCGCCAAGCACGGCCCCTACCAAGAGTTGTTGGACGTAGACATCTTTGTCAACTGCATCTACCTCACCTCCAAGATCCCGCCGTTCCTCGACCAACCCACCATCCAAGCCGCCGGCCCATCGCGTCGTCTCGGCGTCGTCGTCGACGTTTCCTGCGACACCACCAACCCCAACAACCCCCTGCCGATCTACGACATCAACACCACCTTCGACAAGCCCACCGTCGACGTGCAAACAGGTGAAGGCAACCCGGCGTTGACGGTGATCTCGATCGACCACCTGCCCACGCTCTTGCCTAGGGAGAGCTCCGAGGGCTTCAGCGGAGATCTGCTGCCCAGTTTGTTCCAGTTGAGGGAGGTGCTGGGCAAGGATACCACCAAGCTGGACACGTTGGAGGAGGGTAAGGGTGCGGTCTGGCAGAGAGCCGAGAAGTTGTTCCAGAAGCATTTGGCCGAGGCTGTACAGCATGGCGCGTAGAGCGCGAAGATTGTCGCCCGTTTCCAAACAAGTCATCACTATGTAACTTTCAAAACAAAAGCGCGAATTCAGCAGATCACGGCGTTGCAGGCTTGCATTCAGAGCTGTGCAGTGCGTTTGTCTGAGAGGTTGAGTATGCAGTACGTGTAGACAGAGGGTGGTCGTTGAGGGTCAACTAGCGAAAGAAAGCGGGATGGAGTGGCAGAGTGTTTCTGCGTTGGAAGTGTCCTGTGTGTGGGGGGAAGTGCATTGCGATGCTGTGAATGCTGGTGCGTGCTGAAGTGCGATGTTCACAGCTGATCCTGCTGCTCTGTAAGCGGCTTCGTGGCATCCTTGCGCATAGGTCTTCACCAAGAGCCTTGTACCAAGCCCTTTATTCTGCCTTTTGCTTCGGCAACCCGAACAGTCAGATACCAGTCAGTCATTCATCACCTTCCCTTTCTCCTCCCTCACCCAATCGTTCTCCCACCGCCCGCATTCCTCTCCAATCTCCTTTCATCCCGTTCCTATCCCCTCTCGGAACCTTTTTCCACTTCACCTCCCCGCGGCATCCTCCTTCAACGCGACCTTCCGCGCCCGGTTCAACTCTGCATAGCAAAACGCACAGATATGGTGCTGCGCCTTGGCCCTTCCACATGCACTGCAGTGGACCAGATCCACCCTGTCCTTCAAACCCTTGTTCGCCGAACGCATGGACTTCCTCGAGTGCGAAACTTTTTTCTTCGGTACCGCGCGCAGCAACCCATCCCACAACAACCCGCTCAAACTTTGAGTTGACGGTGTCGATGCAGAAGAAGCAAGTTCTGCATGTGTTGCTAGTGCTGGTGTCAACGATGTTGATGGAGAGGATGGTGTTGTGAGCGAGGGTAGGGTGGGTAGTGCGAATCGTAGGAGGGTGGAGCGTCCGATGGTGAGCGTTAGTTGCACGCGTGACGCTGCGGATAGTGTTGATGTGGGTAGCATGATTCTCAAAGTGTGCGGGGATGGAGCGTTGCCTGTGATGCTGGTTAGTGTCGACCGTAATGCAGAAGAGAGATGATGTGGTCGTTGAAGGTGTTTGATGACGAGGAAGAATTGATTTCTAGCACAGAAGTCTCCCAGCCAACTTTTTTTGGTTTCAACTAGGGATTTCTTTCTCGTGCGAAAATTTCGACTTCCTCGTTTCACCTTCGTACAGCTTTGTCCTCACGACACATGTTGATTGCGATTGCAGACCTCATTCGGTTGCACAGAGCTGAGCATATCAGTCAGGTCAGGGTCTAGAAGGTTGAATATGACCTTTAGCCGGTCTTGCGATTCGTCATCTCGGCATCATGACCGACAAAGGATCTCTCTGTCTTGATGCACTAGCGGCCTGCGTCAATCGTTCTTATCCGCCCGTCTCTTTCCGGGCACGAGCGTCTCCTCCGAGTTGTTTGCGCTCCCTCTCATCAAGCCCTGCCTCTCTCCTCCTCCCGACCCTCCCCCACTCCGCCCCGTCCTCGTCGCATCCTTGCTCTGATCAGCCTCGTCCTCCTCATCCCCAATCTCGAACACCACATCGCTGTTCGGCTGTGCTCGTGCCGCTCCCCTACCTTGCGAAGTTCCTTTCGCCTCGACGTCGTCCTCGTCCTCGCTATCTGGACCATCCGGTCCTCTTGCTGCAAATGTGTCGACCTCGTACCCCTCTGCATTGGGATCGTCGTCGGTCGCGAGTTCGTCCGACATGGCGAGTCGCATATTGTTGCCGGTTGGACGCCACACCCACGCGATGGCCGAGAAGACGGCAAAGTAGAGTAGCGCTAGCCAGCCGTCGAGCAGGAACCAGCGGTACTGCCACGTGTTGGGTGCAAATCCTTCGCCACCAGATTGAGAGAAGGCGATCGAAGAGATGATGAAGAATGCGAACTGTACAAACAAAGTGAAAACAAGAAAATTGTCAGTATATGCGAGAGCGTATCGAGACAAGACCGAGGAGAGATACTTACAATCACCACGACAGCGCCGAGCAAGATACGATGGAGTTTGACAAACATGGATCGTTTGAAAGTCTGCTTGCGTTGGGTGAGGTACTCGATACTGCGGTTGAGCGAGTTCATGATCCACGTGAGGAAGGCTGTCAAGGTCATGGCGAGGGGGAAGATGAACGCAAAGATCCACGCTCCTCCTTGATCGAGCTGGATGAGAACGATGCCGATCGAATAGAGCACACCAAATACAAAATGCGCCGCCGTCAGCAGACGCACTCTTGTCATGACGGGTCCGATCGACGGCCGAATGACTCCGTATCCCATAGCGACGATCAACAGCAGGAAGAAAGAGACCGAGTTCCTTCCTGCGTCCAGGATGCTCGTCAAGACCAGCAAGAACCTCGCTACTGCCGTGACACTTGTACTGCCATTCACCTCCCGGATCCTGAAAAAGTCGATCAGGTGTGCGTTGAGGTAGTAGTAATACATCCACTGCGCCGCCATCTCGACGACCAGAAAGGCGATGGTACCCGAGATAAAGTATTGGACCGTCAACATTTCGTCCTTGTGCTTGATGCACAGCGAGAGCCAGTAGACGCCGAGCGCGATGTAAGCGACGGTCATGGCAAAGTAGAAGTTGAGCTTGGGGTATTCGGCCGCTGGGAGATTGCCCTTGAACTTGTTGAAGAATTCGACACGACCATCGAAGGAAGCATGGACCGAGAGGTCGCCCGTTCCAGAGGGACCGGCCTCGAGAGAGACGAGCGGCACCTCGGCTGAAAGCAGAGTAAAGCAGGTGTGAGTCGGACAGGAGTGAAAGAATGATCAGTAAAGAGGCTCAAGGAGAAAGAGGTTCGTAAGGGCAAGGGGGGCAGCTCACTCGCACCGAAGCAGTAGTATCCGGTCTTGGTGACATTGTAGCGCTGAAGATTGCAATGAGCGAGGAGTGAGAAAGAATGGTCAGCGCGTCTTGACAGATTCTCCTCATTGTGTCTCAATTTGGTTGCATACTCACCAGCGTCTTGTCCTCGGTCAAACCGGTCGCACCAAAGTCCATCCTCTGCAGCTGCACGGTGGGGGCCTTGCCAGTGCTCTCATCCACGATAAAGTTGCCGAGCTGCTCTTGACTGCACAGCTTCTCTTGCACCACGCTCGGCGTGCAGATGTAGTTCTTGAGCCGGTACCCAAATGCATCCTTCTCGTTGCTCCACTTGCCGAGCTTGTCGAAGTCGGCGAATTCATAAAACATGGTGGCGACGGTGCCCATGGAGCCTTTGTGGAAGTATGCTTCAATGTGGCTGTCCCCGCCTGCGACCATGCCGGAGCATGTCTGTCGCAGCTCATCCTTGTCCGAGATGGTCACGGTGAATGCTAGGGCCGAATGTGCGGTTGCAAGGAGCAGCACGAGGCTCGCGGAGAAGAACGTTCGTATTGATGCTGAGAGCAGCATCTTGGACAAGGGCAGCTGAATTCAGCCGTCTTGACCATGCAACTGATTACGCCCGGGTGCAGAAGTACAAGGTCCGGAGATTGACGTAAGACTGGAAGAGGAGTGGGTGAGGCCTGCGATGACTGGACGGGCAAGCCAGCTCGATGCAGTGAGTTGGTTGGAAATAACAGAAAGATTCACGATGTCTGTGCGAAGGTAGCGCGAAACACAGCCGCGCCGTGAAGCTGTCAGGCTGACTGCCAGCCAAACGCAGCCGAGCGATGCCAAGGCTGATTTAGGGTCCAACAGCAAGGCAATTTCTTTTGTTCGGGCCGCCTTACGACCGCCTATTTCTTCTCGACTCTGCTTCGGCGGGGCGGGCGGTAACCGCACGCACAGCTACATCATCACATAAGTCAAAGGGCACCGTGCACACCTACTCCATCCTCTGCGACCATCACAACAACGATCACCGTACTGGGACATCATGGAAGAGCTCCGATCTCTGATCAGCGACGTGCCTGTCGTATGGCGCGAGCTGGACCACCTCAAGCAAGCATTCGTGGTGCTCAAAGCCATCGCCGACTTCACCTACTGCGGTGTGACGCCTCTGCTTTTCGATAAATCTCATCTCAGTCTACGATCGCTGACGCTCGTTCCTCTCGTGGCGGTCTCCTTTGTGGCCGCGGATGCAGCCATGTACTTTGCGCTGGCCAAGTCGGCGGATGCGACGCAGGTGTGGATCGCTCTGCTGCTCGTCGCCTACAGCCTGGTGTTCTTCTGGTGGGCTCAGTACACCATGTCAACCACACCGGGCCTCACCGCCGCATTCTCGAATGACGAGCCAGCGTTTTTGATCACCAATGGACCGTGGGCGTTCGTGCGGAACCCGCTGTACTCGGCATATCTGGCGTCGCTCGTGGCAGGCTTCATTGTCACGAGCTCGTCGAACCATCCTGACCACGGCCATATATTCTTGGTCTCGCATGCAGGAGGAATCGCGCTTGCGGGTCTGCTGGTCGCTTTCAGCATCTTCTATCAGGCCATCAGGGAGGAAGAAGGCAAGTTCAGCGCCAGTAAGCTTCGAGCCAAGCACGAGGCGTACAAGAAGAAGGTGTGGTGCCTGTTGCCGCTTTCCGACGTGTTTGGACGCTGAGATTTGTACAGTATGTCGCCGTATCCTCCTGTCATCATCACATACTGGAATCGAAGCAGAACTTGTGAACCTTTGACTGGGTCCTGAAGTGTTCTTATCAAAGCTGAGAGGGCAGAGTGTCGAGGCGGGAGGTCCGCATTGTTACATCGGGCCCTCATCAATCGGCGATTTTGACTGAAATTCGTCAAGTCACGAGGGCCGATCCAAGCCAAACCAAAAAAAGAAGAAGGGAAAAAAGCTGCGCCAAGTGGTGAGGTACGGTCGTCTCTCCTCTCCCTTTCTCGCAACCTTTTGAGACGATAGCAAGAAGATCAACGGCATTGCATTCGAGAAAAGGGATCGGAAGATTCGTTCACTCGAGACATCTTTTTCCGACGCAAGCAACATCCTCACGCACAGCAAGCCCTTACCTACGCTCGGATCATCCGTCGTTGCTCAGTCAGCCAGCCGTTCCAGCATCCATCCGCGTCGGCCACGCAGCGAGAGCAACTGCAACGAGCGCGTTGCGAACCACCCGCCTTTCATCAGACGGCAGGTGCAGCCTCGCAGGTGGGAGCAAGCTGCCAACGTGCACGCATCAGAGCGCGAGAGGCTGCCACTGCCCTCGCTCTTCTCTGTCTGCGCTGGTCGTCGACGCTGGCACCTCACCCGGCTAGGCCATGCAAGCCTCCTCACCGTTCTCGTCATCGATCTCGACTCCGGCACTTGATCCACGCGCCACTTCGAACACGCACAATGCAGCTTTGACCATCGATCCAGCCGCCCTCCTGGGGGCAGGCTCCGCCTCACTATACCCGGCTCAAGCATCAGTACCAGGCTCGTCGACATCAGTACTGAACACAACCAGCAGCACGAACGGCATCGGCAGCAGGAGTCAAAACACCCTCGATAGGTCCGCCGCCCAATCAATAGCAGTCAAGCAAGAGCCCGAAGACGAGAATGCATCGTCTCTCGCCGCTTCACATAATGTCGCCGGCCTCACAGAGGACGCAGGCGATGCTCGACTGGGCAGCAGACAACCGTCGACATCAGTAGGAGCCTATCGCAACGACAAACCCACGTCACGCGGCTCAGAGCAGCCGGGCAAGGATCCTCGATCGGAGGAAAGGCTCAAAGGCGAGCCTGTCACTCTTGTCGACAAGCTTCTACACAGTGATCACAAAGCAATCCTCCGGCCTGACCTGTCTCCATTCACGGATGCACGAGATGTTCTTCGCAGATTGTTGCCATATCATGTCTGGAACATACCACATCACGACCTGCTCAAGGCGTTGGACTTGCACGAGGATCCCGTTCTCAGCCAAGTCAGGTCACGCAAGCGCCGTCGCATTGCACAGCTCCATACCAACAAGCCTGCCTCGGCCAGCACAGACCACGGACAGCCAACCGAGGCTTCCACCGACCTTTCTCGGCCCGTCGTCCAGCCGAGCACAGACCAGGATGATGAACAGGCGCCTCACACTACCCGAACCGGTCGAGACTCAGCAGACACGGAAGACAAAGAATACAGCGACTTGAGCGAGCTCGGACTCCCAGTGCCATTGCCGGAAGTTCCGCAGCCACCCTTCCCCGACCTCGACTTCGCCGAATCTGCCTTTGCACGCCGTCACGCTCTCGCTTCGCGCTTTCGCCGCACGCTCACTGCACTCGAAACCACTCACAGACGTGCGCCCAGCACAGCACTTTCGCTCGAGCATCTCGAACGACTAGCATACAGCGACGATAGAGAGGAGGTGCTCGCTCAGATCGAGCATCTCAAGTCGCTCAAGCTTGAGCTCGAGACGTTGGAGGACAACAGGCAGATCGATGCAGCCGAGTCGTCAGCCAAAATCAACCTTCGCTTTGGCATCACTGACGAAATCGAGCGCGAGCGTGAGAGGGAGCGCGAACTGGAGAGAGTCAAGCGCCAACAGGAGAGAGCGGCTGCCAAGGCTGCCAAGCTCGAGAAGGAGCGTGAGGCAAGGCATCGTATCGGCATCTTCACACCGCAACCGGAAACCATATCCACGCCCGCTCCACCATCTCCCACTTCGACATCAGCCGCCACTCCAGCGCCATCCACGCTACCCACGGGTGTACCTGCAGCATCTCTTGCAATGCCCAGTCCGTATTCGGGCTTCAGCACACCGGCCAGCACGCCTGCGGCATATCCGTTCCCGCCTGGCGCGAATCTCCCTTATGCTCCCAACATGTCCATGCCTCCACCCGGGCCGAACGCTGCCGCACTTTCTGCGCAGTTTGGTCCACCAATGATGTATGGCTCCGTATCAGGTACACAACTCGGCTCAGCACCGTCATTCGCATCCACATCTGCGGCGGTAGGTGCCAACGGCGTACCAATGCCGCCGGGCATGGCGCCAGCCGGTGCTTCGACTACCGGACCTTTTTCGCCTGCTGTTGGATCTACGCCAGGCACGCCATCGACTGCGGCAGCAACACCGTCCAAATCACCTAGCAAAAGCAAAGCCAAGGCGGCGGCGGCAGCAGCGGCAGCTAGCGCGCCAGGAACGCCGGGCACGCCGGGAACGCCAGGCGTCACACCAGGACCAACACCACATCGAGGCCGAGGAAGGCCGCGCAAGCATCCCTTACCCGGCACGCCAGGCGGTCCACCCATCCCGGTACCGCGCAAGAAGAAGGAAAAGCCTGTCAGGCCACCAGCCGCCGCCGCCGGGTCGGCGCCAGGCACTCCGAGCGCTCCGGGTGCAGGTGCCATGTCGCCACCTTCCCTGCCTCCTGCAGCGGCCGCGCCGGGTCTGCACACAAGGCCCCCGCCATCTCCGTCTCCTGGTCCGCCGACCATGCCCGGACCCGCACCAGGCTATACCGGCGAGATGTTCTCATCGACTCTTCCGCCTGCACCTGGAGCTGTGAGACCGCCCCTGGGCTCGCCTTTGGGCAATGCAGCATCGCCAATGTCGGTCCGACCGCCGACCATGCACCCGACTTTGACCAGCGCGACGAGTCTCAATACGCCACGAGCTACACCGCCTGCGAACCCTTCGCCTTCGCCTGCTCCTGCTCCTGCTCGTCCGGCTGCTGCGTCCAAGAAGACGCCTGCGAAGGCGAATGGGACGACGCCGAAGCCAGCCTCACCAGCGGCGGTCACATCCGCACCAGCGCCTCAGGCCGCACCGGCACCGGCACCCTCGGCAAGCAACGCCAACCCATCGATCCCAAATCATCCCATCCCGCTGCTCATCCCAGTGGCATCGCTCCCGCGGCTGTCTGCGTTGGGCATCCAGCCTGTACCGAGTCCTCACATTCGACCTGTGATCGGACCCAACGGACAGCCTCAAGGCCTCGAGGGCGCGCCTATCGCCATCGATCCGACCCAGAGCGTGCCTGCTGTGCTGCTGGGCATCAGCGAGGGATCTGCCGAGGCGACGGCGGAGGGTGGTGGCAAGCAGCAGATCCTGCATATCTCGGTGGTGTTGAGCAGACTCAGTCCGTCGCAGCTGAGTGGACTGGCCGTATTGATGCAGAGTTTGCAGGCTCAAGTCGAGGCGGGTAAGCGAAAGTGAGCGAGAGCGCCGCGCGGAGAGGAGTGTTTCGGCGGTGAGATTGTGATTCTGGAATTCATCTAAGCATCCAATGTCGAAGTGGTCTGTGTGCGTGTGATGCACCCGTCACCTTTGAGTGCATCGAGACTATCGCAACCTGTGACCGGGAAGACGATGTGGGACTGCAAAGACGCTGGACGGCCGTTAGTCCTGCAAGCAGAATTGCGCACAGACGCTGCAGTCCGCCAAGTGTCGCGTGTAAAGGTCAAAAAGTGTGTTGCGCCGCCGCGGACTGAGCGTTTCGACTGGACCCTGAATTCCTGTTTCTCTCAAACATCCGGCCAGATTTCGAGGGATACGTTTCGGTCAACACACCACCATCCCCAATCCTGCCAGAACATAAGCACCTGCATCATCGTCTGGCTCGTAGATAGCTACTCAGTAGCGTGCGATCATGTCCTGGAGCTGTCAACGATGTCGGCAACCGCTACTTCTGCATCCTTCGGTGTCGTCGGATCTCGATCTCAACCAGTCGGCCTACGATCTGGTGCAGGACTCGTTCATTGCTCCCAGGCACGCACAAGCATCCACATCTCAAGTGCAGCCATTTCTGAAGAGCGAACAAACGGATGCAGCTGCAACGTCGGCGTCGAGCTCTGCCGCAGGAGCGGGCTCGAGTGATCCAAACTCGCTCAGTGCACGTCTAGCCGCTTCCTCCGCGCTGTTCGATCTGCTCTCGCATCCGCCTACCTCTCAGAATGGACGCTCGTCACCATCGGCATATCGGAGCGGGAAGAAAGCTTTGAATCTGCGTTCAAAGGCTTCTACGTCGACGGTGATCGACCATCCGCTTTGCAAGACATGTACGGATACGCTGTTGGACATTATGGATTCGCAAATGTCGCAAGTGCGGTCGCAGCGAGACTCGTACCTCGCTTTCGAGGCCGAATTGCGCAGATACAAAGTGCTACCCCCGACAAGCCAACGTCGAGGCTCCTCATCTTCCTCGACAGCAGACGACTCCCTGGACACGGCGGCGATGCAACAAGCACAACAAGAGGAGCTTGAGTCGCTGCAACACGAAATCTCGCAGCTGCTCATGGACGAATCTTCCGCCCTGTCCGAGCTCAAAGACGCCGAAGAAGCACGACTGTCCGTCGAGGCGCAACTTTCCACCCTCGCCGAGGAAGAATATGCGCTGCAGCAGGAGGAAGAACGCTTCTGGTCGCAGTACTCGCAACACTCGCTGACCTTGTCCAAGCTGGAAGAGGAGAAGGCATCGCTCGCGATGGCGGTGGCGCACGACAAAGAGCTGCTCTCAAGGTTGCGATCCACCAACGTGTATACGGATGCTTTCTGCATCGGACACTCTGGTGGAATTGCGACGATCAACGGGTTGCGGCTGGGTCGATTACCGGGCCAAGCGGTGGAGTGGAACGAGATCAACGCTGCGTGGGGTCAAACAGCGCTATTGTTGGATGTGGTGGCGAGAAAACTGGGTGTAGGCTTCCGAGGGTACAGGTTGATACCGAAGGGATCGTTCAGCGTGGTGTACAGATACGAGGATTCGAGATCGCAGCATTACAGCGCTTCGGCTGCTTCAACATTCCTTTCGACTTCAAACGACGCCGCCGAGACAGAGGCAGAAGACGGCATGGGAGAAAAGACAGTGTACGAGCTATACGGGTCTTCCGACTGGCAGATCGGTCGACTGTTGCAGAGCAGACGATTCGATCATGCGCAGACAGGGTTCTTGGCCTGTCTCAAACAGGTTGTGGACTATGCGGCGAAGGAGGACGCGAGCTTTCAGACGCCGCACGCGATCAACAAGGACAAGATCGGAGAGGCGAGCATCAGGCTGCAGTTCGGAAGCGATGAGACGTGGACTAGGGCGTTGAGGAATGTGCTGGTGACGTGCAATCGGGTGCTCATGTGGATGCTGGAGAGGGAGAGGCGGCGAGGGCAGCAAGAGAGCGCAGCATCGCTGGGGAGCGTTGGGAAGGATGTAGCTACCGGCGGAGCGGGCGGAGGCGGACTGCGGCCGGGTCAGGGTGTGACTGCTTGACGAAAAGGCGTGCGCAATCGTCGGGAGTGGCCGAAGAGGAGCTCTGCTTTTTGCAGCCCATGCAAGAGTATCTTGTTGTCATATGTTCCTCACGCGGACGAATCACAGCGTTGGCTAGCATGAACGTGCGACTTGCCACGCTTGGTGGTCGCGAGATCTGCGGTTCAAAAACGCCCTCGGTTGACAACTTGGCTATTGTGAGTCCGAGCAAGATCCGCAGAGAGGGAGCGTCGCTGGCTCAGTTCAGACTGTGGTACGGCCAGGAAGAAAGCCGACCCCATCCCTGTGCGTGTGTGTGTCACGGCTGCGGTGTGATGGTGCACCTTCTCGGTGTAACCTTTTGTGGAGTCGAGACGCAGACAGACGGACATGCGCCGCTCGCGTGAGGCTGTGCGTGCAGGGGGATTCTAAGCGCCACCAGCTTTGCTCAGGCGCCCCGACGCAAATTTCAAATTCACCGGTCGCTCCGAGACTTGTTCATGCAGAAAGCTCCTGTCTGCCACGAGCGGGTTGCATGGATGTGACCGAAGCGAAGGACGAGGCGAGGCAAGGGAATGGTCAGACAGATGTCATGCTCGAGTCGGGCCGAATCATGTTCTGAGCTGTGCCAAGGAAACGAACAGCGTTTGCGTTTGAGGAATGCATAAAATGGACATGTGCCAAGAAACAAGAATCCCAACCTTGAGCTTGTAGCGATGTATCCTCCTCTCGCTCACCATCCATCCAGCATGACAGACCGGTATCCACAAGCTGCGTCCTCCTCCAACGGCGTCGGCGCATCGCACCAATCCAATCGCGAGTCTCTGTACTCGCAGTTGCGTTGGTCTTCGCACCACCAACCCACGACACGACGACGAAAGCTGCAACTGCTACGATCGTACCTACCCGACTGGATCATCACCATCCTGCTCGCCGGTCTTTTGGCCATCATCAACAACGTCCATGGCTTCCGCCGCGAGTTTTCGTTGACGGACACTTCGATCCAACACACGTACGCTGTGCACGAGCGTGTGCCCACCTGGTTGTTGGGCGTACTGGCGATTCTCGTTCCGGCGATCATCATCGCCGTGTTCTCGCTTGCTGTCTCGCGCTCAGTATGGGATCTTCACAACGGTCTGCTTGGCTTCGTCCTCGCGAATGCTCTCACGGTGACCATCACTACACTAGTCAAGGTGACCGTGGGGAGACCACGCCCGGATCTGATCGATAGATGTCAGCCAGCCGCCGGCTCCTCCAACGCCGTACCCTACGGACTTGTCACGGACATCATCTGCACCGTCGGCGTCAACGACAAGACCCTCCGCGATGGTTTCCGGTCTTTCCCCTCCGGACACGCCTCCACCTCGTTCGCTGGATTCACCTACCTCTCGCTCTACCTCGCCGGCAAGCTGCACCTGTTCGACCGTCGTGGTCACGCCGTCACCGCCTGGCTGTGCGGAACGCCGCTCATGGCAGCGACGCTCATCGCGGTCAGCAGAACCATGGATTACCGTCACCATGCGACCGACGTCATCGCAGGCGCCCTGCTGGGTCTCGTAGTGGCGTACTGGAGTTACAAGTTGTACTACCCGGCGTTGGGACACAGTCAGAGTCACAAGCCGTACTCGCCAAGGATTCCGGCCGAGCATCTGTCGGGTGCCAGTGAGCACAGGTACGCAGATCAGGAGGAAGGAGATGGTGAGGCGAGGTACAACTTGACCCATGGAGGGGGTGGAGAGGCGGAGGAGGGTGGTGTTGGCGTGTACAACAAGCCGATGGGCGGCAGGGTATTGGGTGAGTCGATCGAGTATCCGGAGCGCGATACTGTGCCTAGAGTGTGATACGCAGAGAGTCGATGGAAGCCTTCGAATAGCATGGAATCGTCATGAAATGAAAACGGAACTCATACCACGACGTTGACATTTGCATGCATGCATCGTATCAACCCCGCGCAAGCTTGTGTTCCATGTACGCCACCAACCCCTTCTCCCCTGCTGGAACAACAAAGTCGTACGCAGCTTCGATCTCCACCTTATATCCGCCCAAAAGCATCTCTGTCAGCCTCATCTTCACCTCCTGCTCTTCTTCCTTGTTCCCACTCAACCCTCTCAACAACCTAACCGCCGTCCTCCTCTCATCATTCCTCAGCCCCACCAACCCCTCCCCCTTTTCTTCGAAATCCCGCACATCAACCCCAACCCACCTCACCGCAGAGTGCAAGCGATATTGTCGCCAAACATCCACACCATACGGATCCCCGTCGAACAACCCCCTCACGTCCATCCCGCTCCCACAATGCGAACATCGATGGTTCGATAGCAATTGAACGAGTTTGGCTGTTGCTCGATCTGGATATCCTTTTCCCGTTATGAGGATTTGAGCGGGGATGGTGGTTGCCTGGAGGAGGTGTTTGAAGACTGCTTCCTTTTCGACGATCAAGACGACGTGGTGACCAGAGTGGGGACAGGGAAGGTCGATGCGCCAGGCTTCGGTGATCTCGGTTGGGATGAGGGTGGTTTGACCGAGGGTGCAGTTGTACACTTGGGGTGAAGTGGAGGATGAGCTTGGGGGGGAAAGTTGAAGAGACCCGGAGAGGATCCCACGCGGACTGCCTACGATGCCTAGCTCCAATCGATCTGTACATCCCAGCAGTGTAACGAGCTGCGAAATGATCCGGTCCGACGCGGATTGCGATGGGAACAGCGAGAGGCTCTGATAGTATATGTCCCTGAGATCACGGCAAATTGGTGTTCAGTCGAGTGGTGGAATGGGTGGATAGTCCGAATGTGAGGATGACGCCACGTACCGTTTGGTCACGAGTGTACCTCTCAAGAGATTCCGTTGGATCAGTTCGAGCACCCGTAGCACCTGGGCTGCATGTTTCCTCCGACACAAGACCGTCAGTCGACACGACGACATGGCTACGTGGAAGAGAGATGGAGAAACGCACCGAATCTTCGTATTCCAACCACGCTTTTGGTCGGGAAGCTCACGTTGCTCGCTGACGGGGCATCTTGCCTCTCCGCGGCTTCGTCGACTGAGGTTGCTGCCGCGGCGAAAGTTGAGAATCGGATGGGCTCGGATTTGGGCTTTGCTTGTTGCTTTGATCGCTTTGCTGGACGGTCATCATGCTGTGACTGAGATACGGCTTCGCTTGTGGAGTCTGATAGCAGAGTTGCAGTTTGAGCAGCAAGTTGGCGCGAAAGATCGAAGATGAGAACGTCGATCCGCGCCAAAATGGTGGCTGATGTGCTCGTCATGGTCGTTAAGGAATGATGGAGGCGGTGAGGGAAGGCTGAGAAGGGTGGCTGAATGAGGAAGGAGCAGTGAGTGTCCTGACGCTATCATCATGTGTATCTGTCGTCACGCAGTCCGTCGGCAGCCTTCCGAAAGCCACACCACATCGCACACCGACAACGTTCACCACTCGGAGCAGTCTCCGACACACATGAGCCTCAGCACACACATCTCTATCATCTCTTCCCTCTTGCCATTCCGCTCTACGAACTAGGGTCGATCTTCAGCGAGAAATCGACATGCTTGGTCGACTGATGGATGCTGCTCGTCGAGATGATATCGATCGAGTTATCCACATGTCCACCCTGCTTGACGTTGTCGATATCGATGCCACCGCTGCTTTCCAACAAGAACTTGTGCTTCCCGCTCCACTCCTGCTTCAACCTCTTGGCGTTGCTGATCAGAGTCTCGCCCTCCATGTTGTCGAGCATGATGACGTCGGCACCTGCCTCGATCGCCTCGACGGCTTCGTCGTAGCTCTGCACCTCGACGTCGATGCGCAGCGAAAACCCGCAGACGGATCTCGCCGACGCAACGGCATTCTTGACCGAGCCCGTGCTCCAGATGTGGTTGTCTTTGAGCATCACCATGCTGCTCAAGTCGTACCTGTGCATGTCGACGCCTCCAACGAGCATGCCGTACTTTTCGACGTCTCGGAACCCGGGTGTCGTCTTGCGCGTCCCCGCTACGATCCCCTGGTACCCTGCATCCCGTGCTTTCTGCGCAAAGAGACTGGAAGCAGTCGCGATACCGGAACACCTGGCGAGAGTGTTGAGCGCAACACGTTCGCCAAGAAGGATCTTTCGAGACGGTCCCTCGACGGTCGCCACTGCGATCTTGACCTTCTGACCGGGGGTGGAGGATCTGAGGTATTCTCCTTCTCGGAAGTTCCAGTGAACCTTGCAGTCGAGCTGCTTGAACACCTCGTCGAAGAAGGGGACTCCGGCGAGGACTCCTTCGCTTTTGCAGAAGAGCGTGGCTCGTTTGATGTCTTCGCCGACGACGAAGCCGCCCCAGTCGAAGGAGGGACAGTCTTCGGCAAGCCACGAGGTGACTTTGACCTTCCAGGATGGAGGCAGCAGGTTGGCGTAGATCGGGATCGTGGTCGACATTGTGATGGAGCAATGACAAAGATGAAGTAGGGATTGAGAAGTCTGTCACGGGTCGGAATCGAGAAAGTGCTTGGTCGTGAAGCACTCTCCACCGTTTCTTCCAATCCGATGGGCAATGTCCGCGCGGAACATACTTTGCTAAGGGTCTGCGGAGAACATCCGAGCATTGCCGAACCCCTTGCTTCTAACCGGCCGGGATTTCTTTTTTGGAACAAGTAGCTCGATCTTACATTTTAGTGATTCTGCGTGTTGGTCTCGCCAAAATGCGGCGACACGAGGATGGTGCAGCGTAGAGTTGAAGCCAAGGCTCGTCGGAGCTGCAAATCGCTGCCGATCCTCGAACGTCGATCATCTGCTCCGAGGGTGGCTTCCGTCTCCTTGTGACTTCAATTGCAACCAATTGGGAAGTTAGGTGCCAAGCTGCGCCGGAGAGACAGGGGCGATCTGCCTGACTTGCACGCCTCTGTGGCGGTGGCAGGCTCGTGCTCGACCTCGTCTCCACCTTCGGCAGCTCAGGCTCCATCAAGGAGGAGGAGAAGCTCACGGTTCCGTACCGCGAGAGGTTGAGCAAGATGTGGTTTGCCTCATGCTTCTGGCTGTGTTGCGATAGATGCGCTCCGAGGAAGGTTGAGAGACAGGGGTTCACCAAGCCAAATTCTAACTTTTAATTTCCTGCCAGTTCCGAGCGGCTGCTCGAATTGGAAGGTCGTGTTTTTTTGGTGTTGTTCTTCCTGCTGCTGCAGGATGCTGCAACACAGCCAACCAGCCTGCATAGTAGGCCCGCGTCCGTGTTGCAAGTCGATGGCTGTCAGTTTCCGCGGTGGCAGTTTAACTCAAGCCTCCGAGCAGCAAGATGGAGGCAGCCAAGAGGATGAGGTAAATTCTCGCTCATGAGCATTCTACCTCTCGCAGGCGCAGAGAGAGTTGGTCCTGCTGCTCTCCTTTGTCTGATTCCCCTACACCCCTGCTTCTGTCGGGGATTCCGCGTCATTCCTCGGAACATCCACGAAGCCACGTCAGGAGCACGCATTGTGGTTGCGAGAAGCTCGAGTCAAGCGCATACATGGACTGCTGCTTCCTCGTGTGACTGAGTGGCAGCAGCGCTAAGTACAGCGGTAGCCTCGTCCCGCATTTTGGTGGTGCCGGTTCAACCTCCGCCCCTCAGCTATTTACACAGTCCGATTCCTGCACCTCGTTCCGTCACCACCACCACCACCAGTACTACCACCACATCACACTCGTTGTCAGCGTCGCTACTCGTATAGACATCCTCATCGGGGCTCTCGGTCACATTCGTCATCCACTCTCAGACAAGCCTCTACGCTTCGCTTCGACTCGACTAGCGTTTGATCGCTCTGCATCATCATGTTTGGACGTAAGTACACCATCCGTGCTCTCGGGCTATCCGCGATGACAGCCACGCTGACTTTGCTAACACTTGATTTCTACAGGCCTCAAACACAAGATGTCCCGCGCTCGTTTGGACGACGATGGAAAGAAGTCGTCGTCGCCCGCCTCGTCGCTCCCACCTTCGCCCACCAAGCCGGCTGCATTCTCTGCTGCTGCCGCTACTGGAGCTCCCCAAACCCCTCTTGCTACAGTACCGGCTGCTTCCACCCCTTCGTCCTCGACCAGCCCCGCGACTCCCATCGCCTCGGCTCCCAGCACTGCTCCGGGCACCGCTCCTTCGAGCACCGCTCCCACCACACCCGCCACCAGCACCACCCCTGCTAGCGAAATCCAGAACAATATCGACAGCAATGGTCACGACATTACCACCAACGGTGCTGTCGTTCCCCGTGTCAATCTCGCCTACTTCACAAATTGGGGCATCTATGGTCGCAAGTACACTCCCTTGGATGTCCCTTACTGCAACTTGACCCACATCCTCTACGCCTTTGCTGACGTAAACCCAGACACGGGCGAATGCTTCCTCACCGACCTCTGGGCCGACGAGCAGATCCACTACACCGGCGACTCTTGGAACGACACGGGCAACAACCTCTACGGCAACTTTAAGCAGTTCCTGCTGCTCAAGCAAAAGAACCGTGCCCTAAAGCTGATGCTCTCCATCGGCGGTTGGACTTTCGGTCCCCACTTTGCTCCTATGGCCGCTGACCCGAAGAAGCGTGCCAAGTTCGTCTCCACTGCCATCACCATCCTCGAAAATGACGGTTTGGACGGCCTCGACATTGACTGGGAGTATCCCGCGGACAGCACCCAAGCTGCCAACTTTGTTCTCCTTCTCAAGGAGCTCCGCGCGGGTCTCACCGCCCACCAAACCAAGAAGCAAGAAACCAACCCTTACCTCCTCTCCATCGCCGCTCCCTGCGGTTCTGACCACTACAAGATCCTCCAAGTCGCCAAGATGGACCAGTACCTCGACTTCTGGAACCTCATGGCCTACGACTTTGCCGGATCGTGGTCCACCCTCACCGGCCACCAAGCCAACCTGTGGAACGTCAAGGGCGCGCCTCCCTCCACCGACGACGCCGTCAGGTACTTCATCGGTCAAGGCGTCGTTTCGCACAAACTCGTTCTCGGCATCCCACTCTACGGCCGCGGGTTCGAAAACACCGACGGCCCCTCCAAACCCTACAACGGCACCGGTCAGGGCACCTGGGAAGCCGGAAACTGGGACTACAAGTTCCTCCCCGTCAAGGGCGCAAAGGAGATGATCAACACCAAGATCGGCGCCAGCTGGAGCTACGACTCTGCCAAGAGGGAGTTCATCAGCTACGACACGCCTCAGAACGTCCTGATCAAGTGCCAGTACATTCAGAACATGAAGTTGAGAGGTGCCATGTTTTGGGAACTGAGCGGCGACGCGACAAAGAGTCAGGGTGGTGCGGATAGGAGCTTGGTCGCGTTGACGGCAAAGAACATGGGAGTGTTGGATTCGACCTTGAACCACATCAGCTATCCTTACAGCAAGTGGGACAATGTCAAGGCTGGTATGAAGTGATGCACCGCCTCCGAGTCTAGGCAAAGAACCCCCGGCTACTTTTTGTGTACATCTTTCTATTCTCTCCTCTTCGTTCCGATCTTTAGCCTTTACTCTTTGTACGATTTGCGATTGGCATGCCTGCGTGCCTCAATCGTTTGCCTAATGGACAATGTCATCCTCTGCTTTCAAATCTTGATCTTTAGCTTGTGCGATCTTTCGTGAACTTTGACTGCTTATCCTCACCGTCATTTTTATGCCTGCATTTTGTCACTATTTTTATATCGAGCGTTATGGCGGTACACGTTGAAAGATCGCACTGCACTCAAATCTTATGCTACCACCTACTCCCAATGTCACACCGAAGACGGTCAAGGAAGGGAAAGACTGTTCAATTGCAACACGAAACAGCTCCTTACGCACCCACCGAAGCAGCACCCAGCGCCGTACCTGCCAAGATCATCTCCAAGCTACCTCGCACCTGCATCAGATCCCTCTGCAACCTCAATTCGTCCCCTACCTTGGCCCAGATCCTCCCGAACAGATCGTCGATCAACGGACTCTGCCCAATCACGCTGGCGTACGTATCCACAATGACGTTCAACGTATCGCAGACCAGATCGACGTAGTTCGGGTTGGCAGCGTGTCTGAGCAGGAACCTCAGCACCGGTTCGAGCGTGACATCGTCTCGATTCGAGATGGCCCTCCTCAGCCCATCTAGGCTGCCGCGCGGACTTCTGTGGATCAGCTCGAGGATCAAACCGAACGTCACGGTGGGTGGAACACCTTTTCGAAGCGCAGCATCGAGCGCATCACTGTACCGGAACGCTTTGAGGAATCGATCGTAGTCCTGCAGTTTGCGCTTACGGACGCTGTCGACTCGAATGTCATCCGTCGCCCGTCGTGTGTTGATCTTTCCAGGTTGATTCGAGGCGGCTGCTTTGCCCTGCATGAAGAACTCGTAGGCACCGGCGTTCATGGCTGCGCGTTCGGCTTCTCGACGTTCGAGTTCGTTGGCCTTGACATCTCGTTTGCGGACGCAGAGGGTTCCGTCGGCCATACCGACTGCGATGTGCGATTCGTCCGGTGAGACGGCCATGGACAGGATGGGAGAGGGGTATCGCATCGTGTGCGTCACTTTGAAGTCGTGAGCTGGATCGTAGACCTTGACCAGGTGATCGAGACCACCGGTGAGGATACGCATGCCACCGATGGACTCCGAGTTATCGGCGGAGAAATCAGCACCGGAGTTCACCGATAGCGCCAGCGACGTGATCGTCTTTTGGTGGTTGGAGATGCTCGCCATGCATCTACCGCCCATCATGAGATCCCATACTTTCATCACTGGTCCACCTGCTGACAAAGCCACACCACCACCTCCCGTAGGATATACCAAGACATCTTCCACCGGCGCACCATGGTCCATCGTCATTGCGCAACCACCCTGCTCTCCCACCCTCGAATCCCACAACTTGACTGTGCTATCGTAGCTTCCCGAGAGCATCAGCGCCGGATTGTCCGGACTGAACACTGCCGAACGAACGTAATCCTGATGCCCTTCGAACACGTGCACCGCCTTCTGCTCCGGAACATCCCACAACCGAACGGTCCTATCATCGGCAGCCGACATGATCTCCGTCCCATTCGGCGAGAATCTCGTGACATGGACTGGATTCGTATGACCCCTCAACGTCCTCAGAATCGCCCTCGACGTCGTATCGAACACCTGGATCAATCCACTATCGTCCCCCGCGACCATCAACCTTCCATCCGATCGAAAATTCGCCGACCTCGCAACATCCTTGAACCTAGAAATCGTCTTTGAAACTCGAGTGTTGCGCATCGAGTAGATCTGAACACGAGCACCCGTCGTCACGGCGAACTTTTGTCGAGCGGAAACCGAAGTGGGCTGCGTGGAAGTAGAGCCGATCGTGGTAGAGGTCGAAGAAGGGTCATCTTCGTTCGCTGTCGTCGAGTACACCGAGACGGGCGGTACAAAGTGGATCGAAGTGATGGGCGCGAGCTCTTTGACGAAGACAGGTGCGCGGAACTTGCGCCAGTAGTGCGATTCGGGCGAGCGAGACGAGGATGGTCGAGCAGATCGCTCTGTTACTGGTCGGAGTGAAGAGTACTCCATTGCGTTTCGGTTCTGCCCAGCGAAGAGTGCTCAGTTCGAGGTGGCCACTTGAGGGAAGGCCGCTACGATGGCGTTGGCAGCTGGTCGAAAAAGTAGTGGCCGGTGCGACTCGCCGGTAATGGTAAAGGTGGAAGAGAGATGATGGCGTCTTTGAAGATCGGAAGGAGGAACAGCCAATGTGGAGCCACAGATCCAAAAAATTTCCCGTAAGAAGAAAATTGAGCCAAGACCCTGGTCACGTGCCTATCTATTTTCAGCAAGGACTCTGACAACTGAGGTCTAACAAATATGGGCGAGGACGCGACGGCGAGACGTGCTGGTCGCCGTTAACGGCAGCAGTTACCGCTTCTCGTGCCTTCCACTAGCTTGCAACGCCGAGCTTTCCTGTCGCACGCACGGCATGTGAGCTTTTTCGAACAAGCGGGACATTTAGAAGAATGTTTGACGCGGTATGGGGCAATTCAGGCTCAAACGCAGGCTCGAACGCGAATCTGGGCAGCTGGACAGCTGCACAGCTGGGTCAGCTGAGCTAGCGTATCTCGCCGGCGGTCAGCTTAGTGTATGATCTCGCAAACAACGCCTCGGAAGAACGGGAATGCGGTCGGAGAGCGAAACGGTCAGATGGGGTCCTCAAAAGGGGCAATTGCCGTTTCCGCTAACTCGGGCCTGACCATCATCAGCACCAAAATACAAGGGAACTCGACAAGCTCATTCTTGGTGACGAAGCTGTTTTGCTTGTGCCGCCGATGTCATCAGAAGCCAAGCCTGGACGACATAGGTAGAACCAAGGCCAAGATATGCTTGCCCGACTTGGCGTACAGCTGCCAGGCTAGAGGCTCTTTGCTTGAGGGCATCCGCGTATGCCAATCGTCACGGCAATGACGCGGAGTACATCGGTGGTCCGAGGGATCACATTCCTCAACCGCGCGTTGCCTTGATATGCTGCGGAGCCTCATCCAGGAACACGGCGGGGACGTCCAAATGAGGTGAGGCGTTTTTCATCTCAGTGTCATGTCGGCACCTCCTTGCCGAAACGAAATGCTGCCAGCAGAGCGTTTTTTCCTGTGCCTCTCGCTTTATTTACTGTAAAAAAGATCGACACGACAACCGTTCCGAGCAGCGCGGAAATGAGAACAAAAAGAACAAATGAGACAAACACACCGCCACCAGAAATGCGTCTTCTGTCGAAACAAATATTGCTGAGGTCGAGACCAGAGCGTGCCGTATCGACAACGCCTGCGAAGATGAAGAAGATGCTCTCGCTGTACGACCTCGTCGTTGGTCTTGAACCACCATGGTATCTCCTCCCAAGACTTCAAAAGCCGTTTCCAGATCCACGTCCTCCGACCTGTCAAATGCCAAAAAGAAAAAAAGGTCGAAAAGAGACGGCGTCTCATGCGCGTCTATGCAGTTTCCCACTCTTTTGTTTCGCGTTGGACCCGATTAGTCGGATCCTGCGCCCATCTGCCTTGAATTCGAATCGAAGATCTGCGTCCTGCAGCACAACGTCAAGAACGGCCAACGAGCCCGCACGCCTGTCATCTTTCTGCCAACTACCACAATCTCGGATTCAGTCCATTCCAGTTTAAACTCAACAAATACAACACGCAGGCGCAAGAAGTCAATTTGAATTCTACCCCTCGACCTCTGCACATTGGCCCCTTATTCCCTCGCCCCTCTGTTCTCCCACTTCTCTGCAACGAATTGCCTTGACTGTGACGCTCAGGTCGTCGATGAATTGAGTCTGTGTGAATAACGTGTGCGAACGAGCATAGTCGCTCCGACAAGGCTGTCGACGTCGATGCTCGAACAGGAACGAGGGAAGAGGGTAGAGTGTCCGTACGCAATGCGGTGGTGCGGCATTTGTCTGCAACTCGCTTACCGTTCCGACTTAGCCGATGTCGATCCAACAACGATGCAGGCCGCTCTCATTTCGACGTGCTCATATCTTGCACATTGTGGCTGGCCGAGTTTACCAGAATGATTCCTTCGTGTGCGACATGCGCGGCTGCGTCGACGCTCGTTCCCCGCGCTGTCAAGCCTGACTGCTGCTGCACCTTGTCTTTCGGCAGAACGGATGGTCCGCCTGTCCGCTCGCATGTCTACATCTCGTCCCGGCCCTCCTGCCCAGCACAGCCAACATGCCTCACGATCAAGCCCCCTCCATCGTGCCTGTGCACCGCCTTTGTGTGCGCTTGACGAGGCAGATCTCGTCCTGCAGAGAAATTTCGGTCTCCGCTCGCACCTTGCCTGTCACTTTGGCGCCCTGTTCCCTGAGATCCGTCCGCTTGCCGCCGCAGTAAAGCGTTGCTGATCCCATCCTTTTCCTGTTCTTGACCGTCCAATCCTCTCCACCATCGCCCCACAAACGTAACGCTTCCCTTCTGTCTCATTGCGATTCCTGCCTCCTCTGTTCTGATCCTCTCCACCATATCTCCACTACTGCTTCATAAAACATCCCCCTCTCGACCGAAACTGCATCCCACCCCGCTCTCGAACGAAGCACTTCCAGCATCACATTCTTTTCAGCGACCACGCTCATTTCTCGACCTTTATATCAACTAGCTCAGCTCGATCAGCTGGCACAGACAACTTATTTATTGTTCGACTTATAACCAATCATCGCCTCTGTCAGCGCATCTTTGCAACATAACTTTGGGCAACCGACAACTCCTCAGAAGAGGCCCAGCTTCGCGTCAATCGCGTTTCAATCCCAGAGACTTTGGACTCCTTGCTAGATCGTGACCGAAGGTCGCGACATCAAAGAAAAAGAATCGGTATCTGCCTACTCGCCTCGCTGTTCTGGAAAGCGGGAAGTCCAAAATCAACTGCAGCTGCACCGTCCCTCATATGCAAGAATGGCACCGACACGGAGAGCGCTGTCGTTGCTGACATGGACGGCGCTGTTCGCGCTGCTCAGTCTTCTCATGTCCCCTGTAGCGGCACGCAAAAAGATGCTCATCTACACCTACACACAAGGCTTCCACCACTACTCGATCCCCACTGCCACCAAGGTAGTGCAGCAGCTGGCAAAGGACGCTAATCCACGCATCGATACGGTCCACTCGGACGATCCGAGCGACTTTGAACGAAAAGATTGGCTCTCGCAGTTTGACATGGTCATGTTCATCTCGGTATCCGGCAAAGCGCTCTCAGACGATGGAGCAGAGGCGTTCCGCGAATACATCGAAGCTGGCGGGGGCTATCTCGGCGTGCACGAGGCATGCGATGCATTGTACCAACAACACTGGTATGGTCGCTTGGTAGGCGCATACTTTAACTACCATCCGCAAATCACCTGGGCCACGTTGAACGTCATCAACCAGACGCATCCAGCCACAGCACATCTCAAAAAGTCGTGGAGGGTGTACGACGAAATGTACAACTACAATTCGGATCCTTCGAAATGGGGCAAGCAGTACCTGATTACTGCTGATCAGTCTTCGTACAATGATCCCGTCGAGACGGTTGCGCAACGTGCGCAGGAGCAGGGCAATCCACATCCGATCGCGTGGTGGAAGGAAGGCAACCAGCTCTCGTACAATCCACACGTCAAGGTCGGCGGCGGGACCGATCCGACCAAGCAGGAGATCCGATCAGGCAAGGCAGGTACGGGTGGACAAGGTCGAAGCTTCTACACCGCATTGGGTCATACCAACGCCATGTGGCACGACGACGATTTCCAGCAGCACATCATGGGTGCTGTCAGTTGGTTGATGGATTCGCCTGTTCTTAGGTCCTCCTCAGCGAATCCCCCCAAGGGCGCTGTTGGATCCGACTATGTTGCAGCAGACATCTCCGCCAACGTGACGGTGGGCATCGGCCCGAGTCGCGCCGATTCGGGACCTGGGATCTCGTCGACACTGGTAGGCGGAACACCCGTACCTTACTCCAAGTCGGCCATCTCAAAAAGCAGTGCTGCGTCTGCAAGAGGATATCTCGCAGTGGCATCGACGTCATCGGTAGCACTAGCGGTTGCAGTGGGGATGCTGATGATGTTCAGCTGGTGCTGAGCCATGTCCTGCACAAAATACTCCGTATCGTCGTGTCTAAGCGCCACAAACTATATGCGTTTTTTTCTTCCGGTCAGCCTCTGGTTTCCTTTTTCGTCTTCACTTATCAGCAAGCCGGTCTTTGCTCTCATCTGCTTTGTCCCCTCTGCCTCGTGGCCTGCGTCGATCGATGCGCGTTAGGCCGCGAAGAGTGGTACGTCTTCCTTTCTCAGCTGTGCTTGTTCCTTGTACCTTTCGATCTCGTTGCTGTACCCTTTCGATGCTCTGTCGTCGGCCTTGCCTAAATTGAACAATTGTACTCGTACACTCTCTTCCATGCAGTCGTGCTCACCTGCAGCGTGTGCGAAAGGTCTCGATTCGACGGGGGCACGTCCGCATTTGTTCGCCAATCGGGAAGCGCAGGGTCTATCAGCATCTTTAGCAGCCGAAACGGGAACCGAAGAAGCGCTTACCAGAGATCCAGCACCGAATGCTTCCCGAATGTAGCAAACCCCGTGACCGAACCCGCCGTCAAGCGACCGATCCAGAAGGACGGTACGATCGACAAGTCGGGTACAAGACAACTTAATCCAAGACAACAAAGTCTAGATCAGGCGGTAAGGGTCGCCGGTGTCCGATGGTTGTGTCGCTGCACGTCGACCGAATTCGGACCGTCGATGAAGAAGAGCGAGAGCGCTCTTTCAAGGCCGCTTGCTTTTGTGCGTTCGGAAAGGGCAGTCGCGTGTGTGTGTTCAGGGTGCATCCGAAAGGAGAAAAAAATAAGAGCGACAGCGACAGCTGCAACCAGAGATGCAGAGTCGAAACTCCGCAGCTCGCTGGCCTAGCGTGGCTGCCACTTTGGTGTGTGGGAGCGTGGGAAGACTCTGCTCTTGATTTTTAGAGCTAATTTACATCAGCGTGCGTGCGAGCGTGCGGGCGGGCCGTCTCGTGCGCGTAGTTGTCCAACACCCTGGACAGCGTCGTCGCCTTCCTCCGTACTATACGACACCATACCCTCACTTCGCCTGGTGCGGCGCGGAGACCCCTGTCCTCACCTCGTTCTACGCATCGAACCCCGTCACCTCGTCGACGCTACCGACCTGTTCTCACTCCGACCGGTCAACCCACGTGCGATTCGTCCGAGCGATCACCTGCTTGCATCTCTTCTCCTTCTTATGTCATCCGAAATTGCTGTGCCCACCCACCAGAGCAGCTGAAACACCGGATCCTACTCCCGAATTTTCTTGGGCGACAGGCCAAGACTTTGCCAGGCGCACTCAACGATCTTGATAACACTCAGTCAGACTCACTTCGGCCAGCATCGGTCTAGCCCATTCATGCGATTGGCGGTTCGGATGCGTGGAGAAGGGCCGATCGAAGCAGCCCGAACCGACGCTCCCGACTCACCGCATCTGCTATAAATATAGGAGGGCCTCGGACTCATCATCCTGATCGCTCCTAGCTGCTTTGATCGCCTCGAGACCATTCCAAACAGCAGCTTCCAGCCCCGTATGAGCGCCGCAACACCTACCAGTCCGGGCTTTCCGCTCGCCATGGGCGCGGGTGCCATGTCAGGCCATCTCGCAGGACCATCCTCCAACGCAGGCAGTCCACGCTCACGCCCCACCACGCCTCTCTCGGCTGGCTTGATGCCCTCGGGCCCAACCTATGACGACCTTGCTCGGTGGGAAGACGCCGATGTCGCTTCGTGGCTTAATGCAGCCCGTCTGGGTCAACATGCTTCCACATTTGCCGAGCACGACATTCGCGGCTCGGTGCTTCTGGACGTCGACCAGGCCGTGCTCAGGGAGATGGGCATCACCTTGGTTAAGGATCGCGTCCGCATCTCTGCCGCCATCAAGTTGCTCAACAAGCGCTGTGCCGACTCCGCCGTCGCTCGCAGACCCAGCGTCATCTCCATACCGCCTCTGTCTCCTCTTGCTTCACATCCTCTCTATGCCAACGAAGGAGAGATGGAGTATCTCCAGCACGATCACTCTACCGATCCATCAGCCGACGGTCTTGGCTCCTCCTTCGGTTCCAACTCGATGGGTCTGCGAAGAGGACAGATGCGTCCACCTCCCCTCACCCTCAAGCAATCCACCTCTCGAGGTATGCCAGGATATGCCTCGCCCGCCGGCTCCCTCAACCAGAGCCAAGGGTTTGGCCTCAGTGCAGCTCGCGGTCTCACTCCCGGAGCGGGGCGCGGCAGCGTTTGGAACACCGCCTCTTCGTCGTCCGGCTCGTCAAAACCCAGCACTGCGGACGGCGCTCTCCATCGCAAGGTCAATTCCATAGGGAGCGCTGCGCCCGCCATCGTCGGTGCGTCGTCATCCCTGTCATCATCTCGACACGCATATGGTCACAGCGTTCACAACAATCGACCGAGCACGGCGACCGGTGCCAGCGGCTACTCCAACGTTCCAGGATCGCAGCAACCTCGCGGCGGCCTTACTACGGGCAGCCCAACGGCTGCTTCTTTCGGCAACAACGCGAGCGCCAACGCAGGGCGTCCTTCCACTGCGACGGGTGCACAAACCTATCACACCAGCACGTCAGGTGCCAATTCGGGCAGAGACGGCTACTCTCCGCTCACGCCCATCTCGGAATCCAACTCGCTCGGCAACACTCCCACTACCCCGTCGGCCGCTCAACAACAGCAGCAAGTTGCGGGCTACTCGGTCGGGCGCGGTCCATTTGCTTCTTCGCAACGCTACGCAGCATCGCCTGCGTCTTTGCCGCAGCAACCTTCCTCCGGTGGCACCCTCAGGCACGTCGACAGCGGCGATGGCTATAACCTCAGTGCCGCTCAGCTTGCAGGCTATCAGAATCCCAATCCTCCGACCTTGGAGGATCTCAAACGCCGCACGATCAAATTCATCAGTGAAGAGGACAATACGACACGTATCGTCAACGTCAGCGATTGCCGCGATGCGTACGACGTCATGGCGCGCGTCCTGAAGAAGTTCCTCAAGCCGCCCAGCGGTAACAGCTATACTCCCACCGCCGACCAAGGGCCTACGGGCGACGAGCTGGGTGCCACCGAAACGTGGGGCATCTTTGCCACGAGCGCAGACGGTCAGAACACCAAGGCACTGTCCGACAACGAGCTGCTGGCCATCTGCCATGCTCCCCAACCTCACGATCCTCTTCGAGAGCGTGGTCTCACACTCCGCAGGATCCCCAATCATTTGCCAGGCGAAGATGCCCGCAAGGTCCCGGTGCGTTCCGGCAGGAACAAGCTCGAGGCGTTCTTCGGCGAGCGTATGCCCGTGGCACAGATGCAGCCTGCCGGTCCTGGCTCTGGTGTCACCGATGACGATGATGACGCCGGCAGCGTCACGATTAGCGGCAAAAAGATGAAACGTGCTTCCACCGTCAGCATCATGTCTGGCCTCGGTGTCGGACCCTTCAGCAGCAGCAGTAGTCAGAATGTCCTCTCAAGCCACGCCAACAGCAGTCAGGCCAGCGGAAGGGGCGATGGCAAACATCCGTCCAAGAAGGAGACGAAGCACATGTCGCCACCGCCTGTCACCAGCAAACCAAGCAAGATTCGCAACTTCTTTGGCCAACGTCCTCCGTCGGAGCTCATCAACACCAACTTGGCCGACTTCTTCCCGTCCACCGACTCAAAGGCGCTGCAACGCACCGCCAGGCGTTCCATCTACGGTCGCGCTTCGGCGAGCACTCGTTCTAAGCGCAACAGCACGTGGAGCTTCGTTGCCGACCCAGATGCACCGCCTCTACCGGGTAAGGAGTCGCTCGACGGTCATCAGACGCCGCTCGAGCGGTCATCTGTATCCATTCGAGAGCGCGGCACGACACCGGTCATACAGATTGGATACGATTCACGCTCGGAGGACGACCATTCAACCAGTGCGCCACGCAAGTCGTCTGGCTCGTACTCGAATCATGGCCACCCTGCGACGGGTCCGCCGACGCTGCCGCCGGTGGTCAGCCGCGACTCGCTTGACGAGTGGTCGCGCGACCTCAAGGCGGTCGGTTCGCCGGTCACCGAGGGCAATGCTGCGTTCCAGTCCACTAAGCGTGGTTCCGGAAGTTCGTCGGGCCATCATCAGACTGCTACGCAACACACGTCTTCGCAAGGCAGCGGGTACCGACCGTCAATTTCGCGTCGGGCTTCCGGCGAGAGTGCGAGGAGTCGACGCAGTCTGGCATCCCAAGTGCGACACGGTCTTAGCGCTGCTCGCGAGCGCAACGCCGACGCGGCGAGCCTGCTCACCGTCGATGAGATCACACAAGAGGTTGAGAATCGCAGGGAGAGCATGTCGCTCGCCGGTGCTGGGGGCGGATGGGTGGTTGACGAGGACGGAGTGCCCATTCCGATCCCTGGATCCTCGTCCCCACTGTCGCTGTCGGGGGCTGCCTCGACGCGACCGTCCAGCGGCGGGTCTTCGTCGTACGTGCACAGCGTCAACGTCGATCAAGACGATGACGCAACGCACACGGACGAGGAGGCCAACGAGTCTTCCGACCTCGAAGGTGCGCCACGCATCAAGAAGGCTGTCAGCATTCATTCGAAAGCTCCCTCCGTCCGTACTATGGCGAGCAAGCGCGCCTCGTCAGTGCTCCAAGCTCCGGGTGAGGAGGCCGACCGTCATCTGGGCGATCCCATGGCTGTTGTGCGCAGCACCACGTCCCGCGCTAGTTCGGTTTCCGAGTTGCGTCGTTCCGTCCAGAGCCATGGCGATCATAGCGACGACATATCCGGGTCTGACTATACCGACTCGGACGTTGACTCGAACGAGTCCGAGACCGATGACGATGAGCAACCCAACGACGTCATCCAACCATCGGCCAAGCCGGCACCGATCAAGTGGCACAAAGGTGCTCTCATCGGTGCTGGTTCCTTCGGCAATGTGTTCCTCGGTATGAACGCCAAGACGGGTCTTTTGATGGCTGTGAAGCAGGTCGAGCTGCCCTCGGGCGACTCGCATCTCGACCAGCGCAAAAAAGGAATGCTCGAAGCGCTCGAACGAGAGATCAAGCTGCTCAAGACGCTCGAGCACGAAAACATCGTCCAGTACCTCGACTCGTTCGGCGACGGCTCCCACCTCAACATTTTCCTCGAATACGTTCCCGGTGGCTCAATCGTCGCGCTCCTTCGCAACTACGGTGCGTTCGAGGAACCGCTCGTCCGCAACTTTGTCCGTCAGATCCTCAAGGGTCTTTCGTTCCTGCACAACCGAGGCATCATGCATCGCGACATCAAAGGAGCCAACATCCTGGTCGACAACAAGGGAGGCATCAAGATCTCGGATTTCGGTATCAGCAAGAAGGTCGAATCCGAACTCGTGCTTGCCACCAACAAGGGTGGAGGTGGCGGTGTGGGTGGGGGAGCGGGGGGTGGTGCGCACAGACCGAGTTTGCAGGGAAGCGTGTTTTGGATGGCACCAGAGGTGGTCAAGCAGACGAGCTATACGATCAAAGCGGATATCTGGTCTCTGGGATGTCTGGTTGTCGAGATGATCTCGGGAACGCATCCGTGGGCAGAGCTGAATCAGATGCAGGCGCTGTTCCAGATCGGCATGGGCAGGAAACCGAGTCTGCCGGACGAGATCAGCCTGGAGTGCAGGGATTTCTTGGAAAAGACGTTTGAGCTGGATTACAACGACCGACCGAGTGCGGACGAGTTGTTGAACCATGCGTTTATGGGCACGGAGATGACGTTCCCGGCCGGTGCGGGAGAAGGTGAGAAGGCGGGTGAGGACGATGTTGCTGGAGGTGGAAATGGTGGTGGAGAAGGAGGAGAGGGGGATACTTCGACGGTGTACACGACGAACGAGGGCGAGACGAGCACGACCAGGGAGACCAAGGATGGGAAGAGACCGACGAGATCCAAGTCGACGAGGCGGTTGGACAGGGAGAAGAGGCACAAGGCGGAGGCTGCTGCTGCTGCTGCTGTGGCGGCGGCGGCGGCTGTGCAAGATACGGGTGCGCCGAACACTCCTACCGGTCACACTGCAGGTGCAGCGTCCACGTCTCCGGATGCTGATACGGCGTTGTCAACAAACAGCAAAGTGGGTGGCACGGGAGGCATGCCAGAGAGCATCTCGACGTCGTCCATCGCTACGGCTCGCGGTAACCCCGCTTCGAGCGCCGCAACGTCTGGCGACGCGACGGCCAGCGAGGATATCATCGAACCCTAGAGATGCAACATTGTCACAGTCAACACAAATTCAATTTCAGCGAAGGGCAAAACGGTCGCGTATTTTGCATCGTGGCAACAGCGAGAGGATCTATTAAATGCAATTGGAGCGACGGAAGCGCTGCCAAACATTATGCGTCTACTGCTGAGGGTCGATTTGAACAACGCCGTCCTGTGGGCACTTGTTGGTCGAGACGCCTTGATCGGCACCCTTCTTGCCGATGGTGAAATCGATGCAGTTTGGTCGGGACCCCTCTGCAGCTGCGACCTCGATCGAGGCGGTGGAAGTTTCGAACTTGGCGGTGGAGTCGCTCGTCTCCAGGATTACGACAAATTCTTTTTTCCGCCGAATGCAGAGATCAGACCGTCAGCGATGTTTCATCTCACCAGGAAGGAAAGTCGTGGAACCCGGGAACTCACCATTTTGGTTAGAGGGATTGTAGTCGATGATCGAGTCTCCGGTGTGTGGAAGGACGCGATTGATGGGTCCATCGGCTGATACGAAGCAGGCAAAATTGACGTTCGAGGGTGGAGTGGTTTTGGTGCTGGAGCAGTATGATGCCCATTGGGGTTGGAATGGAACGACGTTACCGCCATGGACGATGGCGACCAATGCCAGGGAGAACAGCACAAAAGCTCGCATCTTTCGAAAGAAAGTCGAATGTCGAGAGACTGAGTGGAATAGGTCGAGGAGAGGTTCGAGGGAGCTGCACAGTATATACGGAAGTAGGATCCTCGAACAGCCGTCGACTGTACTGTTCACGAAGAAGCGTGTGAGGTTGAGTTCAATTTTCTCGAGATCAAGCCCTTCCTGCGGTGGCTGTGTTCAGGGGTGTCCGTCAACCGTCGCCACGGAAGGGGTCTTGGGTCTTGTGGTGGGCATCGTCCCACCTCATTCACCGGTGGGCCGAGTGGGGGAGGCAACAACTGAATGAATGAGACTCTGACAGGCTGGCCATCGCGTGTCATTGCGAGACTCTCTCGTCCGCCCTCCTCCGGTTCCACTGCTCACACGCACTGGAATCAAACCCACAAGCAGAGACTGCAACCTCATCTTGTGAAGAAGCTGCTACCAGAACAGCTGTCGCAAAAGTAGCGTTACAATTCGGAGCCAGTCGTAATCCAGCCATACCATGCATCGCCGGAAAGACTAGACCTACAAGGTGTAAACAAGCCCATCACCTCGCTGACTGTAGGCAGGAATGACGACTGGACCGTCTCGCGGGCACTTTACACTGTACCTGTCGTGGTTCACGTCGGCTGTACCCGGGGGCACGATCAGGTAGTCCACACATCCTTCGTCGACCTTTTGAGCACTAGGTCGGACGATCACCTCGAAGGTGTCTGTGACAAAGTCCAGCGACGTATCGGGCTGGTCGAATGCTACGGCAAATGCTGTTTATCCAAATTTCGAGCCAACCGTAAAGGTCGGTGTCAGTAAGTGTGCTAGTATGATTTCCAAACACTCTGCACCAGCTAGGAAGGAAACGTACAGGTCTCGTCGTTGGGATAGACACGGGTCGAGGACGAGACTTGTGCCGCATCAACAATAACGCCGTCATGCGAGACAAAGCAGACGTACGAAGTTCCTTTGGGAATGTCGACCTTCGAATTACCACAGTAGGCATCGTAGCTTGCGATCGGCTGGCCTCGACTTGCGCCGAAGCACAGCAGAGCCATGGGAAGAGAGATAAAGTGGAGAAGACGCATAATGCTTGCGAAGAGGCCGACACAATATCGAGCGCTCCGGTGTCGAGTATGTTGCCAGGTATCGAGGGCCCCTAGTTGAATGAAGAAGAAAGCCAAGTAGAGGAGGACGACAGCGATGGCTGTCTACCGGTGGGATGCTTTGAGTGAAGTAGGGGACGTTTGGAAACGGGAAACATCGATTTGCGTGTCGTCGTTGATTGCCATCGATTGTACCTGGTTCTCGCGGTGGGCTGCTTTGCCACAAACGGTGGGACTTTCGTTCCCATGCCTGGACAAGTGTCCGCGAGATTGGTCATGAATGTGGGAGGAAGGTAACTGAGATCACCTTCTCGAGTGATGAGGAATCTTCTTCCTCGAATCGTTGTTTCCCAGAACGGAGGTGTCGTTGAGCATTCGCGGTGTAGCCCACGAAAGCTCAAACCTCATCTGGTACTGTACTCTCGCACGCCCAAAGGGTGCTTCCGGCCAGCACATTCAAGTTCATTTCCCAGGACTCAACCTGAGTTCACACCTCACGGACAGCCAATAAAGAGAGCCTTGTGACTGAATTCGCATACGAACTTGTACTGCACTGAAGTTCTACATACTTGCATGCTGAGCGCTTGACTCTGATTCGTGATCACCCACTACTCGTAAGCAGGGATGACGATAGGTCCATCTTTCGGACACTGGGTCTTGGTCTGGTCCTTGGTGTCTGCAGCGGTGTGCGAATCGGGAGGCAGAATGACATAGTCGACACAACCCTGATCGGCTTCCTTCGAGCTTGGCATGAGGGACACCAACATGTTGTCCGTTCCGAATTGGAACGTTGGACCGAACGATGTGAAGACAACCGCCCACGCTGTTACAAATCCGAAACGAAGTGAAAGCGCGATCAGCTGAAGTCCGTCATGTCACCAAATGAAACGTCAAAGAAGGACGAGACTTACACCCATCGTCGTGAGGCAGAAGAGAAACTGACGGATTATCGTCGTCCTGACCAGAGATGGGACCGTCTTGCGAGCTGAAGCAGGCGTACGTGGTGCCCTTTGCACAATCTTTCTTGAAGATGCCGCAGAAATCGTCGTAGCTGAGAGCGGCTCGAGCATGAGCGGCGCTGAAGAGTAGCACAGCACTGCAAAGGAAGAGGAGGGTAGAAAACTGCATGATGTCTGAGAACAAATGTGGCTGCAACAGAGATGTGTAGACTAACGGGAGGAGAGGACAGGATTTGGGGGCTCTTTAAGCTTTTCGCCGAGCCTGCTTCGGCAGACCTTCGTGGGCAATGCTAGGAACTGGGGCTTGATTGTCTTCCCGATGCAACGTCACCACAGGTTGCCACCGTCGTGGCGCTGTAGCCCACATCCCCACTTCTGTAGCTCATAAAGACGTTGAGTGGGCGATCGGAAGGCGCTAAAGTCGCAACAGACACGTATTTTCGACCCACTGCCTGTGTCATCTACTCCGTGGCTCTCCAAAACGTTTGTACCGCCTTTTGATGAAAAGAGGATGTGTGACAGCCGTCAGGATATTCACCACACCCTGAGTCAGTCAACCGGGTTGCTCAGCCGGTGATGGGCTTTTCAATTTCAAACACCCCACAGTCTCTTTGTGCCTTTCCGAGTCCCACCCGAGATTGAGGGGAATTGTCGCCGTCCCTGAAATCTCTGCAACAGGCACCACATGGTCAAGGAGGCGCCAACGAGTTCCTTGCTCAAATCGGGCGTGAATGCTTTTGGTTAAGTCTTGTGTCTTCATAGCCGCACAACCGGAGACTACAGATTCAAAAATGCATTGCAACTGTGAAAGAGTGGACATTGACCGACTGCGAGAAGTACAGTAGCACTTTGCAACTATCTCCCACAAAGCATTGAGGAAGGATGTGACTGATGCTTTGCTAATCCAAGCAACGTAGTGTGGGCGATGCTGCCTAGAGCCTCAAATGAGCGTCTCCCGGACAGAAGTGTCCGACGCGCGTGTCCGCCTTACCCTGCGTGGACGAGATCGTGTACTGTACGCAGGTGTACGGAGACCAATCCGCGTACTTGATCGCGACCATATCGACACGATGTGTCAGCGTCGTGAACCACATCGTGGCACCCGATGCGCCGACCGGAACAGCAATACCTGTATCAATTCGGGACAAAAAAAAAAGCCTTGCTTCGTATCAGTCTGAAATTCCGTTCGTTTTGCCTGGTGGAATCGTGCAACTTACTTCTGAGGTCGTTGGACTGCATCATAACGACACCGGGTGTACTGCTTACGAAGTGAGTCTTGAAGTCGAAAGCGGTGTCGAAACAGATGCCGCCAACAACGGGACGAGCTTGCGGGCTGCAATAACTGTCGTAGCCACCTTGGTACGGGGTGATAAACGCAGCTCGAGTGCAAGCGACACACAGGGAGATGACGAAGAAGAGTGTCGAAAGAGGTGAAGAAACCATTTTAGAGAGGTATATTCAGTTCGAAACGTAGAGCAGATAGGGCATGAGGTGGCTGAGAGGGTCTTGAACAAAGTGAGGAAGTACTACATCTTATACCGTCTGCATGCCCCTTGAGGAACACGCGCCCGCATGCGCATGAACTACACAGCTCGCTCCGGTGGCACTCCAGTCTCAGGACAAAGGTCAGTACCAAAACGTCATCAGCGATCAGCAGCCGAAGTCGGAAGAACCATGCCCGTTCCGCTTTTGGTGGGCTCAGGTGGGCTGCTATTGCGGTCAGGCACACATTCATTCAGCCTTTGTGTCTTGTCCCATTGCTCATGAGACGCCGTTCGAACCCACCAGAAATTTGATACGAAGAAGTTTGATTTTGATACTCGGTGGGAATGCACGTATCAAGCGCAAGAAAGAAACACTTTATGGTCCCGAAGCACAGCCCCTGAAAGCGAAGGTGCAAATTTCATGGAATTCGTGGAAGTAGGACAATATCTGTCTAAGGTCTAAACCCTACCCTCACACAGACACGGCGCCTTGACCAAGGCAATAGTGTCCGGTCCTCGAAGCCGTCTGAGCACCGACGTCCGTAATAGAGTACTGGACGCAGGTGTTGTTTGACCAAGCAGTGTAATCGATCGCGACCATATCAACCCTAACCTTGGTGGTAGTGAAGAATCCGGTGCTGCCTGACAGACCGATGATCACGACGAAACCTGTCGACATGAATTCGCAGAAAACTCGGATGTCAGCTTTGTTCGAATCTGCCATCAACTGTTCCTGCATGCCAACCTACCCTGACCATTGTCAGATGTATAAGCTGTCAGACCTGGTGAGTCTTCCCTAACATCTTCTCTGATGTTGGAGGTCGTCCGGAAGCAGACTACACCAACGCCAGGTGCGGGAGCGTTCGGGCGGCAATAGCTTTGATACACGCCTTCAAACTTGACGAAAGCGGAACCTGGGTCGCCTTGGGCGCCGACGCTCACCAGGGTGACCACCGAGGCTACAAGGGTGAAGATGAGGGATTTGGAGGCTTTCATGCTGAATTAGCGAGCGATTTCGATGTAATCGCAGTAGGAGAGATGGCGGATATGTTTGGATGTCGAGATCGGATGGAACGTTACAATCATGACCAATAAATACAGTAGATCTTGGGTGTAGAAAGCGGCGGGATTTCGTCTCGGCAACCAGAAACGGACAGCCATATGAGATGTGATCTGGTGGCAAGCGCCCACTGCAGGAAACTGATGAAGAACTGTGAACACTGCTGACACAGTTGTCCTGCATTTGGCCGGCGATGTCCCGTCTTGTGGAGCCAACCCACTGTACAGCAACCTCCTTGCTGCTTGCATCTCATCCCGACTTCATACGCACACACGCACGCCACATCGCGTGGCCACGAGATCTGTACCAACTGCGGACACCGCCCAAACGGTTCGTGAGAATGTTGATGGATCCGGCGCGAACTAGCGAGCACAGCTCACACAGGTCGACGGTGTCGAGACCCTTCCTTCGCACGCAGCTGCAAGATCATATCTTCCGCTACGGCCAGCGAATGCCTCGTCGTGCTCGACCTTTCCACCGCTGCGACCGGCGCCGATTGAACTGAGTTGCCTGACTCGAAGCCGTCGTTGCTAGCGGACGCAAGGGAATCCGCTCTTTGCGATCTTGCCAAGGAGATTGCTTGTTCGTACTTTGCGGACCGCTTGATTCTCCGCGCAAAGTCCGAGTCGGTATCGCTCGACTCTCTTTGGTTCGACTTGCTCCGCTGCGCCGCCGATGAAAGCGTCGGTCCATTATCGGCGACATTTGATTGACGCCGACTGCTTTTACTCGCGGAGTTGATCCCATTTCGAGGTGCGTGCACTGCCGAGACGGATGAGGTGGAAGACTTCAACGCGAGGGAGAACCGGCTTTGATCGCTGACGCTGGTCGAAGTGGGCGTGGCTGCAGCGACCACAGCAGCCGTTCTAGCCCTTCGCGAGCCCGCTTCTTTCGAAGGCGATTCAGCGTCCAGCATAGGCATCGCGTCGTCGTGAAGGAAAGTGGATGAACCAGTCGATCCAGCCGCAAAATTTGCTTCCAGATGTCGCGGCACCGAAGTGCCTCGTCGAGAGAAGCTCGGCTCTCTTTGACCGGATCTTCCTGGACGCGGTGTCATGTCTTCTGCGACGACATGCGAGGAAGGGCGAAGGGACAAGCTTGTTCTCGGTCGTGGAACCGACATTGCGAAGCTGGGGCTTGAACTTGCAGATGCGTTGGCGCGGAACGGAGATGACGAGTGTGCCGCAGAGGGAGAGGAAGATTCCATTGAGCGATTGGCGGCCGAGGCCAACGAGCGCAGACGGTGGGTCGAAATGCTTCCAGCACCAAATCTGGCAGCAGCGCGGAACTGTCTTGTCGCCTTCACGATATCCTTCCACTTATGCCAGTGCTGGCGCACAAGCCGTTCTCGAATCATCCTGGTCGCCTGATTAGACATCTGAGCAGCGGGCAGATGCTGCTGCCACCGCTGCAAAGCATTGTGCTTGAGCGAAGCGTTGCGCATTCTAATGGCGGGCAATAGAGGCGTCCGAGCCTTCCACGCCTCGAGCACCCATCGCTGCGACAGCTGCTGACGTCGCAACAGCATATGATACTCCTGCATCGCCAGCGCGCGTTCCTTCAATTTGTCTCTCCAATTGTTCCACGATGTAGCGAGCATCCTCTCCCGTCTCGAGGCTTCCAATGCTTCTGCTTTTTCTCGTCTGTCCTTCTGCTCACGCGCGAAAGTTAGCCAGTGAGCAAAAGTTTGCCTCTTTCTCTCCTCCTCTTTGACATCGATGTAGCTGTTCATGAGCGCCAACTGATCGTCGTGCCGCAGACAGGCTTCGATCCATGCGTACAGAGCAGCTTTGAGCAAGCGCCGCTGACGCTGCTCTTTCACCTCCAACTCCCTGTTACGCACCTCGATGATCTTGGCGACCCACTGCTGGAGGTAAGCTCGAGCGAGTTTCTCGTTGCTCTCAGCGAGCGAGGTCCGCAGTAATGCAGCCAAGCGTTGCTGTTTGGCTGCCTTTGATCTCCAAATTTCGAACACTTGCTCGACCAGACGCCGATTGTGAGCTGCTTCTTTGTTGTCAGCACGTTGAGTGCGAAGCCTTGATCGCCACTGATGCATCCCAGACCGAAGCGTGAAGTAGTCAGAGACAGCTTCCGACTTTTGACGAAGGAGACGATGCTGGAGCTGTTTGTTTCTCCACGTGATGAAATATCCGTTACAGATCGTCTTGCTCCGTTTAGCCTGAGCCTCTTCTTCCCTCTGTTGGAACCGCGTGGCGAGTTGCCTCCATCGACCGATACACGTAGCTTTAATGCGCTCCTGGCGGCGCTCGACAATGGTGGACTCGCGTTGCTGCAAGCTCGTTACCAGCGAAGTATAGCGATGCTTCCAGTGAGAGAAGGTGCTCTCCAGTGCAGATGAGGTACGGACGCGCTGGAGGAGAGCAGCGCGCGACAGCAATTGCCAGTGATGGAAGTGTGATTGCATGTTGTCCGTCTGGATGCTGCCGTGCATCTGAACGGCTTGGTCTTGCATACTTAGGATCTTCTGGCTTGAAAGGCGCCAGGCGATGAAAGCGGTCTGCTTGACTCGTCGCGTGCGCCATCGTCTTGCAAGCGCCTCTTGCTTGCGATGCTGCTGTCGTTGAGCAAGGACCTGCTTCCAGCTGTCGAGCGCTGCAAGCTTGAGCCGTCGCTCAGCAAAAGCGCGAGAGAGACCAGACAGCAAGGTCCGCTCCCGCCAAATGTGCAGCGACTCTACGAGCAAAAGCCGATCGCGATGCTGTTGAAATTGATGCATCGCTCTGGCCTTCTCCGAACGATCAGACCATCGCTCGAAAGACTGGGACAGAATCAAGCGGCTTTGCTTGATCTTGGTGATCTTTTCTCGTGTCTGGAGCTCTTGCGTGTGGTCAGAGCGTAGTTGCCACAGAGCAAAAGCACCACCTTGAAGATGATGGCGTCGAAAGCCGTCAGCGAGGTGACACATGTGGTTGTGCTTCCAGAGATTGAAGGCAGTCCTGGTCATCCTCATCTTCACGGCTGCTGTTGTGGTATAGTAGGCAGAGCGCATCGAGCCCTTTTTGAGCTCTCCCTTGCGCTCTCTGGCAACATTTGTGAGGCGTTTCCATGTCCGGAAAGCGGTGAGTGTGCAACGGACTCGATCCGTCCTTTCGCCAGCACGCCTGCCCTGCAGGTCTTGCTCGTCCTGTGCTCTCCATCGCTCCCAGGCTTTTTGCATTGTGACGCGAGCGCTGGCATCAGCTGCATTCTGGCTCATTTCGAGTTGTTTGCGGGTCAAAGTGATCCACCAAGCCAAGCAGGTCTGAAGCAATCGGCGCGCTCGCCACAATCCTGCCATCTCCTGCAAGTTGTCTACAGCCTTTTGCTCGTGTCGTTCCTGTTGGGCACCTCGAGACTGTCGGAGAGTCGCTCGAGCGGATTGGGACGAGCGGACGAGCTCATCGAAGCGTCGCTTGGCATCTGCTGGCAGACGGACAGCGTCTGTCTGCGTTCCGCACACGCGACCATCGTTTCCGAAGTTCAACGAGTGGTGTGGAGAGTTGCTCAAGCCGATGTGGTCGCCAAGCTGATCTGCCTGCATCATGCGCCTGAGCCGAAGTTGAATCGCGGAGATGGGATCGTCCGTTGGAAAATGAGCGGGCAGTGCCTCGTCCTCTTGAGCAAGCTCGTCGTGCAATAGCCGGTGGGAATATGGCGGTGACCGCGGCTCAGGTGGCGGGCTGCTCGATCGTGGTGAGCCGAGGTCGTATCGAGAAGCCAAGACTGTGCGACGTTCTTGCGTCTGGCGCGGCGTATAGGCTGGAGTCGGATCGGCCGATTTCCTTTCAGCTCGAGAACGACGCTCAAATGACTGATCCCATCCGTGATCAGAGTTCACGTCGGCACCATGCTGAGTCGAGCTGCCCGTTGCGCTTCGACTGGTGCTCTGCGTTACCGCGCTGAGGTCAGTTTCGTCGCCACTGTTCGGATCGAGGCCGAAAGCAAGACGCACCGAGTCCCATCGTTCCCGCCAATTCCTCCCGCGAACCTTGACGAAGCTGAGCAAGATAGTCCATAGGTGAGCATCCCAGTCCACTTGAGCAGGCCCACGAGACGTACCCGCTGAACGATACCTGCGATCAAGCTCGCTCGGCAGCTGCGCGGTGTAGGCTGCTTTGAGCTGCGAAAAGTCAGCAGCCTGGGACGGCAATGAGGCTACGAGCCGGTCGAAGAAATCTATGTCTTCGTCCGTCAGCGTTTTGAAGGCTTGATTGATCGAGAAGCGAGAAGAGACTGATGGTGGCGTCGTTGACGTCGAGACCGTGGAGCGGGACGAGCTCGCGATAGAAGCGGCGGTTCGGGAAGCGGACGAAATGGATGCTTGCATGGGCGACTGCGACAGCGGTGATGGGTTTGCAGGTCGATGCACGGATTCGCGCAAACGAGCTTCTCGAAGGTTTTGTCTAAGTTGTCCAAGACTAGACGATCCATCGAAACGTGGGGTCCCGAGATGGTCCACATCGTTCCTGGCATGATTGAGACCATTCATGGTGATCATGTGTGTGTTTCAGGATCAGACTGCGCTGATAGGATCATGTTGACTCGACATATGGCAGCGTCCCATTGAGGTGAGGATGTCGAGAGGTGATAGAGAGAGAGATGTTGAGTCGTCACAAGAGCATGTATGCAAAGCGCACGGATGGATCCCGAGATGACAAGGAATACGTTCCAGCTGGCCGTGGGAACCTCCGTCGGGGAAAGGATCAAGCTCGGAAGCCGAGAATCGGTGGCTGGACACTGTCTGATAGTCGAGGAGGGATGATCTGGTGCTCGTGGTGGGCATGTGAGCTTGTCGGCGCCGTCCGATGACGGTAGCACCCAGTCGAGCTCGATGGCGAAGCAAAAGTCAAAAAAGAGTGCCAACTGAATGCGAGCAGCCTGCAGCAGGGCTCCGCCTCCACGCTCCGAAAGACCAACACTTTTCTTGGTGCCGTGGACTCGCTTCTTGTCTGTCTTCGAGGCGTTGGCTGCAGCAGTCGCGTCGCGTGCCGATCCAGCAAGCTTCATCGTGGCCCGATTCGCAAGATACCCGACAGGACCATTCCTTGCCTTTGCCTTTCACTTTTCCGGCTAAAGCTGATTTCAAATGTTGCGAAAATCGAGAGGGGCCAAGGGCAAGAAGAACGTGCCTACACCACACGCGCTGCAAGGTGGAACGACAACCCTTTTGTTCATTTTTGGAAGAAAGTTCAACACGAGCCACAAAATTTCCCGCAAAAATTCTCTGAAAATTTCACCTCCGAGCAGCGACGCTGTGTGGCAGCAGCCCTGATCAATTCGCTACGCTACCGTGCCGTACGGTGCTGCTGGAGCACAAGGAACAGCTGCCGTTCAGATCCTCGTCGAGCTGCTTGGTGCACCCATCCTCCTTACTCTCACCACCGCGTGTATCGACAGTTCGGACTCCATCTGTTGAAGTACAGGGTCACCTACCTCGTTTCGTGTTTCGTTGTCCACTACCACTCCCTGTTCCGGTCCCTCACGACGCCTTTCACCCACTCCGGCTCTTGCCTGAACATCAACGGCTCCTCAACCCGCGTGTCGCTCACATCTGGCGATTCTGTGGCTGTTGCTTTCATTCACTGATACCCCTCAAACAGGATCGATCTGGATCCAGGACACGTGCTCCTTTTACCTTTCGAAGTCTCCCCAAAAGCACACTTAGACGCAGAAACCATGTCTGGCGCAACACAGGCTCTTGAAGCCCTCTACAAGGCACCCTCCGCAGAAGAATGCTACGTCGCAGCAGAACAGCTCGCCGAATCCATCAACCACAGCAGCCTTCGCGTTCTCCAATCCGAAGGCGTCCTCGACAGCCTCGTCAAGGCGTCCAAGAACAAGAAGAGCGGTTACGAGCGTGAAGCTGCCGCCATCGGCCTGGACGCCATCTTTGTCAAGGTTGGCGGCAAAAATGCTCCCACTCCTCTCGGTGCGGAACCATGGCTCCTCCACACCCTTCCTGCCATTCTCGAACTCTACGCGGACAAAGGTGATGTCGTCCGTCAAGCCGCCGAGACCGCTGCTGGCTCGCTGCTTTCCTTGGTCCCTCCCGAGGCAGCTCCCGAATTCCTCGGTGTCCTCTACGAAGTGCTTGGATCCGGTAGTGCAAAATGGCAGGCCAAGGTGGGCGCACTCAAGCTGATCGGCCGTCTCAGCGGTTTGGCCAGCGAGCAGGTCGGCGACGAGCTCGTCGAGCTCATCCCATACCTCACCAAGGCCATGCACGAGACCAAGGCCGAGATCTCCAAGCAGGCACGTAAAACCGCCATCAAGGTCTGCGAGTCGTGCCTCGACAACAAGGACATCCGACCATTCATCCCCGATCTGGTGGGCTGCATGGCTCAGCCCGACGCCGTACCCGAATGCATCAAGAAGCTGTCCGGAACCACTTTTGTCGCCGAGGTGACTGGTCCCGCATTGGCCGTCATGGTTCCTTTGCTCGCTCGTGCACTCAACGAGCGAAGCCAGAACGTTCAGCGACAGGCCGTCGTCGTCGTCGACAACCTCTGCAAGCTCGTTCGCGACCCGCACGAGGCCGCCAAGTTCTTGCCCGAGCTCACTCCCGGTGTCGAGCGCATCGAGAAGGGGGCCAGTTTCCCCGAGGTGCGTGAGCACGCAAAGAGCGCTCTCGACACACTCACCGCCGCCACCGCTGCTGTTGGTGAAAATGCCACCACCGAGGACCCCAAGAAGATCTTCGAGCAGCAACGCAACGCCGCCCTCGACGCCGTCATTGCGGCTGTCCAGCCTTACGTGCCCGAAGAGCACGCCAACCTCAAGAGCGATGCATTTGCGCTCACGGGCCTCGAATACTTGGCCAAGCTCATCGTTCGCCTTGCCGACAAGCGCGTCCTCCACGCTAGCGCATGGGACGACGTCTATGTTCAGCCATACCTCCGTCGAATTTGCAAGGATGCCGAGGCTGCTCAGACCGCCACCGCCGACCTGCGCAAGACCTACATCGAGCTCGACAAGGCCCGCTTCGGCAACTCTGAAGAGGAGGATGACGACGAAGCCGGCGAGTGCCTCTGCCGTACCGAGTTCTCGCTCGCCTACGGTGGTCTTCTGCTACTCAACCACACTACCCTCAAGCTCTACCGCGGTCACCGATATGGTATCGTGGCTGCCAACGGTAGCGGCAAGTCGACCCTGCTCAAAGCCATGCGCGATGGCAAGGTCGAAGGCTACCCTTCGCAGGACGAGGTTCGCACGCTCATGGTCGAGCACAGTCTCCAGGGTGAGGACGGTTCCACCCCCATCATCGACTTTATCGCCAACGACAAGAAGTTGGTCGGCAAGTCGCGCGAGCAGGTTGCCGAAAAGCTGCGCGAAGTAGGCTTCGACGACGAGAAGCAACAGAACCCTGTCTCGTCGCTCTCCGGTGGTTGGAAGATGAAGCTCGAGTTGGCACGTGCCATGCTCTCGGACGCTGTCGTTTACCTGCTCGACGAGCCCACCAACCACTTGGACGTCGCATCCATCGCCTGGCTCGAAAATTTCCTCGTCACCAACAACCAAATCACCGTCGTCACCGTCTCGCACGACTCGGGCTTCCTCGACAATGTCTGCACCGACATCATCCACTACGAGAAGAAGAAGCTGCGCTACTACAAGGGCAACCTCTCGGACTTTGTCGCGACCAAGCCAGAGGCCAAGGCTTACTACTCGCTCGCCGCAACGACGGTCAAGTTCACCTTCCCTCCTCCCGGATCGCTCATGGGTGTCCGCTCCAACACGCGTACCATCCTCAAGATGTCCAACTGCACATTCACATACCCTGGCATGACCAAGCCGTCGCTCAACGACACATCTTGCGCCATTAGCCTCTCGAGCCGAGTCGGTGTGCTCGGTCCGAACGGTGCCGGTAAGAGTACGCTGATCAAGGTGCTCACCGGCGAGACGGTCCCGCAGCAAGGTAAGGTGGAGAAGCACCCCAACCTGCGTATTGCCATGATGGCGCAGCACGCCTTCCACCACTTGGAGCAGCATCTCGAGAAGACAGCTGTCGAATACATTGCATGGCGATACCAGGACGGCCACGACCGAGAGATGACCGAAAAGGCGTCGCGCAAGATGACGTCCGAGGAGAAGGCGCAGATGGAGACCCCCATCAAGTCCACCACTGGCGAGTCGCGCAAGGTCGAGTACATTGTGGGACGACAGAAGCTCAAGAAGTCGTACCAGTACGAGATCAAGTGGGTCGGCTACGAGCACCGCAACAACTCGTGGATCCCGCGCGATCGTCTGCTGGAGCTTGGATTCAGCAAGCTCGTGCAGCAGTTCGACGACTTTGAAGCATCGCGAGAAGGTGCCGGCTCGCGCGAGATCAGCGTCAAGCTCATCCGACAGCACCTCGAGGCTGTCGGTTTGCAGGGCGAGATTGCGCAGCACCACGCTGTGGGAGGCTACTCGGGTGGTCAGAAGGTCAAGGTGGTACTGGCAGCTGCCATGTGGAACAACCCGCAATTGCTGGTGCTCGACGAGCCGACCAACTACCTGGATCGAGACGCGCTCGGTGGGTTGGCCACCGCCATTCGCGACTGGGCGGGTGCTGTGGTGATCATCTCGCACAACATGGAGTTCGTCGGTGCCCTTTGCCCCGAGATCTGGAACGTCGACCACGGACGCATCATCTCTAGGACCAAAGCTCAGCTGGCTGAGGGTGCGTTCTTGGACGAGATGGAGAACGCCTCGACGCCTGGCGCTTCTGTGCCCGGCACACCCATGCCTGGCAGCACTGCCGCTTCTCGCCTCGCATCCAAGGCGGGCACTCCCGCTTCGTCCGCAGCGCCTACACCGGCAGGGTCAGGCGACGAGGGAGACCAAGATATGTCCAAGTTCAAAGCCAAGAAGGGAAAGAAGAAGCTCACGCGTAACGAGAAGAAGGCGCAGGAGGAGCGTCGTCGTCTGCGCCTCAGCCGGTGGCTCACGTACGGTGGCGACCGCGAACCCGACACCGACGACGAGTAAGCGCGCTCACTTGGATTGCCTGTCACGACACATTGACCGTTTTCGCACATACATAGAGTTCCCCCGTAGCAGCAGCATGGCTCCGAGTAACATAGATCTAAAACAGTTTCTTCCAAAGAAAGCCAAAGGTGTGCAGGACCCCGATTTCATTTGGATCGGCCGTCGCTTCAATGAGATTCTGACGATACAAACGGCTGATGAGAGGAATCACCGTGATAGAACACGACTGCATGGTCTACAGTGTTAGCGAAATGTCAAAAGTCGGAAGCTGACGACATCAGCTGAACGTTTGCGAAGCTCTCATCGTTACGGTGGGGGAAAAAACAAGTGACGAGATGCAAATGAAAGCGCACCACGAGAACGGAATCACTTAATTCGCCGAAACCTTCTCGGCTGCATCCCTGCTTGCAGGCTGGTTGATGGAATTACATCTCTAATCAAGCTTTCCTTATCGAGCCAATCAGAGCGCGTGATTTTCAATCCCAACGGAGCGGATCGTCGGAAGTTCAAGATGCTTGCTTAGGAAGAGGGGAAAGACTTTCTGTCTTCTGTTTGAGCTAGACGAGGTCGAACTGGACATGTCAACACTGGAGTCGATGCAGTGTGTCAGAGGCAAGCGATGCCGGGGGTTTTCAGGTACCACAGTGGAACTAAATCACGGACGGAGTTGATGAGACAAAGCTCTGTTCTGGATGTACAAGACCGACAGTTGAACGAGCCGGAATTGACGGTGATTCGGTCGGGGTTTTCTGGTGGTCTGTTGACAGAGAGCCGAGAAGCAGCTCGCTCGGTCAAGACCGGGATCCACCGTTGCTGATGACAATAGACGAAGGTAGTGATGACGGTCACCGGTCTTCTCGAGCACTTCGCTTAGGTGCCTTTGTCACTTCGTCACTGGTGTCGGTGTTGCAAGCATTCAGACACACCAACAGCGCAAGGAAGCCCCGTGACCGTTGTGCAGAGGCGTTGTTTTGCTTCATCGCTCTGTACAGTAATACCATCTTATTGATATATGAGGAGCGACATAGTCCAGACCGAACTCGGACCGTTGTGAGATTCATGGCTGACCGCAGTGCGGCTATACGGCGGCGCAGGCGGGAGGCAAGAAGCATTCGGCGCCTCCGCCGTCAAGATATGCGATCTAATCGATTCGAGCCAATCATGCGTAACACAGTCATCGCGTCGGAAATCCTATTGGCTGGCGAGCATGTGGTTGAGCCGTGGCAGAGTCATATTGAACCGCTCGACCTCGTGGGTGGGACGCTCGCTCTCTCAGGTCGCCTCCGGAAGATTGACCGGAACCGGAAACGCAAAGAGATGGCCTCGAGGCGCTTTCCTGCCGCTCGTCCTTGCTAGGCAGCAGAGTTTATTTTAGTTCGTCTTCACCTGCCGCTCCTAGTGCCGACACGCCTGTACCTGCAGCCTCTTCTTTTGATCCGACATCGTTTGAGGACTCCCTCGTTGATGGCATCCGGTGCATCCCTACTCAGAGACTGTTCGGTTGCTCGTTAGGGAGGAGAGCGTTCCTTGCAAAGAAGATCTTCCGAGCCACTGTTTCACTGCAGTGAATGCGAGTGACGATCGATGACAGTCACGCCGACGGGTTTCGTGGCGTTCGCTTCGCTTAGATCGCCCTCCGTCACTGACCAATACAATGTCAATAAGCGCTCACCAGTACATTGTCGGCTCGAGCAGCTCGACGGCTCGATGTTGGAGCAAGTTGGAGGCTTGCATGACTCCGACCAGAGCAAGATCTCAACGAAGCAAATCGGTCGCGAAGCTCACCTTCTTGCAGGCCTTCAACTTTATAATAAAATAAAATTGAAAAATCCGGATTTCTTCCGAGCAGGCCGTGCTCGCGGTTTGGCCGACGCCACGACTTTTTTTGCTGGGCGGCGCGAGCGAGCAAGCGTTATTTCAACCCGTGAATCTGGTCAACAAAGGCAGTCCGGTGGAGCCGACCGCGTCTGACCGGTAAGGCATCACTTCTCTCTGCGTGGGCTCTGGCCTTTTCTGTGCTGCCGCGGATCTCATTTCATCGCCCTCGAGTTTGGCATTCGAACACTGTTGGAGATCATAGCCGGGACCTAAGTTGATGATGGTTGCGTTACATGGCTTGGCACCTGCTCGCCTGCTACAATATCCCGTTAGTGTCGTTAGGACCGAAAACCCTTGGACCATGCACTTCAACCTCCTGTTCTCACGAGCCATCTGGATTTCAGTGTCCGACCGTGTCTTGTTCGATCGCGTACACCGTGCCCGTCGGACCGCACGAACACCCACGTCGTAAGTTTCCCCTTCGATCATAGAAGGCTAGAGCTTTGCTTTGCAAAGTGTGTGAATTGCGAACCGATGTTTCGTCCTTCGCATTGTGGCACACTGTTGGTTTGGGAGGTAACGCTGACTCTGAAAGACGAAGGCGACAAGACAGCACCTCAAGTGCCATTGATGAGCTCGGAAGAGGGTGACCGCCCACGCTCGTTCATCAACCGTCAGTCCACGTCTTCTACGAGCAAAAAGGCAGGTCAAAGCGTTTGTGTTGGAGGTTGCGTCGAGATCGGAGGGCGTGCCGATCAGCACCCTGCGCAGAACGCGACCAGCCATCAACCTACATAATCGCTCGCACCACACGCGTGGGCGTTGCTCCCAGTCCCTTTGAAAAGTCGCTGGCCTCCGCTATACCCCTCTTGAAGCCTCGTGCAACCGTCTGACTTCTTAGCAACAGGTCGATTGTCATCTTCGTAATATACTACTTTGTTTTCCCCGGGTGGTCCGCAACAAGTGGCATCTTGTCTGTGCTGGAGCCTTCGAAGCCTTCAAGCCAGAAGCGAACCGAATTCGGATCGATCTACACAGTTGGAAAGTCGGTCTGATCTGCAGGTGACATTGCCGGCTCGCCCGCTCTCTCTGACCGCTTTTCGGTCTTTTCCATTGTGCGGCAAACAGAGACTTATTTAAAATACAATTTTATGATTTATGAAAAGAAAGCTTTGCGGTGACTGTCCCGACCAGCAGCCTGCCGCCTCGCCTCGCCTGTGCTGCAACTCTTGGGACCCACATGCAATTTCCTCATACGCGAAGCACTTTACGCAGAGCACTTCGGAAGCTGAGAGTGCAAGCTGCAGCTTCTCTGGCTACTGTAGCCGTGTGCTTGGTTTCTCTGTCTCGCTCTCTCACGCCGGCCCCACCGTTGCTTGTCGACCCTTGAACGCAGAAAGCAGGTAGCTGAGCCTGTCTCAATCGGTCGTTGCTGCGTGCCGCCCACCCTCTCATCCCACGCTCTTATGCTCTTTCCGTCACCACCCCTTGTCTGCCCTCCCTCGAGCCTCTTTTCGCTTGCTTCCGAACGTCACAGTCAGACTTGGTCATTGCGTCTGCAATTTCAACTTGCTCGACTTTTTGGATTTGGCGGGTTCGGTCAGTGTTGCATCTCGCTTTCCTGCCTGTTCAGCCACCGCTCGGTGCCATTCGGTCGTCGCCATCCTCGTCCACCCCCATCCTCATCCCCATTCCGACTTACGGCAGCTGCCTGACTCGACCACACTCTACGCACCTCTCCCGCCTTCACCGTCCCACCTCGCTCTGCGACAAAGCAAACGCCACCTTGTCGCGACCGTGCGTATCCGTCCAACGCATTTCCTTCGCCGGTAGAACTATCGATCGAACTCTCCTGCGACACCCTTTGGCTAAGCCCATCTACACACCGGTTTCCGCCGATCCTCATCCGCCTACACTGGTAAGTTGATACTGGTTTCTTTCCTTGTTCTTTCCTTGCCAATCTTCGACTCGATCATACATTGCATCCACACGCACAATCCTCTTCGTCAACTCCGAGTTCCATCAGCATTGTCATCGCACTCGCATCACCGTACTCGATCGTTACGCCGTCCTCACCAGCTTAGACAGCTCTGATCGCGATCGAATGCCTCGAGGAACGGTCTATTTTCATCTTCGTCCCCTGCAATCTTGGCGGGCGCTCGTCTCACCATCTCAACCCAGCATCGGCCCTAAGCTACACGCAACCAGGGCATCTTCCACAACGATTACAATTACCGCCTTTCGGACGCTGCTCGTTTCCGTGATCAGCGCAGTGTTCTCTGCATTAGCCTTGCCGCGCTTTTCGAGGAATCCCCGCCGGGCGACAACCTCATCATCATTGCCCAGGCTCGACTCTCATCTTCTTTCCTCAACACTGATTCGGTTCGCGAACATCTTTACTGATCCGTTGCTGCATCTACCTTCACCTTCTCTCCGCATGCTCCACTGGACATGCAAACCGACTCGATTCCTCTTTGATATCTTTGCTGCCCGCATTGTTCTCACTTTGATCAAACAAACGTCGACCTCATCTGGTCGCTCTTCTCTATGCTTCGGCCCTTCCCTCACCTCCCTGGCACCCCACCCCATTCCGGCAACACAACGCCGCTTACAGAGGAAAGCCATTCCTTGAACAAAAACCATTTCGGCATCGACGCTTGGTCTGACAACCGAAACCCAGCCACAGATCAGATATCGGATACAACCGTGACTACCAATCAACATTCTCCGTCGTCGCAGCATCGCACCATCGCTCAAAGTCTTCAGCAGATAGGCAACGGCAGCATTCGGTCCGCTGCGCCCCTCTCCTACTACGACCCGGGTGAGAGCAAACCTCCGACTCCTCCCGGGGCTGAAGCGCAGCATACTCCTTCCATCGGCGATAGCCGCATCGCCATTGCAGGCCCCATGTCGCAAGGTCCGCCGTCAATGTCGCTGCTCTCGCAAGCTATGCAGCAGCATCTCGCGCGTCAGCAGATGGACGCAATCCCGGGCGCTGATCACCAGGCGTCACAAAGCGCAGCTCACACACCCAGCGGGTCGGCACTGCCATCGCCGGCATTCCCCGGTCCGGGCTCGCCATTCGCTTTCAATGGACAACATGGCCCTGATGGCGGCATGAGAGCACCTATGCCGCAGCAGAATAGCTTTGGAGCCGCCGTCTCTCAAATGCCCCCACCGTTCGGATCCTATGTGAGCCAAGGCCACAATCGCCGTCCAAGTGGATACGCAACCAACCCGCATTCTGCTGCACCCAGCGCTGGCCCATCCCGGTCCTCTTCGCCCACACGAGGTCCGCATCCCATCAGTAATCCTCCAATCGACGCATCATCCCATCCTATTGGCATGCCACACAACTCGCATAGCCTCGCCCAGAATCAATTCCCGAATCAGGGTGCAATGGCCCCAGATTACAGCTCTACCTTTGGATCTCAGCGCACCGTCAATGGATTTATTCCATCTTCCCATGGTGCTGTCGCTCCAGGCATGTCCACGACCCCTGGTTCGTGGACCAACCAGGCGGGTATGGGGTTTGCACCAACGCAGCAGAATTCGTTTCTTGCTCAGCAGAATTCGATGGTCCCTTCGGTAGGATTTCAATCGGCCGTTCATGGGCAGTCTCAGCAGCAGCAGCAGCAGCAACCTCTGCTGCACCTGTCCCAGCCACCGTCACAATTCAGTAGCTACCGAGGTGCACCGGACGCGCTGCTTTCGCCTGAAACGGCCTCAACCGACTTTGGCGGCTTCTTTCCCGCTCCAAATACCTCAACACAGGGGGCCCCAACGCAGACGTCTGGCGGAATCAGCCGTCAGTCGACAGCGGGGACGCGATCAAGGCAGAGCACCGGCTTCACCGACGAACTCAGCAGCATGGCAGCAGCGGTCCCTGGCAATCTCAACTTGAGTCGGCGGGGGTCTGCCGGAGCCGAGGACGCTGAGGAGGACGAAAGCTTGGACCCGGAGGAAATGTCCAAGAAAGACCCGCTTGCTACGCAGGTCTGGAAAATGTACGCCAAGCAACGATCGCAGCTCCCCAATGGTGCACGTATGGAGAACATCACATGGAGGATGATGGCAATGACACTGCGCAAGAAGGAACAGGAGGCCGCTGAGGCCAGGCTTGCGTCGGGGGCACAGTCCAACGCAAGTCAAAGCCAGGTCTCCAGCGCCCGTCACTCGCCAACGCTCTCGACAAAGTCGGGTCCAGGCTCTCGAAGGAGCAGCGGATCCTTCCCAGGCGAAGCCTTTGCAGGGGGATTCACAGCCATCCAGGCAAGTGCAACGGGTCCCACCGACCAGCATTCGCGCACCAGCAGCAATGCCGCAAAGGGCAAGACGCGATTCGCGGAAGTGATCCAACAGGAAGAGGAGGAGCGTGGTAGGCGGGGCCGCAGCCCCAGAACGCCAGAGAGCACTGCACCACCCGCAGGGGCCGTCGACATCGTGGATTGGAGGATGAAGAGCAAGAGCCGTTCGCGCTCGCGCTCTGTCAGTGCCATGGATGTGGACTGGCGGGGAGTCAGCCGATCGCGCTCTCGTGCGCCCGTACGTCTGGATACGATCCAGGACGAAGGCACACCGGACGGAAACAACATGTTCAGCCGATCTGCTCCCAACGCAAACGCTACATCCGCCTTCAACTTTGCTGACCTCGCAGCATTCGACGACAGTGATGCTTTCGGCGCGTTCGACAGCGCACTTGATACAGACGACTTTGCCGATCTGCTCAAGTCCAATGAAAGTCTGCAAGCGCCCGGCAGTATGGCGCCCGGTACTGCTGGCAACTTTGCGGTAGGATCCTCCGGCCCTGGAAGCTCCAAGAGGACCGCCAGCGCCGTACGAAAGGCTCAGATACAGACCGCTTTCCATAACGCCGCTCACACTGACTTGTTTGGCGCGGATCTCGATGCTTGGTACGAAGCAGAAGCGTCGTCGAAAGCGGCCGATGGAAAGAAGTCGAGCCTCGACATGGCTTCCATTGGAGCGGCCAACAGCTTTGGTGCTCCCTTCTCGACCCTAGACAGCATCCCCGGCATTGGCGACTTTGTCGGTATCGCCGCTAATCAACACCCTGAATACGGTTTCCTGCCTCGATTGGTGCGAAAGACAAGTTTCGACCACAAAGTCAAGGAGAGGAGTATTTCGCGCGGCCCCCGCCGTGACCAGTTGGCCGCAGAGGCGATGAACAACCGCAAACGTCCATTCCGAGACGACCTCTCGCCCGTCAGACCGGCCCTACAGATGCCCATCACCATGGACCAGCGCGTCGCCGCGGGACTCTCGCGCAATATAGCTGCGCTTGGTGGACGCGGGGCAGGTCCATCTCAGCTTTCAAATCTGCCAATGTCTTCGTTCGACTTCGCGGTCCCGCTCCCTGGAACTGTCAATCATCAGCAGATGCCTTTCGGCGCAGGCGGTCCGATGTCAGGTCCCAACCAGCGCGGACAGACAGGCGCGACCGATTTCGATAGCCTGCTCGAAACGCTGACATCGCAAGCTGGTACTCCGCTCGCCAGCCCTGCGGCAAATCTGATGGCAGGCGCCAGCGCTTCGCCTCAAGGAGGACTCGGCAGCGGCTCCGGCGCTTCCCCTGTGCAAAACACAGCTGGATCCGGCGGCGGCATGGTCGGCAACCTTCCACCAGGTGCACAGAACTCATCCGACCTGGAGGCGATCATGAACATGTTCTACAACTCAGACGCCGGTCTGGGTGGTCCGCAACCGTCGTTCACGCACATCAATCCCAACCAGGTCTTTGGCGGAGGTCCACCGGAGGCCATGTCCGGCTCGCTCGGTAATCTCACGGGATCAGGCGATGAGGGATCTTCCACCTGGACCTACAGTCCTTCCAGCAGTGGGCCTTCGAATGCAGCTACGCCCCCTGGATTGCAGCAGTCGCAATACCAGTCGTCTCCGCTGGCGAATGCTTACCGCCGCGAGCCTCAACTCGCCCCAGAGACGTCTGGAGCCGCATCCTCGAGGTCGAATGCTTCGCCCAGCATGCAGGCCATCCAGAAGGCTGCAGCGCTCAGCGAGGCGTCTCGCAGGATGCCAAATGGGTCGGGAGTTGCGTCCGGTGCAGCCAACGGCATGCACTCACGATCGGCGTCTGGAAGCGGGCCGGTCAACCTGAAAGATCTCCCTTCAGCGAGCTCCATGGCAACTGCGGATCCACCCACCGTCTGTTCCAACTGTCACACGACCAAGACACCCTTGTGGCGACGTGATCCGGAAGGCCAGCCGTTGTGCAATGCCTGCGGTCTGTTCTTGAAGCTTCACGGCGTAGTTCGTCCGCTGTCGCTCAAAACAGACGTCATCAAGAAGAGGAATCGTGCAAGTGGAGCTCAGCGCGCTGACGCTAGGGGTCGTGCTTCGATCAGCGGCAGTAGCGGTGGTCATGCCAACATCGCTCCTGCCGGTGGACACGGTGGTCCTGGCGGTAATGTCGGCAAGAACGGCGCGACTCCGGGACCGCAGCAAGGTGGTCCAAACTCGTCTGCATCAGGCGGACGAAGCAGGGCCAACACGAATGGGTCGGTAGCTGGGATCAGGACGGGCAACGTCCCCATCGCACCAGCTCCCACTCCACCGGTCTCTTCGCCCGGCAGTACTGGGCTGTCAAATGTCAAGGTCGAGATGAAGCGCCAGCGAAAGTGAGGATGCTTCGACTTCGCATTATGTTCAACATTTCTGATTTGTGTAATTGCAATGACTTTCTTGCTTGTTTTTGGAAGTGTGTGAGTGGCAGAGACATATATGCTCCAGAGTAACTTTGATCAGGTGTCGTTACAGAGCTTGGCTGTGCATGATGACTTACTCTGGTGTTGTAGCGACATCTGTCTCTTCCTCGCATTTCGTCTATGTGCGATTGATGGATTGAACAATTCAAATAACTGATGACCGCACGGTTCAGCGGCGTCTTCTTTGAGAAGCTTGGACCCGACTCCACACGACCTTGGCCATATCAATTCGATTCTTCACCACCACATGACTCTTCAACCAGGTTGCCGCCATCGGTAGCCGCAATACTTCTTCTCGCAGACTCTGTGCCCTTGCGGACAGCCTGCGGAAGTGGAGACAAGTCCCCGGTCGGTCACAGCCGTGCGTGGGCCTGTTAGACACCACGGTCTAAACCAACATGGCACAACGTCCACGTTCGGTGCCTGGCGGCGGCGACTTTCAAGCAGCACCGACGCCCTCGCCCATCGGAGGACGCAGTTTCATAGACCATGCCAAGCTTCGCATCCTTCTGGCGCCAGTCGGTGGCATCTCAGAAGCAGACTTTGCCAAATGGTGCGACTATGTACGGACCTTTGAAACCATCCGACTCGTCGACCTCCCTTCCAATTGCTCTGCTAGACGGCGAGCTGCCGCAGCATCATCTGCCAACGGTAGCAGCAGCTCCTCTTCCTCTTCTCTCATGCTGCAGACGGGCGAGATCCACCTGTCTTTCGTCACAAGCTATGATCCAGATCACTCGTTCTTGGCACCCTTCAACATGCACAGACAGGTGCTCGGCGCACTCGGTCTCGCAACATACTCGAACAGTGCGGTCAACAAGCACGAGCTTGAGGCGAGTCCAGCAGGGCTTAGAGAACTTCACCCTGGAGCGCTGGTGCACCGGGTGTTTGGATTTGACTCTGGCGCCAGAAGGCCAGAGACCGTGGATCTCAGTTCGATAAAGGACGTCGTTGCAGCGAAAATCAATCAAGCAGAGCAAACAAGGTCACCATTGGGCGCAGGATTGGCGACAGAGATATCAGGGACGGGCACGAGCGGCTCAACGTCAGACTCGGTCACGCCAAATCCGCCGATGTCACCGGACGCGTCCGGGTTCGCTGCACATCGCGACGGAGGCTTGATCATCTTCCCTGCAGTACGGAAGGACGGCAAAGATGTACGTTTCTACCTCAAGACGCTACTCGCTGAGCTCGTGGCCAACATCCTGGACGGCTTGGATCACATTGTCACAGGGCTGGAGGGAACTCCGCTAGAAACGCCGAGAGAAACGCTCGATGGAATCGCCCCGAACAAGCAACCTTCCTCGGCGTCGAGTTCGAACGCTTCTACGGCATCTTGGCTCACCAAAACGAGCACCGCAGCCACCGGAGCTGCGAGTCGAGCTTCGAGCCTGTTCACTGCCTTTGGCAGCAGCGCTGGTGGTGACATCAGCACCGCTGGATCCACGCCGACTTCATCCAGACCATCCAGCGCTGTTGGAGGGGGATCACATCCATTCGAATTGAGCTCGCCGACCTCCGCCGCCTCATCTCCTACTGGGGAGAACTCTACTCGGAGCAAAATCCTCGCGGCGAACGCGAATAAAAGAAGTGCAAAGCGCGTCACGAGCGCATCAGGGACCGGACCAACGGGGTCAGGCAGGTACGCCAAAGTCAAAGCCGATCTCCATCTTTTGTCCGGAAACCTGTGGGATGCGCTCGAAGGATATTCGAGCGCATTGACTGCGTTGGGAAAGGAACGTGCGCTAGCAGGAGGTCAAGACGCAGTTTGGTTCGCCAGCGCGCTCGAAGGCTTTTCCGTCGCGAGAGTACTGGTCTCCCGAATGGGCGGTGTCGTGCTCGAGAAAGCGCCTTGCTTCGACCTTCCTTGGACATCTGCCTCTGCAAAAGAGAAGGACAAGGACAAGGACGGTATTGCTCGCCCGTACGCTGAGCAGAGCTGGGGGGAGATTGCCGAAGCGTACACAATCGCTGTCGTCATCTACTCGAAGTGCCTCGCGCCGCCTAGTGTTCTGCTCGAGCCGGTGCGATCGGTGACGAACGACTCGCCGAGAGACTACACGCACCCGTTGATCCATGCTAGCGCCTGCACACAGTATGCACGCTTCCTGCTCGCCGTCTGGGCCTCGGGTGGTTGGAACGGAGAATGCTTCGACCAGCTGGTATATGGAGGTGTACCGCCATCCTTGGCTGAGGAGAAACCAACAAATGCCATGTATCTCGGCATGACGGCAACATCTGGCGTCGCAAGGCACGACATTGCAGCGGCGGCCTCTTCAGCGCTTTCGCATTCGATCATCGCCCTCAAGCCGACGGACCAGATCACGCTCCTCAGTACACTCACTTCGATCTTTGGATGCATCGGCTTCTCCCGACGCGAAGCGCATCTACTGCGCCATTTGCAATCGACGATAGTGGGTCTGTTCGTGAAAGCGAAGAAGGTCAATGCGAGAGCACCGTCGACAGCCTCGCTACCGATCCTGCAGCATCAACAGTTTGGCAAGCAAGACGACGAGGTGCTGGGGAATATTGTGGCCCAGACCACGTACGAGTCGCTAGGACCTGGACCGGAAGCGGTGCTCGTATTGTCGATGCAGATCTGCGAGACGTATGGTATCCATGTAGAGGTGGATCCTTTGCGGAATGTTCCCTCGTACCATATACTGTCGAAAGCATCGGAAGGACTGCGGAGCGCCTATGCCTCACCCGCTCTTGGAGGGTCCGAAGAGTGGAGGTCGACTCAGCGACCGACACCTCCCGTTCCTGCAGCAAGTGGCGATGTTGCCCTACTCACGCCGCTCGAGATGGCCAACGAAGCGCCATTCGGGTGGAAAGAGCAGCAGATCGCACTGCTCAAGGAGACCATCTCCATCGCCGAGCTCCTCTCCGATTATGTTGGGATGGCCTTCTTCGGCGCCATCCTTTTACGCGACTTCCACCCGCTGCTCGATGCGCAGGAACAGAAGGACCTTATGATTGGCACTCAGCGCGCTGTGCAGGCTGCTCGTTGGGCTGGCGCGCAAGACCTCGCAGTCAAATACTGGGGTCCCGCAGAACCACTCTGCAGCCTCGAGATTCTGCCGCTCGCGCTCGAACTCATGCCATACGAAAGGGACGCAAAGCAACTCAGGACCGAAGCAGGCGCTGCACTTGCCGATCAGGGCGTTGCTGGGCTGAACAATCCTTTCTTCTGGAACCCAAGCAGCTCAGCTCCGGGCAAAGCCAAAGCAATGGCTGTGCAGGGCGAGCAGATTCACGTCATGGCGACTCTGCAAAATCCGTTCGCGGTCGAATTGCATATCGACACTGCAAAGCTGGTCGGCGAAGGAGCAGGGTTCATCGCCGAAGATGCTGAGCGTATCACCATCCCGCCGTGCTCCTTTCAAACCGTGCGGCTGTCATGTATCGCTCAAAGTACGGGCAAAGTGACCATCAAAGGCGTCACCCTCATGCTTGCCGGCGGGTGCACGGAAGAACAGACTTTCCTGCTGCCCATCTTTGATGACGAAAACTCCAAACAGCGACGCAAACAGGCCGCTGAGCAAGACGATCGCACCACAAGACTCAAGGTCTCCGGCTTGGACGCGAGGAGCTCTGTCATCAAGCAGAAGGCAGGTGTTTCAAGCGATGCTGCCAAGCCAGGTGTGGGGAAATGGCTGGAAGTGACTGTTGTCGCAGCTCAGCCCAGCGTGGCAGCCTACTGCAACGACCTTTTCCCGTTGGGCGGGCTGGACATGTTCGAGGGCGAATCACGCACGATACATCTCGAGCTGCACAATCTTTCCACCTCGCTCGAAGTGAATTTCGTCAGCATCGGGTCCACGGACAATGTCAGCGAAGCAGCGAAAGCAGCGTTGAGCGAAGGGGAGCTGTTGCCGCAAGACATTCACGAGACCGAGTGGGACCTGGTGCATCGACCGGTGCTATCGTGGGAGGGCAGCTCAGCAGCGGTGTGGATCGAACCGGGGGCGAGTACGACTGTTCCGATTCAGGTGCGTGGGAAGATCGGATGCACGACTGCCACGGTGAACGTCGAATACGGACACGTGGACAGGCTTGGCGCAGGTGCAAAGTTCTGGGTGAGGCGATTGGAGGTGGGGATGCGGATGACGGTGCACCCTGCGGTGGTGTGTAGTGGATTGAGCGTGGCTCCTCTCAAGGCTGGGGAGGCAGCACGTTTGACCAAGGAGTGTCTTGTGTCATCCGATTCGATCCCGTCTTCGCTGCGATCGCTCGTCGACGGATCGAGCATCAAGATGAAGAGAGAAGACTCGGCAGACGAGTTCGTCGATGCCATCGAATCCGAGCCACAGGCGGAACACGACGACTCCGAGTACTGCTTGCTCAGTCTCGACGTGTCGAACGTGCATCGCGAAGATGTCTTGCTTCGATTCGCTTTGAACACGGGTGGCGTCGTTCCGCTCCATCTGTATCGTGTTTTGCGTGCAGGGAGCAGCACGCGAATTGTGCTTCCACAACCGCGGCTCGAGTTGGACCCGAGGACTGGGCAGCTGGTTGGGACAACCTCGGTACATGGCAATGACGCCGAAGCCGAGAGGGAGGAGGCAGGGACGTTCCCGCCCGTCCCATCGATCTGGAAGGAGAACGCGAACCGCCAGTTCATCGTTTCCAAGGTGAAGTTGGGCGAAGAGGAGGAGAGACAAGTGCGGAAGAACTTCTGGTATCGACAGGCATTACTGAGTCGGTTGAGTGGTCGCTGGACAACCTTGTCCTCCGTCCACGACTGCAGCTTTTCTCATCTCGACAGCGTTGGCTTCCATGCAGGATTTGCAGGACACAACGCTGTGCAAGGCGGAAACATTCCCCTGCGCGGCCTCGTCTCCAACGGAGGCGTTCTGCTCGACGACGCTTCCCTCACACATCTCCAGAAAGACCCCGTCAAACTTCACCTCGCCTTCCCACCGTCTCCTCGAGCAGAATCCTTCATCCCCATCACGCTGACGCTCACCAACCGGCTCGCCAGAACGATCAGACCGCTCATCCGTCTCGTTACCACCTCTCCAACCATTCAAGACGCAGCGCTGTTGGACAACGTCATCATCTCGGATGGTACTTGGACGGCCGCCCGTGCGCCCGAAATGCGGGGAAGGGGAGCACAGATCAGCTCCCAGTGGGACGTGACGTTCTTGTCACCGGGACAGCACGCATTTCTGGTGGTGGTGGAGGAGGCTTCGGCTCCAGTGAAGGGCGACAGGTTGGCGTTTGTTTCTCCGCCACACTGCGTGGACGTGCTGCCTGCGGTGTAGAAGTGGTGACTTGGCGATGGCAATTGCATCTATGCTTGCGGGTCATACAGAGCGGTGTGGGTATGTGTACAGTATTGCGCCTCAAACCAGATGAGGCTGTGTCGACGGCTTGCTCGGGATCACTAGTTCTCCTTCCTCCAAAACTTCCTTGACCCCATCTCCCATCCCAAAGTACTGCCTAGCCCCGCTCCACCAACCCCTCACATTCTCCGGCGTCGGCACCCATCCATGACCCAACAACGCCAACCCAGCCTCGAACGCGATCAATCCAATGATAATCAGCTCCATCCTATGCGTCGACTTTTCCGTCAACAACGCCCTCACCATACCCAACAGATTCTCGCAATGATCCAACTTCTCGTTCAGCGTCTCGAAGCGCTGCCCGACATCCAGGTTGTGGCAGATGGAGCGGTAGTGGTCCTCCATCTTTGCGTTTTCCCAGTAGACCTCGGGTTCGTCGTAGAAGTTGTCGCGGTCGAGGTTGGCCGTCTGGCGGAGACGGAGGAGGGTACCGGTGTGTTTGATGGTGGCGGTGCGGGAGAGGGGTACGGACCCGGAGGTTTCTAGCTGTGCGGGGATGGCGGATACGGTGGTGAGGAAGCGCGAGAGGGCGGATTCTTGGACGGTGAGTCGAGCGGAGCGGGCGAGACCTTGGGAGAAGGCGAGGCGGGCGAGGGTGGGGGTCCATTCGGTTCCGAAGGACGTGTAGGGGTCTGAGGGGTTGGACGAGGTGGAGGACGAGACAGAGTCCGCACTGTTGCTAGTGGCAGCGGTTGAGGATTCCCCATCGATTCTTTCTGCAAGAGGATCATCCGAAGAGCTTTCGTCGAACGTCGTCTCTGCTTCAGCATCGAACGACTTCGGCGGTTGCCCAATGACAATGATATCACCTTGCACCCTCGTTGGCTGAGAGGAAGCGTACAGATAATCCATCGCCTCATCTCCAATCTGTGAATATCTTCCTACTTCCACCTGAAACTTGAGATCCCTCCCCTGAATGACGTTTCTCAGAAACCTCTGACTTTGCCCCTCATCCATTCCCCATGTTACATACGATCCGGAGCGAAAGATGAACACCTCCCCTCTGCTAACTGATCCACCCGCTGCTGCCGCACCCTCCGTCGCCGCCGCACTTGACGCTGCGGAAACTGGCCACTGCGGCACGTGGATCACCTCGTTGTCCTCGAAGACCTGAAAGTTGGCAGGCAGCCTTCCGGATCGGACCAACTCGGAGAATGAATACGAATGCGCAGTCGCCCACGCGTATACTTCGCCCGTGGTGGGCTCTGGCAGCGTCTGACGCAACGCTTTGGATGCTTGCGCTTTTGCACGTGCGGAGGAGGTCTTGGAAGGATTGACGTTCTTCTTACGCGACATGGCTTGGACAAGTTGTGGAGGCAGGTTGAGGGTGATGGAGCCTCCACCGGTGGTGCCCTTGGGTGGGTTGTAGGAGATCTGCACGGGTTTGGAAGTCGCGGTGGACGATGCAGGGGGAGGAGATGGTGATGAGGTGGATGAGGAGGAGGCTGCACGTCCTGAAGCTGGTACTGAGGACGATCGAGGTGGTTGAGATGTCAAGGAGGGCTTCGCTGCTCCGTCCTTCGTCCTGGATCCGGATGAAGAGTCGTCGTTGCGTCGTTTGAGCGCCGTATGAGAGACGGCTCGGGTTTGAGATGCAGCCGTAAGCGCGCGGACCGACAGCTGAGGCTGACTCGACGCTGTCGCCGTCCTAATCATCCTATTTGCTGATCGCAGCATCTTTGCTCGTGAATTTCGTCTGTTCCGGGATCGCGAAGAGATGCCAGGGTGCTATGATCGACGTAGAAAGAACGGACTAGATAGCGACTCAGCTCGTGATGTCAAAAAAAGTCAATCGGAAGAACCGGGCCTGACAGGGAACTTTTTTAGAGCTTGCGGCTCATCTGCCTTCCGGTTGCGCACGCACTCTAAAAAAAAGTCGGGTTGCCGAGCTGACAGGTGGAGGGAGAAATCAGGACCCCGATGCTGCAGCCGATCGGAATGTTTTGGCGAATCGCGTCTACGAACCGGAAAGCACAGCCCGAAAGAGGAAGGACCCTCGCAAAAGCTTGCGTGCATGTGTGCGAAGCTCGGACTTGGTTTGGATTTTGGGCGCGAGTGTTGGTGTGGAGCTAGCTCAAAGAACGAGGTCATCCCTAGTCTCAGAGGACAGCGTCGTATCTTGACCATCATACTCCTTCGCGTCTCGGTCGTCGGCACATCCGAATCCTCAGCTCGAAGGAAGCAACACGCACATCTCTCAAACAAGCAGATAGCAAGACAATGTATTTGTAGGACTCTCGGCCATCTGTTGCGTTTGCTTCACATCTCGACTTTGGACAAGACTCGGTCAGCAGCTGGTCGGCGAAAGCAACGATGGCTGCGCCCGGAACACCTTTGAACTCATCGGCGACGCAAGCCGTCGCTGCTTCCACAGTCGACGGCCAATCCGATCCGCTCTTTTCCTCCAAATCCGCCCAACTCAACGGTCACAGCTCGCTGGACACGCACACTAGCGGCAGCAATGGCCTCGGCAGCCGCGGTCCAAGCCGCGCCAACACTCCTGGACAGGATCAGATGCCTCTCACCATCCACACTGCCGCTCAACGAGGCGATCTACCCGCCATCATGCGCCTCGTCGACTCGGGTCGAGCCACCGTCCACGATCGCGACGACGACAACATCACTCCCTTGCACTGGGCCGCCATCAACGCTCAGCTTGCCACCTGTCGGTACTTGCTAGACCATGGCGCCGAGGTCGACGCATTAGGAGGCGACTTGATAGCGAGCCCTCTGCAGTGGGCGGCGCGAAACGGTCACGTCTACGTACAAGAGCTGCTGTGTTCTCGTGGTGCCGATCCAACCATCACCGACTCGCAAGGCTTCAACGCACTCCACCTCACCGTACACTCGAGCGCGGTCATGCCGCTCGTATTCATGCTCCAACAACCGTCGCTCGGATCGCCAGAAGGTCTCGATTCAACAGACTCGCAGGGTCACACTGCTCTCATGTGGGCGGCTTACCAGGGTGATGCCATCTCGGTCGACATCTTGCTCAAACACGGTGCCGATGTCCACAAACGCGACGGTGCCGGTCTCACTGCTATGCACTGGGCGGTCGTCAAGGGAAATCGACTTTGCATTCGTCTGCTGGCCGATGCGAAGGCTGATCTGCTGGCAAAGGAGGATTCGGGCAAGACACCGAGGGACATGGCGATGGAGCTCAAGTCGATCGGCGCATATCGTAAAGCATTGGCTGATATAGGATTTGAGGAAGACGGGCGCCGCAAGCACAGAACTTTCGGCGCGAGTACGGATCGAGGTGCAAAGCTGGCAATCATGATCGTCCCCTTTGCCGCGTTGGGCTTCATCTTTGCAACCTTTGCCGCGCTGCCTTGGTACACCGCAGCACCCTTTGCAGCAGCAGAGTTCTTTGGAATGCACCACATTGTGACTCGCGTCATTCTGGATCCTCAAGAACACGATTTTCTCCAGCGATCAAGCTACTTCCTCGCCATCGTCTCCGGTTCGATAGTCTGGGTCGGTTGGGAGTGGGTGCACAAGCTCGCCTCTGGTACACCGGGATACGCCTCGAACAACTTCTTTTTCGCACTCGCGCTCATCGTTTGCTCGTGGAACCTCTTCCGTGCCGCCTCCATCTCACCTGGCTACGCACCACTCGCCCCGTCTGCCCTGCATCGCCGAGAGATTGTCACCCAGCTCGCACAACAGGGTCGTCTCAACGGTCAAACTTATTGCGTCGCCTGCATGGCACGCAAACCGATGCGGTCCAAACACTGCAAACTCTGCAAACGCTGCGTTGCACGACACGACCATCACTGCCCCTGGGTGGCCAATTGCATCGGCATCGAAAACCACCGTCAGTTCCTCCTCTTCGTAGGTGCACTCGTCATTGGTGTCCTGCAATTTCTCTACCTCACCATCGTCTACTACTCGATCAACGCTCCACCCTACAACCCGCTGCCAGACTCGAGCTTCGAGACGTGCCATCTGCCATTCGCTTTCCTGTGCACCGCGACCACCTACGATCCATTCTTGCTCGGCGTAGCGCTGTGGGCGGCGTTGCAGTTGACGTGGACGGTGATCCTGCTGGTCGCACAGGGCTGGCAGATCGCCACGCAGATGACGACGTTGGAAGTGTCGAACCTAGGAAGGTTCGGGTTCATGGGGGGCAAAGGTGGTCAGAGCTATGCTGGACAGACGAACTTCATCGCGCAGCATTCGGCACGTGGTCAACCTGCCGGAGGGGCCAGTGATAGATTGCAAGGGATTCAGAAACAATTTGGCGGGGAGAATGCGCAGATTGACGTGAATCTTGCTACAGATGATGCGACGGGGGAGTCGTCAGCGGCAACAACCACGACGACGCATGGTCATGCGCATTCGCATTCCAAGCTGGGCATGCTCAAACGTGTCTGCTCTTCTTCCGGTAGCTGGTTGTTGTCCATCGTAGGGCTGGATCTGTACACGCGCGGCAAGGCGGGCGAAGGGCTGAAGCGTGCCAGCGGAGCAGCGAATCCGTTCGACCACGGCTGGTTGTCCAACTGCAAGGACTTCTGGTCCAAAGGTCAGGATCTCAGCATCGATTACGCGACACTGTACGATTTGCCTGGCGAGATCAGTCCGGGACACTGCCAGGTGGTTCCGTTCCTGGTGGATACCGTGACTGCGGGTGGAAGAGGAGGTGGTGGTTGGAGGGAGAGGTATGCAGGTGCGAGTTATTCGCTCTTGAGGAGCGGAGATGCGGACGATGATGACGACGAGGATGCCGTGGGTGGGAATGGTGGTGGTGGTGGAGGGAGGAGGTGGAGCATGTGGAGCAATCTGAAGAATGCGACGGGTGGTTCGGCGGGCATCCTGCCGACGACGAATGGTACGCATCCCGCTTGAAGGATCTTCCCTCGCGCTTCACAGCATCTTGTTTTGCAGACGCACGCACTTTGACGAACAATCAACTCACGAAGATCACGCATTAGGAGCACGCATCACTTCCTTGGCTCTTGCCGATACGTTTGTAGAGCATCAATGAGCATTTCTTCGACTGTGAAGGATTGAGCGCTTCGATCGGGCTCTGCTAGTCGAGGAAAGATGGGTTGGGCGTCGGTCGGTCGGCCTGGTATCTCGCATTGGACGCCGAACCAAAGTCGTCCGCCAACATGGCGTACGGATCTGCTTCTTCCCCATCGTCACCACCGACAGCGGTGTATCTGCCGTTCGAAGCGGCCCCATTCAAGGCTGTCTCCTCTTCTTCGTCTTCTTGATTCTCCTCCTCATGCACATCAGCGACCTTGTTCTTCGCATCCCCACCCACCTTCGACTCCTTCGCATCTCCACTATACACCGGCAGCTTTTCCGCTTTCTTTTCTCCCACCGTGTTCAGCACTGGCGCCCTAGCCAACGGCTTGCTGTACAGATGCGCGCTAGCGTACCTCCTAGCACTCTCGTCCAACGCCGGACTGTCTGGGACGTACCTCGCCTTTGCGTTCCTGATAAACGTCTGCGGTTGTCGGTGGAAGATGCTCGCGAGACTCGCGCCGTGCAACAGCAGCTGGTCCAGGAGCTGTCTGTCCATCCTATCCGTCTCGGTACTGATCGCAGGCTTGCCACCCAACACCACCTCTCTCGCGGCTTCCGGATCCGTAGAGAGCAACCTCCAGTACATGAACCCTCTGTCCCTCAAGTCCGGATTCTCCACTTCTTCCGTCGCCCACTTGAGAACTTTCGGCACCAATTCCCCACCCGCCGTCGGTCTCTTCAAGAACAGCTTGACCGTTGCGGTCAACAACGCCAGTTGAACCTCCACGGGTTCTTCCAAGAAGGTGTAGAGGAAATCCTCCAACAGCTCGTCCGAATTCTCGATGCGATCCGCGTACTGGCCAATGATCCAGATCATCGCCGCCTTCGCCTCGCTCTCGTCCAAACTATCCAGGTTCTCGCACAGCGTCGAGATGACGCTCTCGTACCGATTCGGATACTTCCTAAAGATATCCTTGATCACCACGATCGCCTCCTGCACAACATAGTTCACCTTTGTCTGTATCAACCCAAGCAGCGCTTGGATACATCGATCCGCCGAAGACTCGATCTTGATCGCCAGCCGTCCGATGCTTCTCACCGCCTTCCTCGCGAAATCCACATCCACCTCGGAAGCGTACTCGCGCAGCTCGGCCAAGACCTGCTCGACGTTCCTCTCGTTAGCCAGTCGATAGATGATCTCGAGTTTGGCCATCTTGACGTAGATGGGATCGTTGTACTTGCAGAAGAACACCTTGACCTCGTTCTGCAGCACCAAGGGACGTCTCTGGATAACCAGCAGGATGTTCCTCAGCGCAACGTACTGCACTTCCGGTCCGGAAGACAGCAGTGTCACCAGTGGTGGCGAGAGTTTTCGACACAGCGACTCTTTGAATTCTGCACTGGCGATGTAGTTCATCAGATAGAGGATCACCTTGGTGGCGGTGAGGACGACGGCAGAGTTGGCGTGCTGCAGACGAACCGCGATGCGTTCCGCCAGGATCTCGGCATCGGCAAAGTCGGAGGGAACGAAGAACATGAGCGCTTCGAGGATGTACGTCTGACCCCATTCCGAGCACTCTGCCAGGGCGGAGACGAGCTTGGAAGCGATGGTGAGGTTGAGTTTGAGTTGGATGTTGTCGGATCTCTCCGAGATCTCCACCAGTGCTGCGACCGCATTCGCCACGACAGTCGGGTTCGCGTCTGCGAGCAGATCCCTGAGCATACCGATGAACGAATGCTTCTCGATCAAGCGTTTATCGTGCATGTAGAGCTTCGCAACGCAGATCGCTGCCGTCTTGCGCACGTACGGATCCGCATCCTTGAGCGAGTGTCTCAACGGATCGATCAACGCCGCCAATACCGTCGGAACGTGTATATACGACATTGTCCGAATTGCAAGTGCTCGAATCAGCGGGTTTCGATCGTTGCAGTCGGACAGGAAACCGGGCACGGCATTGGGTACGAGATCCGGTTTGGCCCTCGCATAGTTGATGAGGTATAGGTAGACCATCTTTTTGATCTCGAGCACTTGGATGTTCATGCATTGGACGACGTCGGTGAAGAGCGCAGACATGTCGTTGCCCATTGTAGCGTTGGCGATGATCTTTTTGAGCACAGCTTTCTTGCGAACCCACCCCTTGTCCTTCTTGTCGGCGTTGAGCTCGGTGCGAAGCTCGTCGACTTTACCGCGCTGGAAGAACTTGGCATCCTTGCCCGAGTCGGCCATGATGGGCGCGTGTGAATGTGTAAAGCGAGGAGGAGGGGTGTGGTTGCAGGTGAAATATCGGGGTGATGTGTGCAGTCAATTGAAGAGGTACTTGCGGTCAGCTTGCGACAGCGTTTGAGAAGTAGCGCAAAGAGCCGATGCTTCGATCCGCAGATGAAAGGAAGGGGCGAAGGGCGAATCAAAGGGAGTGTTGAAGAGGAATGAAGTGGATCAGAAGAAAGGGCCGGTCGAGCATCAATTCCAAGTCGCCCCTTTGACGAGCGCACGGCGTGTTTGAGCCGTGTCGCCGCACAGCTTTCTTCCGCGCCGAGTGTGGAGTAAGTGGGCGCTTTCACCTTAACACACTTCCCAGATAATCTCTTGGCTGGTCAGTGCATCTCCAACTTTTGGCTTGTGAATTCTTGCACTCTCACATCATTGTGAAATTCAATGCCAACTTTGGCCTCCTTGCATGTCGGACGAGATCTGAGTTTCAAGGAATGGCATCCGACACACCGCCATGACCGGGCTGCATGCCTATGCTGGCGGTAGTCCAGCAACACTAGTCAACTTGAGAGCTTTTGATTCAGCCGGCGGCATTCCACAGCCGAGACGAGGACTTCTTTTCATGTCGTTCGGTCGTGGCCCCTTGTAGGTCATGCCTCAAAAGGGTAGCCTTCCAAAGACGTCGTCTCTGTAGCCTGCGGCCGTTTGAGAGGGACAGGGCAGAGTTTCTAAGATCGCTGAAGCGTATTGTGAAGAGCTGCGCCGAATATGACTGCGCCAAGACTTTGAAGCACAGTGTTGGTGGCTTCGCGTCGTTGTCGTCGTCGTTGAAACCCCGTGTAAGCCCGCTGGATCGACGTTGGGACGCGTCGGGTTCGAGAACAACACGTATTCTGCAGCTCGCGAACAAGTCGAGACTCCGACGTTGTGCATGCAATATTACTGTAACACAACAGTGCAGCGTCGGTGACACTTGCAAAACTACACAGAGTATTCAGCTAGGTCCCTCGTCTCGATCGAAATTGTGAGATGGTCCGAGAATCGAACTAGCACGGGACGAATACGCAAGCGCAAATTTGCCGTGGCTCCCATCCTACTACAGAGTTCCAAGTGCTCGTGTCCAGTGTCTGACCCAATGCTGTGACATGGAAGGTGCACGAGGCCCGTTGGTGACAACACCCTCATCTGCGTGCCCTGGTCGGGAGCGGTAGAGCGTAAGCCTGCAAAGCTCTGCGAGGGGATGCAATTCAGAGACACCCTCTGTACCCCTGACGAAGGCGAAGCTGTGCATCTCGTGACAGCGCATGAGACGGCTTGTGCATCAGAGGTCGAACAAGCCTTCGTTAGGCAATTCCAACCGCGAAGAGCGGGGATCGACGCGCTGCATCCAAATATTTATTATAATATCATAAAAATTGCGTTCTTTTGACAGCGAATCCAACAAGGGTTGCTGTGGTTTTGCCTTGCGTTGTTGCCCTGTTTGATTTTTGGAATTCTTATGCACGTTCTAGCCGAACCGTCGGCCCGCGCCTTTACAGTAACGCAAAGAGTGTTGGTGTGTTGTTGTTCAATGTCACGAACGCCCGAGCTAGACGAGCGGAGTGTGGCGCGAATGCAGTACACAGGACCACGTTTCTGCTTTCCCCGAGCTGGTCGTGCTTCTTTCCTGCCTTGTCCGCTTGCGTCGGATCTGTGGAGCAAAACACTCAGGCTTGCGTGTCCTGTTCCTGCGTATGTGTTGCTGTCTCTTTCGTGAAGGGTTCTTGCATTGCTAGTAGCTGCCTTCAATCCCCCCTTCTGTCAATGCAATATATGCTCTTCAGCTATCGCTGTCTGACCCATCGTGAATCTCCCTTTCTTTCTCTCCCCATCAACTCTCCCTCCACCACCTCAAGGCTCCCCGTTCCATCCCCTTCCACACTCTCTCCAACAACCACAGCTTCTACAGCATTTCTCTCCAAGATGAAGTTCCTCTCGCTCCTCTCTCTCGCCCTGGTCTCGGCCGCCTTCGTCTCTGCCGACTCTTCCGTCGCCACCGGCGCCCAAGAGGGCAAAGTGCCTCAGATGCTCAACCTCATCAACAAGCTCGAGCATGCCAACCCCACCGACCCCGCCTTTGTCGCCGACCTCCCCCGCCTCGCTTCCCTCCACAAGGACGTCGAGGAGCAGTTCGGTTCCAAACAGGTCAGGAAGCTCTACGGTGATGACGCGGTTGCTGACAAGCTCGTCGAGCTGGTCAAGGCCGTCAAGGTCCAGAGTAAACGTGATGTTGAGGCGGAGGACAAGAAGACCGAAGTCAAGCCTAAGAAGACGACTAAGAAGGAGAAGCACAACCACGGTCAAGAGGTCAACAAGGGTAAGCAGGGTGAGAAGCAGTCCGCTGCTCACAAGCACTCCGCCGCCAAGAAGGAGAAGTCCAACCACGGCCAGGAGGTGAACCATCACAAGCAAGGCGCCAAGAAGTCTGCTGCTCACAAGAAGACCCACGCTCCCAAGGGTACTACTGAGGGGCCCAAGCAGACCACTACTGAGGACAACATGGTCGAGCGAGCCGAAGTCGCCTCTAAGCCTAAGAAGTCCAACCACGGCCAAGAAGCCAACAAGGGCAAGCAGGGCTCCAAGCAGTCCGCCGCACACAAGCACTCCGCCGCCAAGAAGGAAAAGTCCAACCACGGCTCAGAGGTCAACAAGGGCAAGCAGGGCTCCAAGCAGTCCGCTGCCCACAAGACTCCTCACACAAAGGAGCACAAGAAGCCCGCTCACAAGCACAAGTCCAAGACTGCACCCAAGAGCACTTCTTCGCCCGTGGTCTCTGCTTGAAGTCACATCTCGATGGCTGGTGGTGGTAGTTGTTGATGGCTCGTCGACATGTGTCGACTAGAAGCCTGGTGTTTCCCTCTCCCTCGCCCCGTTTCGCTTCTGCTCGTGATCGTTGCTGTCTTTTTGTTTCTTCTTTCGCTCGCAATCTCGGTCCACATCCTCCTGTTTCGTGTGCGCGGCGTGGCCTGATCAGAACTTTGAAGACATCTCACGGAGCTCTTGGAGTTAAATCGTTCATCAGAGACGTCTTCCATCATGCAGCGTAAACTGACATAGCCGATGGCAAACATGCAAAAGTCATGGCAGTCATTCCTGCGCCCCTCTCCGTCCCTTAGATCGCATTGTCCAACAGCTGATACGTCAGCCTACCCTCCCTGACGAACAAATCACAAACATCCTTCTTCGGCACCCCACCCCTCGTGATCCCGTTCGGCGCTGACAGATACTGCGTCTTCTCCTCCCTCGCCTCCAGCAACGGCTGCTGATACTCTTCCCACCTGTTGAACTTCTGCACCTTGCTAGTATACGTATATCCCCTACCCCTCGCTCTCAAATACCCATCTTTCGGGTTCGCATCCCCGTCCCTGACAAACGCACCGAACGCATCGCTCGTATACGCCACAAAGTCCAGATACTCCTGCGACACCTCCACGCCTTCGTAATTCAAGCTTCCGAAAACCGACTTGATGTCGTCACCATGGCATACCTCGACACCCGTTCCTTCCGGCGTACACTTGGCAGGCATACCCGCGCTATCCGTGTAACCGGAATCAGCTTCGTACAGGTACACCTTGGGGAACTGGTTCGTCTTCATCGCCTTGTTGACGATCCGCTGCGTAGGGCAGGTGAAGAAGTTGTACGTGAAGGCGTTGCTGACGGTCTCCCGAACGCTGTCGTTCCTCGACGGGTCGAGGTCAAAGTATCCGGATCTATCGAGGGTGGAGATGAAGTCGGTGGGGTAAAGAGAGGTGAAGGCTTTATCAAGAGCGGGTTGAGTGTTAGGGAAGGACTGGTTGAACAGCGAATAGATGAAAAGAGTTCCTTCACCCGAGGTTGTTCCCAGAAGCAGGGGTACGTTGTTCGGAATAGTCCCGTTCGACGCGAGGTAGAAAAACTGGTCGTCAAGCAGCCCATCTGGTGTCGGCAAAAACGGTTCCAGCGAAGCCGAGAACAGACTCGAACCAGCCACCTTTGTCAACGCCACCGTGATCGCATTGGTCGCATTCGTAAACGCCTCACCCTGAACGAAAAGCAATGGATCCTTCACCGCCTGCAAACACTCCACCATGCTCCCATCACTTGTAGAGCAGTTCAAGCTAGCCGCCACTGCCGGCGCAACATACTTGCTCTGCACCGAACGGTTCACCCACGGCACCCACGGATTCGACAGCATAAACGCAGCCCTGAACAACCCCTTCGCCGCGGAGCTCGCCACCAGCGCGGAAACGCTCTGCGCACCAGCAGACTGTCCTCCGATCGTGATCCTCTCTGGATCTCCTCCGAACGCTGCGATGTGCTTCTTGACCCATTTCAGAGCCAGAATCTGATCGCTCAACCCCGCATTGCCAGGCAGATCCTGCTCGGAAGCCAACCAGCCAAGTGCACCAAGACGGTAGTTAATCGTGACGACAACAACGTCGGATCGGGAAGCCATGTTACCACCGTCGTACGAGTGGAGTGAATTGCGACCGGTGGTGAAGGATCCCCCGTAGATCGCGACTAGGACGGGTTTCAACTGGTCCTTGTTGTAGGATCCGAGAGTGGGAGTGTAGATGTTCAGGTTCAAACAGTCTTCGCCCACGGGCATGGGTCCGATGGGAACGGTGGTCTGGACGCAAGCGTTCCTGTAGGTGGTAGCATCCAACACCTTGTCACCGGTGTACGGGGTCGCGTGCATGAAGCGTTTGTTGCCCACGGGGGCGTCTCCGTAAGGAACACCTAGGAAGCGGAACGATCGACGATCGCGAAATCCCGTCAGCGTGTAATCCTCAGCTTGGACAGAGATTCGTTTCGCATCGTCCGGCGTCTCTGGGTTGGCGTACGGGTTGGCTCGCGGTGCGATGGTCGGATCGGCCGTGTGCGTGCACAGCACACCCAGCTTCTCTCCCTCACCGTGTGCTCGGATGGAAGCTCGACTGGGCTTGTACGCAACAACACCGTCTGCATTGTCGAGCCAGAACGTGTCGAACCAACCGATAGTTCCGGCGTAGCGGAGGTAGTTGAATTGGTCAACGAGATCGGATCCAATTCCACCTTGGAGGGTCTGGTCGAAGGGGAACAGCTTCTCGCCGATCTTCTCGCAGGTTTGGGCTGCATTCGAGGAGGTGACGGAGTTCGGGAGGAGCAGAGCACCGGTGGAAGCGTTGGTGGAGAGATCGTTTTGGTAGAGGATATGGATTGGACCTAGATCGGACTGCTTGACCACCGCGGTGTCGTTGGATGGAGCGTCGCGCGACACGAAGAAAGGTACGGCATTGACGATGTTGCTACCAAGAAGCAGAGCCCCGAGGATGCTGCCCACTGCACCAGAAAGGGTCTTCATCGTCATTCAAAGCGTCAATACGAGGGATTCGGGTGACGGATGAGAGAGTAGAATCACTTCTCAGACGAATAGCGAGCGTCTGTATCTGTGGGAGGGGAATCACCAAACGACAAAGAACAACTCGTTTGCCGCTTCGCGAAAAGGAGTAGGTGGGCTTTAGCCAACACCCGCCAGAAGCGCAAAAGGGCCAGTGCTACTGCTGCGACGATCCGTCCGCGCAGAGCAGATGGGAGAGATGAAGCGTACCGTGCTGTACACTGCAAGGGAACAGGGTGAATGAATGGTGTGGGCTGACAAACAGCTGCGAGCTAAAGCATATATAGGCTAGGGGAAGAGGTCAGCACCCCTGGCTCATGTTGCCAAACGGACGGTCTGCCGGCGTTTAACGAGCTCGCGAAGAAGCGACTAAAACAAAACCGAAAATGCATAGCCATGACGAGGTTCGCGTGACACTGCAGGCAGACTCAGGGGATGTTGCCTTCAAGCAGTGGCACAAGGGTCTGTGCGGGGACAGATGCGGCTTTGCATGCAGGTAGTGTGGGGGCTCGTGTAAGCGAGAAAGGGTAGATTGGGGAGGATCAGGGTTTCTACTTCTCGACTACGACAGTCGCTGTCAAACAGAGCTAAGGGAACTCGCCTGTCCATGATACGGTTTGCGAAACGTTCTCAACACACTTGCATTCTCATGAAACAATCGGTGTCGTACATGCTCTGCACCGTTCCGATTAGCCTTCACAGCAGGTTGCCACGGTATCCCGGTGGCGTACAAGACCGTGCTTCCATTGCAATTCCGCGGCAAATCAACAGCGTTTCTCAGTAGACTGCGAGCCTCGAGCTATGATCGGATACGCAAGAAGAAGCTCAGTCTCACCAAAATCCATTTACATCGCTGAGCAACCAAGCATTAGACAATGCCGGTCTTATGTGGAAAGCCGGACCCGGTCCCTGTTGATCCGACCGCTTGCAAACGCGGATTCGGTTGGAGAAGGTCGTGCGATCGTACCTGGAAGCAAAACTCTGTTGTATACATTGTCAGCCGTTGCGGGTTCTCACGCAGCGGGTTAAAAGTTCAGTGGCCGCGCAACGAAGCCAAGCGCTTGGTGCCAGGTCTGCGTGACACCTCCCTTGATTCCCCCAGCGTTGCAGGAACCCGAAGCACAAACTATGACTGTATACCGTACAGTCGAATGCATCCTCAGTCATGTGTACAACTGTGCCGCACCGAGCGACACCATTACAGAAGCATGATCATGCGGCGGTAGTGTGAGCTGCATACGGAACATCCTTCTCCGCTTCGATTCCCCGCATTTTCGTTTGCTCTCCACGGAGCACATTCCGAATTCCGTAGCTTAACATCGTGACCTTTTTCGATAGATCCCGATCCATACCTCTGTGCTTGTGCTGAGATCGCATGCACCCATTTCCTGCTTCTAGGTCAGGGCATCTCCACCCTTCAGCTTGACTATGTCAGTGGATCTAGCGTGCAGATCAGTGTTGCTCACAAAGACGACGCAGCTCGATGCAGCCTTGTTCTGCGAACCGAGACCACATCACGGTCCGTCTTTTCAGGCCAAGACTCGAATCCAGACAAAAGAGACATTTCGTCATTCGAGGGTATAAGGTACATACATCTGCAGCCCGTCGCTAATTTCATCCACGTCTAAGTGAACGAGATGCTCGAGAGACCACCGGTACCGCCTGGCACACGCACACGGCGTGTAGGTCGGAAGCCGTTGTTCATTACGGCATCGTTTCGGACGCCTTCGTAGACGCCTGGCTTGTCCGAGCCGACACTGTCGTAGAAATGCGACTCCTGCTGCGCTTTGACGTTGCCGCTGGCTACGCGTCTCGCAGGCGCGGCGCCGAGAGGCTCAAAGCCGTCGTCTGCAGGTGCCGGAGCAGTCGGAGCAGCAGCGGCAGGAGCAGGGGCACGGCGTGAGGCGATAGGAACAGGCTCCTCGTCCTCGGCATCGTTGCCGAACAGAGCAGTGACCTGGGCAGAGCCACCACCGGGAAGCTGTCGCACCTTGCGGCTAGGACGGAAGACCTCGCCCGAGCTGGTGTAGACGACGTTCTTGTCGTCCGACTGTTCAGGCGCAGAGGACGCGGCGGACTGCTGCTGCTGGGGCTGGGATGCCTGCGAAGGGGCGGCAACGGGGGCAGCTGATGGACCTGCCTCGTCGGCGACAGTCAGTTTTCCAATGGTTGCAAACTTGGGCAGCTTGGAAAGCTCGGTAAAGTTGGGACCGACGTGCACATTGTGCTGCTTGAGGAAGCTGACAAAGTCCTCCTTGGTGAACACGATGTGGTGCTTCTGAGGCAAGCACCCTGTTGCATACGGAGAGCACATCAACATAAAGAGTCAGCGACAAGTCACAATTCGACCTGGGACGACGAGGGCATACACTCACCGAGATGGTAGGCCCAGTCCTTGGGGTTCGAGTTCTCGCGGTCAAAGTTGGGGTTGGGAGTGAACGAGGTCATCATGGCAGATCTTTGCAGAGACGTTCGAGGTGAGATGATGTCTTGACGGAAGCGGTAGCGAAAAGATGGGAAGCAAGATTAGAAGCGTCGGCTGGCAGGTTTGTCGGGGTTGCTGTTGTTCTCGAAGCTGAATTGCGCTTCTGCTCAAGAGCTGCCAAAGGGTCTGCGTGGATTTGGCCTGCGCCCTCAAAAAGCAATGTGGTGTTGTTGTGTTGTTTGCGGTACTCGTGCGCAGCCTGGGAGCAGGCGCTGGATGGCACGCGTCCGGCGCGTGTCCATTTTTTTTGCCGAAAGTTCATAAAAGCGACCTAACACCATTCGTAAAATCCACAGAAGATTTATTGACCTCATTTTTAGGCGGCATTTTCCGGTATAAGGAACCTGCCGACTTTCGCCTGATGGTCCATGCTCAATTCACAACAGTACAGACGGCGACGTTGAGACAGTCAGTTACCTGTATGATCAATTGAGGGTGCGATATCGCCACCATTCGGCCTATGTAGTCCTCTGGCAATCAGCGGGAAGAACTTGTCCGGCTCTTATCCAAGCCCGGCTTTCGCTGCAGCCTCCACCTCTATGCTCCGCCAGTCTGCAGCGCGAGCAAGCTTACTTCCGGCATGAGACGCAGGGGGCCTGCGTCTCAGTCCGATGCATCATTGCACGCTTCCGAGAGGGAAGACATGAAATCGACACATTCATGGACGCTTCTCATGTGTGAGGCTGCGTCATGGAAAGAGGACCGAGCGTCACGCTAGCCGACGACACAATTACTTTGCTCTTCATATCTCCACCTGCCCGTGAATGGCTGAACCTGCTGTTTTCACGATCGCGACCATTCTACAATGAGGTCGCATGCAGCTGGCCAAGGCGTCGATGAGGCGTGTGCGTCTAGCGTCTTCGGTTCGAATAAGGGCGCGTCCTGGGCTCGCGCTTGTCCAATGAGCTGGGCGCGGAGGGGCACCCATCCCAACTGCATATACCCACATCTTTTCTTCTGACCAACATCGATCCTCAAGATTAACCTAAACAGAGACGGAAAACAGCGACGGAACCCAGAATCTGAACTCAAGGCGTTCAAGGGACCCACTCTTGCAGTCACTTGGGCGTGACCGGGCAACGCGTGCAGAGGAAATGAAGAAGCCACAAAGCCGTTCTTGGTCAACTGCATTCAATCACGGTGATCATTCCTGCGCGTACGATCTGCACGCTGCAATCATTTGTGTTCGGGTGGAATTTCAGGCCTCCAGATCCAAGCTCGGACTCGCACTCAAACTCAGAGTTCGCCTTCCTGTGGCTCATGGATGCGATTCCAACTCTGTTGCTCATCTTGCTTATAAGACCTCGGTCCCTCGACTCAAGCTCTCTCCCACCAAATCTTCCGCCTCACTGCAAAGTCCCACCGCAAGTAGCTGCTCGTAAGTCAATCCAGCCCTCCAAGCATTGCCTTTCGCTCATCCTGTTTCAGCGCCTCGACCGCTCCTTTGCCCTCTCGACCCGACTCTCAACCTTTCCGACGCCTCTGTTCCCAACTGATTGTCCTTTTTCTCCAGGACACTGGCCTCGCAGCTTCGGGTGTTCGATACCATCGGCTCATTGCCTCCCAATCAACTTCCACGAGCGTTTCATCTCGCTCAGGCTTCGGACACGCTTCTGTGCCTTTCTAGTGCCGCGCGGCCCCCGCTGTTTCTCTGAAACGCGCGGGTCTATCCGGTGGTGTTCCTTGTTCACTAGCCGCCACGCCTGTGCGTCGACGACGCTTTTCCGACCGTCATGCTACATCAACCTCTCCACCATCCCATCCACAGGGATCCCTTCCACTACTCTTCCAGCAGCCCTGAGAAGGCAGCGCCACGATCTCACGTCGCCACACGTGTCAACCCCTACACCGTCAAATCTCAAAATACCCAATTTTACGCTTCGTTGCGCAGCGCGGCAACGTCTGTTCCACTCGATCCTCGGCTCACCAGCACAGTCGCGTCGAGGGCAATAACAGCGACAGCCCCACTCGCTGTCGACAGTCTCTACAGCTCCTTGGAAGCTGCCACTGTCTCGCCAAGATGCACGTCCAAGCCACCTCCTCTGCCAAGTAGACCCAACTCCAAGCTCACCATGGTCAAGCCAAAGCCGAGACCTGTCAAAGCTCTAGCATTGAATGTAGAAGAAGCTACAGCTAAGCGCTTGACCGGTGCAAAGGGTGCCCTCGTACCCGCCGACAAGCGACGTAGAAGCGTCAATGAAGCCGCCAAACAGCATAGCAGAAGTGCTGCTGTTTCGCACAGCATTCGTTCGCATTCTCGCTCACAGACGCACTTTGCTTCGAGTTCTCCGACACAGTCAGCCTCCCCGGAATCCCCGGTACCTTCGAGGCTGCAAGCTCGACCAGCGTCTAAGCTGGTTGTGCCCAGGATTACCATTCGCGCAGCCACACCTGTTGCCGAGCCTAGTCTTGACGTTGCTGCTGAGAAGCAAGGCAGCGTCAACGCAGCTCTGAGCAATCACAGCACTCCACTGTATCGGGATGATCTCCTTATCGACCTCGCCGCCGACTTTTCGAAGATCGAGGACGGCATCGACAGCATCCTCAGCAAGTATTTTGACATTCGCAAAGCGGCACCGACCATCTGCACCGAGCTACTCCGCTACCTCGCCACCTCTCTCTGCAGACTGTACTGCTGCGTGAGAGATCCCGAGTCTGATGCAGGCCAACTCAAGCTGCGTGCCATCAGCAGTCACCTCTTCAAACACACCGTCACCGGCTTCATCCACCTCCTCGACGATCCCAAGGCGCCCTACGCCACTGCGAGCAACCTATCGCTCGTCACGCTCAAAGTCAAGCAAGACTTTGACACGGCCACAGATTGGTGCTGTCGCGTCCTGAACGGTCCTCTCCTCGCACAGCAGAGCCTCGAGCATGGCGAGCTCTTCCTCAGCGTGCTCAATGCTGAACTAGACTCGATCTTCGATCGTGGAGTCGCCATGACCAACATGCACAACAAGCTCGATGTTCCCGGAAAAGGCTGGTCATTCACATCGACCTTTGGAATCGATCCTCCTGGCGAAAGCGACGCTCCAAGTCGGCCGGGATCCAGCACGTGGCAGCATCGTAGGAAGGTATGGGAGCAATGGATCCAGGAAGGCGATGAACGCAATCGGTTCGTCAGTCTCGACGTTCTCAGATTTGTGGGTCAGCTGGTACTGTCTCGCGTTGTCGGCTTTCAGGTGCTCGCCAAATGGCTTGATCGCTTCCTCGTCCACACTGTTCATCTCGGCATCCCGTCCGCTTGGGAGATCGAATGCGCATGTGCGCTGCTGTTGAGCGTGGGCGCTATGCTGGATCGACAGACCTCATCGCAGAACAGATCATCCTGCGGTGGCGACAAAGGGCAAGGAACGGATCTCCCGTCGAGCTCGCCGGCCAAGCAGGATGCGGAACAGGCTGACTGTGCGGATGTCGAAGGGCTTGGCATCCTCAACAGTGCCATGCAGAGAGTCGATCGTCTGATCGCGCAGAAAGAATTGAGTCCGCTGGCCCGTAGCTGGCTCGTCCAATTGCGTCAGCTGCGCGAGCGAGGATGGAAGAAGCGCGAGGACGAAGCTATCTCGCTCGACGATGACTTCGACAGCGATTGAGACATCGAATCACAATTTTGAGGAAGAGGTGATTGAAGCAGGAGGCTCACCTTCGTCGATGCATGTAATTTTCTTTCCCACGTTGTGACCGGCTCCAATGTAACATTGCTCGAGATATTTGTTGCAGCCAAAGTGATTTTTCGGAGCCGAACATTTTGGCCCCGAGAAGCTTTTGAAGAGAGCTCATTTTGATTTCTTCCAACCTGAAAGCGTCAACCTGCCTTCTTCAACACCACACCAGCACCATCAAGGCTGCAACACGAGATCTCACCGATCTCACCGCGGCTGTACATATCACTCTCACCATGTCGCTCCTGCGAACCACAGTCGCGCGCTCGCTTCGCGCGGCTGCTCCATCAGCACCGATTCTTCGATCCGCCGTGCCCGGGCCGTCTTCGATCGCTGCCTCTTCCGACATCCAACTTTTTTGCCGCAGCTTTGCATCCACATCCCTCCGCAGCGCCGACAATAAATCATCGTCATCCTCCAAGCCAACCTCATCAGCAGCTTCCACCTACACAGCCATCCTAGACTCGCTGCAAGACTCATACGAGAAATCTACCCGAGGTTCCGCCTCTCGTTTCTCCCGTCCCTCCGATGGACGTCGTGGCTACGTCGAAGACCTCGAGTCCGACTGGTCCCAGCGTGCGGTGTATGGAGAACCCAGCTGGCCGGCTACACCGTTCAGCGGGAGGAGCATCAGGGTGACTCCGCAGGCCGACCCCGCTAGAGCGTACGGACAGCTGAGCGTGCTGTTGCGGAGGAACAATGTAAGGCAGGAGTTGAGGTTGCAGCAGAGGTATGAGAAGCCGAACGAGGAGAGGAGGAGGAAGAAGAGCGAGAGGCATAGGAGGAGGTTTGCGGATATGGTGAGGAGAAAGGTTCAGTTGGTCATGGCGATCAAGGCGAGAGGTGCTTGATTGGGGGGCAGGTGAGGCAGTAAAGGAAAGGTATAGGTTGGAAGAGGTGAGAGCACAGAGGTCCAGGATGAGGATGATCAGGACGGAAGAGATGCAGGGTTACACTGAATGCATGGCCATACCGAGCCCCGTCGGCGTAGACGTCTCGCTTCATCATACTTTCCCAATCTTGGACAAATCAGATGTTCGAGCTGCGTAGTACGCGAGCTCGCTCATGTCTTCTCTGCTCACCGACATCTGCCACTTTATGAAATCGTCTCCTGAAAATTCGACTTTCTCTTATCCTCTCGAGCAACGAGACCGTAAAGGATAACACGGCAGACACGGCTTGAGCAGTCTTCAGCATCGTTTCATTCCGGACATCGTCTTGCTCCTAGTCATTTCCAATAGCACCCCCCCCCCCCC